CATGTAAGCGAGTACCCACAACCCACTCAGTGTTACTTGAGCCATGGCATGTAAGCGAGTACCCACAACCCACTCAGTGTTCCTTTAGCCATGGCATGTAAGCGAGTACCCACAACCCACTCAGTGTTCCTTTAGCCATGGCATGTAAGCGAGTATCAACAACCCACTCAGTGTTCCTTTAGCCATGGCATGTAAGCGAGTACCCACAACCCACTCAGTGTTCCTTTAGCCATGGCATGTAAACGTTTACCCACAACCAAATCCGTGTTCCTTTAGACATGGCATGTAAGCGAGTATCCACAACACATGCAGACAATCAGTGTTCCTTTTGCCATGGCATGTAAGCGAGTACCCACAACACATGCAGACAATAGGTGTTCCTTTAGCCATGGCATGTAAGCGAGTACCCACAACCCACTCAGTGTTCCTTTAGCCATGGCATGTAAGCGAGTACCCACAACCCACTCAGTGTTCCTTTAGCCATGGCATGTAAGCGAGTACCCACAACCCACTCAGTGTTCCTTTAGCCATGGCGTGTAAGCGAGTATCCACAACACACTCAGTGTTTCTTTAGCCATGGCATGTAAGCGAGTACCCACAACCCACTCAGTGATCCTTTAGCCATGGCATGTAAGCGAGTATCCACAACCCACTCAGTGTTCCTTTAGCCATGGCATGTAAGCGAGTACCCACAACACACTCAGTGTTCCTTTAGCCATGGCATTTAAGCGAGTACCCACAACCCGCTCAGTGTTACTTTAGCCATGGCATGTAAGCGAGTACCCACAACCCACTCAGTGTTCCTTTAGCCATGGCATGTAAGCGAGTACCCACAACACACTTAGTGTTACTTTAGTCATGGCATGTAAGCGAGTACCCACAACCCACTCAGTGTTCCTTTAGCTATGCCATGTAAGCGAGTACCCACAACACACTCAGTGTTCCTTTAGCCATGGCATGTAAGCGGGTACCCACAACCCACTCAGTGTTCCTTTAGCCATGGCATGTAAGCGAGTACCCACAACACACTCAGTGTTCCTTTAGCCATGGCATGTAAGCGAGTACCCACAACCCACTCAGTGTTCCTTTAGCCATGGCATGTAAGGGAGTACCCACAACCCACTCAGTGTTCCTTTAGCCATGGCATGTAAGCGAGTACCCACAACACAATCAGTGTTCCTTTAGCCATGGCATGTAAGCGAGTACCCACAACCCACTCAGTGTTCCTTTAGCCATGGCATGTAAGCGAGTACCCACAACCCACTCAGTGTTCCTTTAGCCATGGCATGTAAGCGAGTACCCACAACCCACTCAGTGTTCCTTTAGCCATGGCATGTAAGCGAGTACCCACAACCCACTCAGTGTTCCTTTAGCCATGGCATGTAAGCGAGTACCCATAACACATGCAGACAATCAGTGTTCCTTTTGCCATGGCATGTCAGCGAGTACCCACAACACATGCAGACAATCAGTTTTCCTTTAGCCATGGCATGTAAGCGAGTACCCACAACCCACTAAGTGTTCCTTTAGCCATGGCATGTAAGCGGGTACCCACAACCCACTCAGTGTTCCTTTAGCCATGGCATGTAAGCGAGTACCCACAACCCACTCAGTGTTCCTTTAGCCATGGCATGTAAGCGAGTACCCACAACACACTCAGTGTTCCTTTAGCCATGGCATGTAAGCGAGTACCCACAACCCACTCAGTGTTCCCTTAGCCATGGCGTGTAAGCGAGTACCCACAACCCACTCAGTGTTCCTTTAGCCATGGCATGTAAGCGAGTACCCACAACCCACTCAGTGTTCCTTTAGCCATGGCATGTAAGCGAGTACCCACAACCCACTCAGTGTTCCTTTAGCCATGGCATGTAAGCGAGTACCCACAACCCACTCAGTGTTCCTTTAGCCATGGCATGTAAGCGTTTACCCACAACCAAATCCGTGTTCCTTTAGCCATGGCATGTAAGCGAGTATCCACAACACACACAGACAATCATTGTTCCTTTTGCCATGACATGTAAGCGAGTATCCACAACACATGCAGACAATCGGTGTTCCTTTAGCCATGGCATGTAAGCGAGGACCCACAACCCACTCAGTGTTCCTTTAGCCATGGCATGTAAGCGAGTACCCACAACCCACTCAGTGTTCCTTTAGCCATGGCATGTAAGCGTTTACCCACAACCAAATCCGTGTTCCTTTAGCCATGGCATGTAAGCGAGTATCCACAACACACACAGACAATCATTGTTCCTTTTGCCATGACATGTAAGCGAGTACCCACAACACATGCAGATAATCAGTGTCCTTTTAGCCATGGCATGTAAGCGAGTACCGACAACACATGCAGATAATCAGTGTCCCTTTAGCCATGGCATGTAAGCGAGTACCCACAACACACTCAGTGTTCCTTTAGCCATGGCATGTAAGCTAGTATCCACAACCCACTCAGTGTTCCTTTAGCCATGGCATGTAAGCGAGTACCCACAACACACTCAGTGTTCCTTTAGCCATGGCATGTAAGCGGGTACCCACAACCCACTCAGTGTTCCTTTAGCCATGGCATGTAAGCGAGTACCCACAAGCCACTCAGTGTTCCTTTAGCCATGGCGTGTAAGGGAGTACCCACAACCCACTCAGTGTTCCTTTAGCCATGGCATGTAAGCGAGTACCCACAACCCACTCAGTGTTCCTTTAGCCATGGCATGTAAGCGAGTACCCACAACCCACTCAGTGTTCCTTTAGCCATGGCATGTAAGCGAGTACCCACAACCCACTCAGTGTTCCTTTATCCATGGCATGTAAGCGAGTACCCACAACCCACTCAGTGTTCCTTTAGCCATGGCATGCAATCGAGTATCCACAACACACTCAGTGTTCCTTTTGCCATGGCATGTAAGCGAGTACCCACAACACATGCAGACAATCAGTGTTCCTTTAGCCATGGCATGTACGCGAGTACCGACAACACACTCCCTTTAGCCATGGCATGTAAGCGAGTACCCACAACACATGCAGACAATCAGTGTCCCTTTAGCCATGGCATGTAAGCGAGTACCCACAACACATGCAGACAATCAGTGTCCCTTTAGCCATGGCATGAAAGCGAGTACCCACAATACATGCAGACAATGAGTGTCCCTTTAGCCGTGGCATGTAAGCGAGTACCCACAACACACTCAGTGTTCCTTTAGCCATGGCATGTTAGCGAGTACCCACAACACATGCAGATAATCAGTGTCCTTTTAGCCATGGCATGTAAGCGAGTACCCACAACACATGCAGATAATCAGTGTCCCTTTAGCCATGGCATGTAAGCGAGTACCCACAACACACTCAGTGTTCCTTTAGCCATGGCAAGTAAGCTAGTATCCACAACCCACTCAGTGTTCCTTTAGCCATGGCATGTAAGCGAGTACCCACAACACACTCAGTGTTCCTTTAGCCATGGCATGTAAGCGAGTACCCACAACACATGCAGACAATCAGTGTCCCTTTAGCCATGGCATGAAAGCGAGTACCCACAATACATGCAGACAATGAGTGTCCCTTTAGCCGTGGCATGTAAGCGAGTACCCACAACACACTCAGTGTTCCTTTAGCCATGGCATGTTAGCGAGTACTCACAACACATGCAGATAATCAGTGTCCTTTTAGCCATGGCATGTAAGCGAGTACCCACAACACATGCAGATAATCAGTGTCCCTTTAGCCATGGCATGTAAGCGAGTACCCACAACACACTCAGTGTTCCTTTAGCCATGGCAAGTAAGCTAGTATCCACAACCCACTCAGTGTTCCTTTAGCCATGGCATGTAAGCGAGTACCCACAACACACTCAGTGTTCCTTTAGCCATGGCATGTAAGCGAGTACCCACAACCCACTCAGTGTTCCTTTAGCCATGGCATGTAAGCGAGTACCCACAACCCACTCAGTGTTCCTTCAGCCATGGCATGTAAGCGAGTACCCACAACCCACTCAGTGTTCCTTTAGCCATGGCGTGTAAGGGAGTACCCACAACCCACTCAGTATTCCTTTAGCCATGGCATGTAAGCGAGTACCCACAACCCACTCAGTGTTCCTTTAGCCATGGCATGTAAGCGAGTACCCACAACACACTCAGTGTTCCTTTAGCCATGGCATGTAAGCGAGTACCCACAACCCACTCAGTGTTCCTTTATCCATGGCATGTAAGCGAGTACCCACAACCCACTCAGTGTTCCTTTAGCCATGGCATGCAATCGAGTATCCACAACACACTCAGTGTTCCTTTAGCCATGGCATGCAATCGAGTATCCACAACACACTCAGTGTTCCTTTAGCCATGGCATGTAAGCGAGTACCCACAACACATGCAGACAATCAGTGTCCCTTTAGCCATGGCATGTACGCGAGTACCGACAACACACTCCCTTTAGCCATGGCATGTAAGCGAGTACCCACAACACATGCAGACAATCAGTGTCCCTTTAGCCATGGCATGTAAGCGAGTACCCACAACACATGCAGACAATCAGTGTCCCTTTAGCCATGGCATGTAAGCGAGTACCCACAACACACTCAGTGTTCCTTTATCCATGGCATGTAAGCGAGTACCCACACCCACTCACTGTTCCTTTAGCCATGGCATGTAAGCGAGTACCCACAACACATGCAGACAATCAGTGTTCCTTTAGCATCACCTTGCCATCTTCAGACCAGTGGCGTTATTTTGTTTGCAGATACTCGTGTCGACCCACTAATGCTGTATGATGCATTTTGCATGATTTTCACTTGATAGTGAGATGAATGTCCATTGTTACACCGTTCGTTCTCCCTAAATGTGTGTCTAAACCTCCAGCTGTCAAGCTTTCTGTTGACTCTCCCTATTCTCATATTGGCCCTCGTACCTATCTTACTGAACTCTCCAGTTTCTAGAAGGCTCCGGCTTATCTTTTCTTGTCCATTAGCTTGTATGCCAACCACAACCTTTACTAATACTGCAACATTATCATTCTAGCGAGACGTTCATGTTGCACAAAGTTCACGCAGACATCATGGACTTTGTGAATGTGATCTGCACCAAGAAGGCAGGGAGCCCCATCCACCCTATTATAGAGAGTGTTGGATATTTCCTGTACCACACGAAGGAGGAGGAGGGCAAGCCTACTATAACGGTGCGAACTACACAGACAACCACCCGAGTGGACATCACGGCTATGTCTAGACACTGTTAATAGTTATTGTGTTACTTTAGTTTCCCTTTTTTTGCTCGCGTCTTGATATTTAACTTTTACTACTACTACTACTACTGACCAGATCCAGGTTAGAATTGGTCTCCAGCAACATTCGCTCGCCGTAAGAGGCGACTAAAGGGATCGAGCGGTCAGGCTCGCTGACTTGGTTGTTGCATGTCCTAACCCAGTTGCATAGATCGATGCCAATGATGTGAATCACTGGATTGTCCGGCCCAGACTTGATTATTTACAGACCTCGGTCATATAGCTGGAATATTGCTGAGCGGGGCTTTAAAAAGCAAACAGACAAACAAAACTACTACTACTACTACTACTACTACTGGTCTTCAAACTGCTACTTTTACTATTCCTACTACTACTAGTACTTCTACTGTGTAATGTGTGAGTAGTAGTAGTAGTAGTAGTAGTAGGAGTAGTAGTAGTAGTAGTAGTAGTAGTAGTAGTAGTAGTAGTAGTAGTAGTAGTAGTAGTAGTAGTAGTGGTAGTAGTAGTAGTAGTAGTAGGAGTAGTAAAAGTAGCAGTTTGAACTCCAATTCTGGTGTCATAAGCCGTGATATTCCTGGAATATTGCTAAAGCTGCATAAAACCATACTCACTAACTCACTCACAAATGTGTATTTTCAATGCGCCAAATCAATCGACTGAAGCATTTTCAAATCGCTACATTATCATAATCCCCGTGCGTGGATCGGTGTGCACTCGCACTACACATCCTGCTACGTATACAACCTAAGCTGTGAGGCTCTAGAAGGTTTACAGACACATTAACATCTAATCCTACAAGGTATCCATTTACTTCTGGCATAGTTCGTAAAAAGACACTTGCGTAAACATGGAGTGTGGCGCAGGACCGAAGCCCAAGTAGCTCTCAATCCAGAGTCACCCATCCGCCCACTCACCGCGACCATCATTACTTGATTTGTGACCTGGACTACACACAAGATCACGTGCCACCATGTAGAGAATTCTTGCAATAATATTTTTTACAATTTCTCTACCCATTCACGTCTGTGTGAACAGAGGCATATTTCGAGCAAAGACACTTGCGTGAGGGCACCACATGTTTACTGTATTTCAGTGTGACGCAGTACTAAATCACTAGCAGCTCGTCGCTGTCAAGTCTTCTGGTCACCCATCCGCCCACTTACCGCGACAGACGTTGCTGAACGTTGCGTGAGGTTATCCCAGCAATAATAGATCTTGCAATTTCTCTACTTATTAAGGGCAACTCTGAGCTGTTCACTGTGATGACGAGGAAACTGATTGACCTGTTGACCAACCTGGAGGACCACACCCTGATGCGGGTCAAATTTGTTGACGCAGCTGTATATGATGTTCTTATAAAGGCCATGAACAAGTAGGTGCCGTGTTCATGTTAACCTGATATATCATATCATATCTAAAATATTTGATAGAAAAGTATCCATCTCTACAGGCAAAGAAAGCAATGTTTCCTATAATACATATTTTCATAAATGTCAAAATGTGTGTTTACATGCGCTGTTCAGATAGTTGACGTGTGGGTATAAATTGGGGATCAAAATGCAGAACTACTGCGAAAGTGCAAGCGAATTATTTTTAATGATTTGTAGGATTGCGAAAATATGCATGTAATAGTTTTATACAAAGTGTATCAAATATTGGTGTATAATATATTCTGTGGACATCATCCTGGCAGTTTTACATTTTACAACTTTCCTTAAGATAGCGACGTTTTATTCAGGATTTGCTAGTGTATGAGATACACAGGACAATCTTAACATTAATGTATTTCACCACGACATTGGAGACACACAATTGGCATAGGTAAATTCTTGAGACAAATTGTGTATAACTAAATCAACCTATGAATTTGCACCTGAAAATATGAACTTGAGTTTGAACAAAAAGTGTGTAGATATGTGAATGTAGATGTTTAGCTCAACAATGCAAAATGGTGAAGTACGTTACAGGGAGAGAGCATTTCATGTTATCAAAGATGTGTCATTAATCTTGAGGGGTTATTCTCTTGCATCGACAATTTACATTATTATGTTGACGACGAGTCGCACTGTTAGTTGGCCTGCCTTAGAAGTGAGTGGTAACGGAATCCAATCCTCGAATACTTGAATGTAACCTTGGCCTCACATGTCTGAATAACGATGTGAACAAGTACTACATGGCTTGAATCTGTTGCAGAACTCCTGAACACCGTCGGCTGATGATAGACCTGATGAAGGCATGTCTTAGGATCAACCAGCCGATGACAGCCAAGGCGGCTTATAAATGCGTCAGGGAAGCAGAAAAGTTTCTGAAGTGGAAGGTAGACAATCAGCGACCACATTAGTACAGCTATACTATAATCCTACATTGAATATACAGACTGAGTACTTATAAAATATATTTGGTACAGTGTGTTAAGAATGTGTCAAACGGACTAGTTCTAAAATTATAAATAGAATAATATCCTGTTTTATTCTACAAACCTAATTGCGAATAAAACCTAAATAAGAAATCTCAGGTGTGAGGGAATGAGTTTGTCATGCTATGGAATCTGTGGTACCATGATCTTGATGATTGTTTTCAGGAGCATGTGAAAGATGCGCATGAGATTCTGGACATCCTGATGACAGTCCGAGTGTTTGGAGAAGAGGAAGAGATCGATGAGTTTGCTGAATACTACAAAAACTTTTGCAGTTACTTCGCCGATCAATTGAAGTAAGGTTACAATTACCCATATGTATAAGTGAACTTGGTTTACAAAACGTGTATGTTCACCTGCAAGGAAAGATTTACATTGAGGAACAAGTTTTAATGTCAATTATGATTTCAAGCTTGAAAATCTCTTGTGACATCCCGTAGAGATTACAGGTTAGAATATGGAGTTTCCGACTCTGGGACGTCCGTGTCATCGTGCCCCGATGGATCGGAACGATGCTCATGCTTTCAGTCACTGGCTTTCCTTGTCTAGACTCCATTATACAGTCCGCCATCACTAGTCCAGGACAACACTCCGAACCAGTAAGCTTCGGGGTGATCCAATCTTTGCGGAGATGTATCGTACCAGAGTAAAATATCTCGTGTTAAGTACGTCTTTGTATATCGTGGGTGTTTTACCTACATTGTGAAACACGTATGTATAGTACGCATGCTCTCTTGAGTTCTAGCCTTTATGATTCTGTTTCCAGGAGGGATCGTATCATTCCCCAAATGGTTGACAAAATGGTCGAATTTAGTTTGAAAATTCTTGAGAGGAGAGAAGGCCGCCTGTTCGAAGCTGGAAGTGAAGTTGCAGATGAAATAGAGTTCATCGGAAAGGTGAGTTTACTTGTGAATGGCGAATTCTGGACTGACGACAATCCTGGTATTTGTTCTTCTAAAACGTGACAGTGACAGTAGCCAACTTGCATTTGTTGTTTTTGTCTTTTACGGGTTTATAACATAGGATTTTAATGTTTGTTCCATTGATTGTATCTTTTCAGAAAAACAAGGACCTGATAATGTCGACATTTTCCAATCTGCTGCCCTTCCTGAAAGATCCCAACTTTCCCTGGAAAGGCGACTGGTTCGGTTATTCGGGCAGGATTGTTAGCAAGCTTGCCCCGAGCTCGATTGAAGCCTTGTAAGTAGTACATTTACACTGCACGGATATATAGAAACTGATACTAGACGAAATAGGCGTTGCGATATTTGGACAGACAAAGCGTTAAAATATTCAGAATCTATGCCGACATGTAGACTGACATATACATTAGACATTCTGAATGAGATTAAATGACATTGGCAGACTTAATCGGATAAAAGTTATAAACTCAAACAGATGAAACAAACGCAATGGCAGATGAATGGTAACTGAAAGCTAATGCCAATTCTTTATCTTGCAGAGAGCCCAAAAGCATAACTGAAAAGGACCTAAGTGTCATTGCCTACTTCGTGATGACGGTGATGAAGGGAGACTTCATTGATGAGGAAACTAACACACCAAGCACAATCTACTTCCAGCTGTACTGTTCGGTCGCGACAAAATTTCTCAGCCTTGTAAGCGGTTCAGTTTTAACATTATTCACCTGTAGAATAGATGGGTTGTATGCGAATACTTTCAGCAAATAGCCTCTGTGGGTGCCAATTAAACACTGATAATATATATTTGCTTGCTGAATAGCTTAACCTGGGGCAGTCAAGACTTTGAACAGCAAGTGCTGACTTCAGGATTGTAACATTTAGACATACAATCCATTACAATAAACTACGGTTATAACGAACACGCTTATAACGAACTGACCGATATAACGAATTTATTTTTTAGTCCCGGCCATTTGTTGTATATATGCGGTATGTATGCTTATAACAAACTATGGTTATAACGCAACAAACTTAGTGGTCCCTTTGAGTTCGTTATAACCGTAGTTTACTGTATTGTGATTTTAAGCCTCTTATTGAGCAATCAGGATAAATTATGTTCCAAAGTCATGGTAGAATTTGATGGTTATATCCCAGGTGATACATGTTCCACACATTATGATACAGTCAATACTTTTATCATGATCCTTCGTCTCTGTGCCCACAGCTGGACGACCAGGAGAAGGCGCAGCGAGCCATCCTAGTGTTGAGAGAAATTGTCAACTTGACGACTCACGAATATAGCGAAGTTTCTGACATGGCCATGGCCCAGGTCAGCCTCGTTGTGGGGAATGGGTCAAAGGTCATGGCACCGTTCTTTCCCAAGCTGATGGACGTTTACATGGACACAGAGAATTCCACATTGTTATGTATGTTTTACGTTTCGACTTTACGTGAATAATGTTATACTTCCTTCATGCAGCAAAAGGTTGCTTTCATACGTTTCCTTCTTTCGTTAAGCTTTGAATTTGTTAGTGAGGACGATTTCACAAGTGGATTTCACTACAGTACAAATACTTTTACTGAACGCCTTTTTTTCAAGATCCCTTGAGTCAGATCTACCCACACTACCCCAAACTTCAAGATCAACAATTCCAAACTATCTTCGAGTTGATCGACACCCCAGAACGGTCGTCTGTATTACAATGGTGTATAGAGATAGCCAAGAAACAACCGAATGTAAGTTGGTGTGATAGCAAAAGTATGATAAAGTGTTAGTGGATACAAACCGTTTTATAGGGGTAGGATTATATTACTTATGGAATAACCTATGGGATCGCTTGAATCAAACACAAAGGTAAAGACATGCATTCTAAAATGCTGTGTTACAAGTATGTGACATGGTGAGTGACTTTTCATTGAACCCGATTGGGACCACGTGGGACCCGGACCACATCTTTTGGCATCTTTGTGATGAAACTCTCAATGTTAGCTCTGTGGATCACATCGTCCCAAGGCAAGGGAGCTAACTGGCTGTAACAGTCCAGTGTCCACCCTTGCGCAAAGGGGCCGGAATTTCTGGGCTCGATCGAAGCGCAACCAGCGTCTATTACGAATTATGTCCCTGCTCAGTCCCTCCCAGTCAGATTCCACCTCCCATATCACTTGCGTTTACTTCAAACGAAATGGCGGTCAAGACGATCTGATCGATAATCAATATACATGAGATAAAACGGGTCTTACTTCGGAAAGTGCGTCAAATGACGTGAGCACCTTGATTAAAAACATGAAAAGATGTGGAAAATATCTGTTGACGCCAGGCTCTTACCATCAGAAAGCCACCACTGAACAGGTCATGCGTTGCTAGCACTCATGAGTACATCTCCAACGCATTGTCTATCTGTGCCTCCAAAGATTCACGACAGCATCATCGCAAAAGAAATATTAAGTTTAAAATATCAATACTTTTACAAAATATATATGTTATGTTGTGTTTCTGTGTTTAGTTCGATAAAGTAAAGCAAACGGTGCTAATGTTATGTAGCCTGAAAGCCTGACGAGCAACAAACAAAACTGGCGAGCTCCTTAACATTGAGATAATTTCATTTGGCGCTATTCTATTGCATACTATTGTGTCATTGTAACGGCATCGATACCTTTGTTCACGGTGGTAGTATGACTGATGCCATCATCGAAATGACACCAAATGAGAAGTGATTTCTTTATTCTTCACGATTGGGACAAAAATGAAGTAGGAAATAGAAAACGCTTATTAATCTAAATTATTAAATGACGAAATAACTGATTGAACAAAATATATTATTATGAGGAATAATTACAACTCATGACAGGAAGGAGACACTTTGTCAATGTAATTTGACCATGCACTCTGATCAAAATGGTGTACCATACATATAACTATCTAGAGATATTTGAACTATTTCCAGTTGTTTACTGAGGGCAATATTGGTAAGCTGATTGAGGAGATGTTCCAAGGCGATGAAAGGATGCAGGCAATGTATATGATGGTCATGGAACCACTTTCCAAGAAGATACCAAGAAAGCTCATCCCACACCTGAAAACTCTGATGGAAGGCGATGTTAACTCCCAATACGGTGCCAAGTATCAACTCTTCATTGTTCTCAAGAATGTGGCCATTATGAGTGAAGACGAGGTACTTTGTTCTTGATATACTTAAACATGAATGCGCCTTAACACTGTAATAGCACATTGAGGCTGACATATCAGTTAATACAATAGATTCTGCACAATCTCTTTGAGAGAATGAGTCAGAGTGCCTTCAAACTGCTCAGATAAGCATTGTTAAATGTCAACCCCACAGAATAACCGTTTATCTGCTGGAAAAGATTCCATTTGGGGCAACAGGCAAAGTAGTGTAGATATTATGATGAACCCCTGAAAGTTTGATACCTTTTCACTTAGTGTTATTTATCAAAAAAGGTATAGAAATTTAACAAAGTGAAACTAAATGAAACTAAACTGAGCCCTTATCTGATGCTACCACAGTACTACAAGGCAACAAGAGGTGCTGAGGAACTATTCGATTCCGAGTCAGATATGTGGCAACTATGTTACACAACAGTAGTTTGTTCGGAAAGCACATGTTTTACTGACAAATTCTTTTTTAATATAGATCCGGTTTTTTAAACCGGCTATGGTGGCAAACGTGGATAAGAGGTGTTTGAGTACTGAGGAACTGTTCTTACACATAGAAACATATGATCCAGTACTGGTTTCCATGGAATATTGTTGGGAACATTCTTGCGTTTTCGAGATTTTGCGTGCGAGAATATGAGATTGGCAGAAAACAAGATGTTCATAGGTTTTGCATATTTAGCATGTTATCAAAGGCCATGATCGCGAGGATGCCCCTTACAGTATGCCATAGGTTCCTGTTTGCTGACAAGCCAGTATGCTGTTCATGCTGGGATAAACGTGGCATATCCGCAGACAAACAACACTGCTGGAAATGATTTTCAAACCAGAAGATTATGCAATTCAAATCATTAATCCACATCAATAAATAGTTCATAACGTCGGTCTTTGTTAAAATATATCATATTTAAAGTCAATATATATCCAGGTTACAAAACCCATTTATCAAACAGATAGAGGTCCAACATCTGTAATCTGCTAAGGGAAATCTTGGTACGTCCGTAATCATTTGGAAAGTAAATGTTTGTAACACAGGCTTTGGCAGAGGATGTGATGGCATACCTAGAGAAGGTCCTTCGAGGTCCTGAAGACAACATGGTGACTTCCACCTGCATCAATGAGATGCGTGCTATAGGAGGTGTATACCGACCACTGTTGGAGCGTCGTAAACCAGCCATAGAGGACTTGAGGAAACGAACTACTACACAAACAACAAAGGACCAGTGTACCTTCATCTTGGATGTCCTAGAAGGAAGAAGGTGAGAATATTAGGGCACTGTCAAGGACATAATTAAGGTAATGCCTGGTAGAACATGGAATGGAATTATTCGATGATACTTTCCTTCTGTCCAAAAACTAATATGCCTCACTGATCTGTTTATTGAAAGTCGCACCCCTGACAATTACTGTGTTAATAAACCTACAGCCTGGAGTCCCTGGCTGAAGAGATCAAGGATGTAAAAGAAGATGTGGAAGAACTGGACACACGAGTGACAAGTACTGAGGTTGGCCTGGTGCTGCTCAACCAAGAGGTGGGTGAGCAGCGAGAGGAGCTGGATGGGGTCAAAGTCGACGTTAAGGCTCATGGCAAGAAGATTGGCCAACTGGAGGAGACAGTGGATGACACCAAGGCTAAAGTGGAGGAACTTGACGGAAAGGTAAGCTGTCGTTTTGGTTTTGAAATGAATGACAGTAATATGGTTTGAAAGGAGGGACTCTAAAATGTTTCAAGAATAACGATGCAAAAACACAACATTTTCAATGGTAACAAACAAAATCTAAACCTTTCAATATCATCTGAAACCTTGCTAAAACTGCTACGTTTGCTACTGATTATACCGGTATAGTAAACAAAGATCAGGGGAGTCTAATTTTACAACTCTCTTTCATCAATCATTCAGACGCTTAGTCATGCTCCCTATTGGGCAAGAGACGTGGCCAAACTGCTCAACCCTGAAGACCTTCTGGACTGGACACTTCTCTCTAGACGTCTTGGCTACACCAATGATGACATCAGGAGCTGGGCTCAGATGCACGACCCATGTATGGCCATGCTGAATGAATGGTACGCCACTCGGAAGACGAGGGAAGCCACATACGCTGTGCTGACAGCACTGCAAGAGATGGACAGGATGGATGCAGCTGTGATCGTGGAGAATGCAATGAAGATGACAGGTAAAGACATGAATTGCATATTTTTTATCATCTGTTTACCAACCGTTATGTAAATGTTTAATCATTTTTGAAGATCACAATTCCCACTACTAAACTGATGTAGAATAATAATAATTTTTTGTATTTACTCCAACAGCTTTATCCTGGCGTTGCAGCAGTTGTCACCATCAAAGGAAAGTTCAATTGTTACAATGTCTTATAATCACGTATTGATGTCTTGTCAACATAGTTTTAAGATTATAGAGTGGTCACATGTTTAATTATTTTCTCAGAAGCTGTAGTCGAGGACGAAGAGTTTGAGTACCCAGAGCCTCCAGAGGTGTTTATCAGCTACCAGTGGGGAATCCAGAACGAGGTGAAGCTTCTGAAGCTGCACCTGGAGAAGGCGGGCTTCACGTGCTGGATGGACATTGGTCAGATGGGAGGCGGAGACAAGCTGTTCGAGAAGATTGACCAGGGAATCAGGGCAGCCAAGATCATCATCTGTTGTGTCACTGGGAAATATGCCAAGTCTCCAAACTGCAATAGAGAGGTATGTGTCCGGATAATTTCCATTGACATTAAAGTCTATTTTCTAACAACATCAAAGTTTCAAGTGTTCCGAAAAAGAATATTTAATAATCCATGACATCATTCATCTGGGGGTTAATGATTTCAATTGCTGAGAAACTGTGACGAAAAGGCGTATTGTGTCCGAAATGTGTTCGATGAAGTGCATTGATTTTTATATGGACATGTTGTGTTTTGGCTTAAGGTGAACCTCTCGGTAAGCCTGGGTAAGCCCATCATCCCTCTGTTGATGGAGAAACTGTCTTGGCCACCACCAGGCTCAATGGGGCCAATCTTCAGTGAGTATCTGTTCATCCGATTCTTCACCCGGCCTGGGGAGGAGACTGGTGACGTCAGGTTCTGGTCAGCAGCCAAGTTCCAGGAACTCCTGATGCAGGTCAACTACAACAACGTCAAGCCGGAGGAACATAAGGTGGAAAAAGGTGGGCAAATTAGGAAGCATAGATAGCGAGAGGGGAGGCATGTGTGGATATTTATGTAATGCAAAATTCAGTGAAGATAGTCCAAATATGTTGGATTTCAACTTTCACCAGGTGTGCTGAAATTATAGTTACATTCGAATGATGAGAAAGTTATCTTAAACATTTCTGAAATCTTCTACCTAATAATCTATTATTGTTGAAACTCAAATGAATTCGGAAGAACGCCATAACATATATATTTTTTTCACACAAAGAATACAAGAACTGGTGGTGTCCTGTGGCTGAAGTAATCAAGATAGAAAAGAAGGATGTGAAGGCGATGACGGCCGCCAGTCAGCAGAAACAGGAGGAGGTTGAGGTTGGTGGAACAGACCGAATATTTGATTAACTATAGTTTACTTCTGATATATGTTTGCCGTGGTCACATTTTTGGATCACAGGCTTATATGATCGTTCTGAACTGCAGTTATCTGAGTTTTGTTTGCATAAAAAATACGAGGAAAAAAAGTGTTCTCATTAGATCATGAAATCTTTTCACTTTTTGATAGTGATTCACTAATGTAGTTGGATGATATATAATGCATTCTGCTTTTGGCATAGATTTCTTATGAATGTGGAAAGGGTTATGTTCCGTTTATTACAATATTTAAAGTCGCATCATTGTTGGTAGAATATTTTGTACATGCTTAGAGGTGATCAAATATACTGTTTATGTGTCACATATTTACTGTTTCCGTGTTTATTTGTTACAGTCTGGAGCAGCCTCTCCTGATGTATTCATCTCCTACCAGTGGGGAAAACAGAAGCAGATTCAACTCATGTACAAGCGCCTGACTGAGATGGGCTTCACCGTCTGGATGGACATCTACCAAATGGGAGGTGGGGACTCCCTCTATGACAAAATTGACAAGGGTGTGCGGGGGGCAAAGATCGTGCTCACGTGTGTCACCTCAAAATATTCCCTGTCGGCCAACTGCAGGAGGGAAGTCAGTCTCGCTGATGCCCTCAAGAAGCCAATAGTGCCTCTGTTGCTGGAGAAGATGACATGGCCACCATCTGGCCCGATGAGCATGGTGTTCACTCAGCTTCTGTACATCAACTTTGCCAAGGATGAATCTGTTCAGGAAAGATGGGATGGAGAAAAGTTTGATGAACTATTGACCAAATTAGATCAGTACGTGCCGAATATTATTGTGTCAGGTGATGAGGAACCAGAAGAACCTGTTCCTTCTACTGACGATAAGGAGGACACACCACCACCGACCCCTGAGCCCGAAGTAAAACCAGCAGCAGAGCCTGAAAAACCACCACAAAAACGGCAGCCGTCTCAACAACAGCAACAACCACGAACAGAACGGATTCCACAGCAGTATCAGCAACCCCCTCCACAACAACCCCCGCCACAACCCAAGACGCAGCAGCAGCCCCCGCCTCAGCAGCAACCACAGAGACATCAACCACCGCCCAGTCAACCAGAGCAAAAGAAGTCAAGGTCCTGCTTGATACTGTAGAAACACATTTAGCCTTTCCCGAACACGTGGTGTCATCAGTGATCCATCCACATAATTTTTACTTCTATTTTGCCTTGTTCGCCCATTGGTGTCGGTTTCAGTGGAGAATCGAGACTGGATATTCTTGTGCTGATGTTTAACTTAAAAGCAAACCGTGACAAACTGTAAATAAAAGCGATAAAACCCTTTCCACGTTCATAAAAAACCTCCGCCTTAAGCAGTCATTTAAGTTTTTTATCCTGTACTAATGTTTTCCGTCTTTTGATTTAATCGCTGCTTGTATGCACTTGTCATCACAGAAGGCCTACCTTTTTCGGATTACTGTTACTTTAACCAACGAGGCGCCAATAGTGAACTGAACACTTCTACAATTTACCCATAGGAAGAGAGATGCCAAGCAGTACATTATGTATATGTGTAATTGATTTTCGTCATCTTGTCACATAGAAAACCAATGAAGTAATATAGTTTAGTGTGTTCATAATATTACAAATACATGGCAGAAGCACTTTGAATATAGTACATGTATTTCCATGTATTCTTAATGCTACATAGTCTCTTATAAGCGTATTGTGATTGGCACGAAACGGGAATCTGTACTCAAAGAAGTGTTATTTGAGTGAGTGTAATACATATAATATATAATATGAGATAATCATGTTAATAATCATGTTGATAATGTGTGCGTGCGAATTGTTGATCGATTTGGCAATGGGTTAAAAGCGTGTTTGTGGACATAAACTGTGATATTACTGGCTGACGAATGTAAATACTTCATCCACAAATTACTTCTTGAAACCGTTCATGATGCGTCATATAATTTTGTATGCCTAACTGTGATACCCATGGTTTGTATTTATTTTAAAAAATATTTTTATTCATGTGATATTTTTATGAATGTAGATATGTAAATCCTCTTTTGTGTAAACTGTCGGGCAGAAGAAAGTATATACTTAAAAACTGGATTTCACCAAAATATTATAAACGTTAAAAAAAAATTACTCAGTTAAAAACAGTCGCAGAAACACTGAATCGAAGGGTCCAAAACATACATCCGAAACGCGCATCAAGACATAACCATGCAAAAAACATTTCTTGTTTGTTTCTTTTTAGCCACCATCAATCATGAGTGTATACGTTCTTAGGTCTGGCTGTGAATGTGTTTCTAACATCGTCTCCACTGTGTATGAAGCTGCCGTTGATTAGTTGTCAAGTGTTTATTTATGCCAATACTGTGTCTTATACAGAGAACTATACACCGAATAAATGAGACTGAAGTCTGATCACCTTGGTCATGTTGCATAACGATCTCACGTTTGGACGTCGCATCAAAGTGCCGCTCACTAATTAGCACGAAGCACTTACCTGTATTTGCCGTGTCACATGGTTGAAAATAGTGTTCATTTCTTCAATTAAATGTTTCCCTGTGGACATTCCAGGACAGTCCTCTCGTGAACGCTTAGGGTAGTGTGACCAGGGCCCACTTGCACAAAGCGATCTTAGTGCTAAGATGATCTTAACTCCCATACTTTAACATAGGCTTACAATAGACTTAGCGCTAAGATCGTTTTGTGCAAGTGGGCCCTGGACTTAGTGGATTGCGTGTCACTGTGCCCTAATGACATGTCATTGAGTCCTGATGGCATGTCATTGTACCCTGATAGCGTATCATTGTGCCTTGATGGCCTGTCATTGTGCCTTGATGGCGTGCAATTGTTCCCTGATGGCGTGTCATTGTGCCCTGATGGTCTGTCATTGTGCCTTGATAGCGTGTCATTGTGCCCTGATGGCGTATCATTGTGCCTTGATGGCGTGTCGTTGCTCACTGATGGCGTGTCATTGTGCCTTGATGGTTCGAATCCCGGTTCGCCCCGATTATGTTTCTAGGTTTGTCAGCACCATATCGAAGTGGCAAACGTCTGAAACCTGCATCACTTGGGGCTTTCCTCCCACATTAAGCTGACACGCCGCGATATAACTGGAATACTGTTAAAAGCGGCGTAAAACCCAACTCACTTACTCACTCACTCACGTGTTTTGTGATCTGATGCGAACCGTGCGGCTAAAATGTGTTTTCAGTAGATGCATATACCCACCACCGTAATAACACGAACCATAGAGACATACAGAGGAATAGGCACGTTTAGAGATGTTTCCAGTGTGTACGCATTAATGACAAACCTTACTATCAGTAAATTTTATTTGTCTTTATTCTTATCAGCTTCACGTTATTTCCAAAATTTACACCATAATCCTGCGCAAGACAAATGGTGCATCTCGAGTTATGGATCTATGACGTCACATGCGATGCGTTCATGAGCGTCGGTTCACACCACATAACAGAATGTTCGTTTGTGCATCGAACTAATCTGATATCTCTTGAATATGAGTAATTATTCACATATTAACCAACATAGCTCGTATGGTATTAGCGTTTAAATTGGCGGTGAGAATATAAATATCTGTGTATTGATCCATGAGACGTCGGGTTGACGAGGCCGAACTGTATAGAAGTCATACGTCTTTTGCACTACATGAATATATATATATCGTTTCATTGTGATCAATACATTGCGCAATTCTCTTGAATACCTATATTTAAACATAAACGATATCAGCGGCCTCGTTTTATCCTGGAGTGGCGTTGTATGGGTCATTATGCACCAGGTATTTCCATTGACAAACGTACGCGAGAATCGACGGTCTTAGCTGTTTAGACATTGCCATGGTAGCAAACATTGACTGGATGAATGACTGGAATCAGGTCAAAGTAGAGACAGCTATCACGAGGCCATTCCAACAACAGGGCTTGGTATCTGTGACACCACGCCGCCCGGCTTACTTGATGTCATTCTCCGTGAGACGCGTAACGTGGAATATATTTGGAGGTGGATGTACAGCATAGCGTGTATATAGATACTGGATACTGGACACTACTGATTGGATTCTGATGTGTGTTGTTTTTGCATTAGCACCTACAACGACGTACTTGACAAAGGTAACGCATCAGGTATATATGAACATAGACATTGAAATCATGTTGTCGTTTACATACAGTAATACCATCACAACTTGATGTTAAATGTTGCCAATGTACATTAATTACCCTTAGACAACAAGTAAAGGTGAAGCATGTATGGATATGTCCAGCATTGAAACCCTCATTCTAAGCACAGCATACAGCGTCTGTAACAAGGGACTACGGAGCCCACACACGCAGCAATAGTGATTGACAGCTGAACATGGGTCACATTGAACGGGTCACACGTGAAATCATCAATCGAGCGGACTCATTGTTTATACACCCTTGTTTAAAACCGAGTGTCCGAGTGAGGTGAAACATGACACAAGATTTATTGGGAATCGTTATTTATGCCATCTGGAAATAACGCACTATGACACGGTTGCTATAACACTCTCAGCAGTACTAGTTCAGTGCGTGAATAAACATTGTAGCAGTTACACACAGTGTACACAATGATAAAGTAATCAAGGTCAACAAACCTTATTGTATTAAAGGCCTCCGCCCCACAACGCAGTTCACTGATCACAGACGCATGTAATGTGACATAAGTGACGGCGGTACACAAACTGAGTGTTCCATTATCAGTGTTAATAAAGAAACAAAAGGAGAAATACTTTGAGTTGAATGTACCTCATTTTTAAGTCAATATTTTCAGAATAATAAGTGAGAAAGATTTATTCATAACCGAGAAAAAATAATTAAAAAAAATATGGGTACTGTTATGTACTCATTCCAGAATATATTCATCAGTCGCTTGTGTTGTCTGTATCTATTTCTGTGTGATTTGTCGATCCGGAAGGGGAATCAGTTGCAGTGTCTCAGTCTTCAAACTTGTACCATATGTTCCCGTTCAGATGAAAATACGGCTTGCCTTTGCATGTGTTTGTGACGGGTGCCACCGGTGGAGCAGGATACGCTCACCTTTTCGCGAACACCTGGTGTCATCACTATTTGATAGTGGTTCATAAACACATGCTCATGATATAGTAGGAACCGTACATTCGACTCTGCTTTTAGTAGACATTTCTTATGAATTGTGAAAGGGCTTTGTCGCTTGTATGTATTCATACTCGCTCAGGTTGCACGTCGTGTGCTTGAGAAACAAGTGTACTTTACTATCATGTGATGCTTCTGATATTGATGTAGAGTATGTTATGTTGTGTTGTGGCAACTGGTCATTACATTAACGCAATATGGAGCACAGTATGTTTACATTAGAACTCATAGATAAATATGATGCGCGACCCATGCGTCGTAGCCAATAGTAGAGTAAATAAATAAATAAACGGCTATCAGAGGAGCATTTGTATGAGAGGGTCGTGTAGTCTTATCTCATGATAGTCCTTTCAGGTCATGCTTTTCATGTACATGGTGGATATATGTGCTGTGTCATTGAAGGCGGTGACCAGAGAAAGTTCAGAACCATTCGTCAAAAGTGAAAGCAAATGTCATCTGAAGTGTACTGAGAAAACAACATGTGTAATGTTAGATAAATAAATGTGAATTAGGGGGAAAGGACATTTAGGCAAGAAGTAAGGTGGCTAGTGAGTGGGTGGATGGTTGGGTTTTTGGTGAGCGAGTGAGTTTATCTACATAGACTATGCGTGCAGATGCGGGACGATTATTCATAACGGAGTGGTTTGTATATTCAATCCAGTGTCGATTACATAATTCGGTCACAAACACAACTCAACACAACTCACCACAACCCAACTCCCACATATGCTTCACCAGCCACTATCCGATACTACCACCAGGCACATCCCCACAAAGATTATTCCTTTGTCACTGGTGAAAGTATTCTTCTTCTACATAAGAACGAATCAGGAGGTAATGCTATTACTGATTTGAATGATGTATACAGTGATTATTGTGAAGTTTAGATAGGAAATATTACTTATTTAATATATATATATGACATGAAACCCGATGACTTACTCCCTCCCTCTACGTCTACAGTGACGATGGAGCACCTGGTACGAAGGTACGACTTCATGACGGCGGGCCATGACCAGAGAGTTGACTTCAGCAATGAACAGAGAATAAACTCCGACAAGTACGAGGCGGTGGTGAACGAGGAGGATCTCCTTGGGGCGTTCAGGTTGCTGAGGAAGGGGGTGTGTCGACCGGATTTCCCCGGAGAGAGTTCTGATCAGTTTTATTTCGCTAAAGATGTGCTGGAAAATCTGATGACTTGGTCAGAGTGAGTATTGAACATTTTCCTGGAATTTCATGTCTTTTATCATATCAAAACATGCATACATCTGTCCTACGTTTTTTATCCAACGCGTTTTTTTCAGGGATTTGATGGAAAATGGGAAGATGAAATCCTTGTCCCGCATCCATGACTTCTGCTTCGACTTCCTTCACGACCTGATCCAGCAGGGGCCGGGGACGACACACATGAAGTTGTGGAGCTTGATGTTTGGCAACCGTGGCTTTGGGTTTAAAGAGTATTATCATGTAAGTGCACGTTGCATCTGTATATTGAGAGGTATTATGAAACTGTCCTGACCAATGCCCGTGAAGATTCCGGGGATAGAATAGGTGTTCAGCAACCCATGCTTGCCGTAAAAGATGACCATGCTTGTCGTAAGAGGCGACTAACGGGATCGGGTGGTCAGGCTCGCTGACTTGGTTTATACATGTGATCGTATCCCAATTGGGTGAATCGATAGATTGTCTGGTCCAATCTGGACTGGATTGTACGTCGATTATGTACAGATGGCCGTCATGTAGCTGGGATATTGCTGAGTGCGGCGTTCAACAACAAATAAATAAACAAACAACAAACCTTCATCAACTCAGTTTATCTCAAATCGTAGCATCGGTAAATGCCTCAACACACTCCGTAGCCTTTCTACGGGGAGGTATAGCACATTAGTTTGTGAACCGCCTACCTTAAATACACACTTTGCATAGTTTCCATGGATTAGTATTTGGATTAAACCAAATTTTAGTGTCAGTAAATGCCAAATCCTGAAGTCAGGAAATTCTACACCCTAAAATCAGTAATTGCTGAATCCGAAAGTTAGTAAATGCTAAATCCTAAAGAAACAAATGCTACACTCTAAAGTCAGTAAATGTTAACTCTCAAAGAGAACAGCTACAACATACAAGTGGTCAGCCTGTGTCCTACTAGGACACGGTGGGTAGTGGGTTTAAACCCCCGATTAACCCCGTAAATACTCATCTCAGTGATAAACTATCAACCTGCATTACTAGTATTTGGACTATAAGGTACTATTTAAAGATATGTAACGATTCCCTTACTATGGATATGCAGGACAGGATATGAGTTCACCTCGGACATGATTCGTTATTCCAGACATTTGATGGTCCAGACGATTTCACTGAGAACGGTAATGTCCAGTGAAGCAGTGTTTCACTGTGTTTAGAAGGAGTAAACAGATATGTGCTAACTGCCATGATGATTGATGTATCTGCTCCAAAAGCGCCGGTGCATGTTATTAAGAACAGCACTTTTTGAAGTATCAAGGATTTGGGTTGTTGCCGCATTGAATACTTTACCTTCAATTCGGGTGGGTGTTCACTTGACAATATACACGAATATTCTCGGTGAAAGTTGTCAGGTGTTTTCTGTTTAGAACCTCACAGGAGACAAGCTGAAGAGTCACGTACGGTTTCTGATGAGGGAGTACAGGAGCCGGGAGCCTGGGCCTGACAGAGAGAGGTTCGAGATCACCTTTAGAACAGCCATCGATTACATCGTTGGAAAAGACTGCTTCAAGTGAGTATATAACTGTTATTTCCCATCGGGTTATAAATAACTAATTTGATAAAAATCGTATGTGCACAAGTATGTTGCTTTCTTCCAGGGCGGCAATGTTGACGTTATTCGACAGTGACGTAAGGTCGTAATGACGTCAGACGTAAGGTCGTAATGACATCAGACTAGCAACGACGTAAGAGGTGAAGACATCGTCAGTTGTTGTTTTCTTAGACGGCGGTCGTGTTCAGTGCATGTTTCTAAAGGGGAGTTCAAAATGATTGAGACATAACGGGTAATAAAAAGATTATTACACTCGCATGCACGTCATACTGATTTTACGAAATTCGTGTAAGAATCCATGTATTCACTCGCTTAAAAAACAATAATTCTGACACTCATTTCGTCAAATCAGTATGACACAAATGTTTGTAGTAAGCAAATAAAAAAGAGAAAAGTGTCTACTTGAAAGCTGTATGGGGATACCTCATGACACTGTTAACTCACGGTACCACATGAACATTGACAGTATTACGGCTACATGCATGTTTATCTGTTGTATCATGTATATCAACTATGTGGTGAGGTGAGGTGAAATGGGGTTTAACGTCGCGACCAAGATTATTGCACTTATATAGCGACTTGCATGTACGTGTGTGTGTTTGTGTGGCTGCTTGTACTAGTCCGGACTGAGATACATTTCCGCAGTTTAACATAAATACTCCACTCAGACACAGTATACTGACTCCGAGTCGACCAGTCCTTGTTTTAGCTCCTTAATGCCGAGCGCCAGACAGGGTAACAACAAGTACCATCTTTTAACGTCTTTTGGTATGACGCGGTCTGGGATCGAACCCCGAAACCCGCTCTCAGGGCAGACGCTCTACAACTAGACCACGGAGGCGGTTCAACTATGTGGAGGTTTCAAATCTGCATTAATATAATTTTGTATTCACTTCCAGAAGTTGCGATGATAAGATTGAATGTGCAGTCTCCAAGCCAATAAGAATGCTGTCGTTAATTTCAGAGAGGAAACTTTCAAGGAAATGCAGACAGAGTTCATAGAATTGTACATTTACCTAGAGTTAACGTTCCTGACTCGTTCAAAGGAAGTTCAGGAAATCCACCACCGCATTCCACATAGTCTGTGGTATATATATGACAGGAACATCTTCAAGGTGAGAACACGTTGTGCATACGTGTGAGTGTGAGAGAGAGCGAGCGATAGAGAGATAGAAGAGAGAGAGAGAGAGGGAGAGAGAAGAGAGAATAAAAGATGATTAAAGAGAGGTTAGATGGAGGATAGAGGGAGAGGATAGAGTGTGAGAATAGAGAATAGAAGAGGTTGGATGGAAGAGAGAGAGAGAGAGAGAGAGAGAGAGAGAGAGAGAGAATTTAAAGTTTGTAATCATCCGTTGTTCAGGACATCATTGACCCCGAGATGTACAAACGTTTCCTGAAGCGTCTTGCAGACATCATCTGCCATCTCAACCTCACCACCGAGGAGTCCGAGAAGGTGCTCAAGAGTGTAACTGATATTGTTCAGATGTTGCTGTCAGCGATCGGGTGAGTAGAATCCGTGATACGTGTAGTCAATCAATGTCCCTTAGACATGGTATGTAAGTATAAAGTACGCATGTTAGTACACACGACACATGCAGACAATCAGTGTTCCTTTAGCCCTGACATGTAAGCGAGTACTCACGACACATGCAGACAATCAGGGTTCCTTTAGCCATGTAAGCAGGTGAGCAAGTACCCGCGCCACAATCCATTTCCTTTAAGCATTTGATCTGTTTGTACCAACGACACTGGTCAGCAGTTAGTTGTATCCCTGCCATCTTTAGACCACTGGCGTACTTTTGTGTGACCATACTTGTATCGACCGACTTCTTATGTATTATATAGTTTTCATGGTACCTTGTCCATTTGATAACAAGATTGTTTCACCGTTCTCCCCAATTATCAGTGTATAAATTATAGACCGTCACTTATACCTGTAGCTGTCCAGGGCCCGGTTCCACAAAGCGATCTTGGCGCTAAGATGATCGTAACTCCCATACTTTAACATAGGCTTACGATAGTCGTAGAGCTAAGATGATCGTAACTCCCATACTTTAACATAGGCTTACGATAGTCTTAGCACTAAGATAATCGTAACTCCCATACTTTAACATAGGCTTACGATAGTCGCAGCGGTAAGATGCTCGTTACTCCAAAACTTTAACATAGGCTTACGATAGTCTTAGCGCTAAGGTCGATGTGTGCAAGTGGTCCCAGTTGTTTTGTGACACCCCATTCTCATATTGACCCGCGTACTACTCATACTTAAGTCATATCTACGATTTCCAGAAGGCTCAAGGTCATCTCCTCTTTAGACTGTCTGCCCACCACAGCCTTTACTAATCCTGCGATTATATCATTCCAGCAAGACGTTCATGCTGCACAAAGTTCACGCAGACATCATGGACTTTGTGACTGCGATCTGCACCAGGAAAGCAGGGAGCCCCATCCACCCCATTATAAAGGCTGTTGGATATTTCCTGTTCCACACAAAGGAGGAGAAGGCCAAGCCTACTATAACGGTGCGAATCACATAGACAACCACCCGAGTGGACATCACAATTGCCGGGCAAAGGAAAGTATACACCCATGTTTTTTGGTGGCTAAAATTAAGCAAACAAGAACTTGTTATTCGATGGTGATGTATTTGATACGGGTATCATAGTTGTGTTTTGAACGTTATGTCTGCAGTGTTTCGGCGACACTTTCAAGTGTATGCTTTCATTTGCCCGGCAGTTTATTAATGGTTATTGTGTTTGCAAAGCGAACATGTTTCTTTAACGTTTTTTCAGTGTTCACCTTACCGAAGTACTATTAGCTATACGCTGTCAGACTTTCGGGCCTCCCATTTGTCTGCTCACCGCGACAGATGCTGCGTAACGTTGCATGATTTGTAATCCTTGCAATTTCTCTACTTATTAAGGGCAACTCTGAGCTGTTCACTGTGATGGCGAGGAAGCTGATTGACCTGTTGACCAACCTGGAGGACCACACCCTGATGCGGGTCAAATTTGTTGACGCAGCTGTATATGATGTTCTTATAAAGGCCATGAACAAGTAGGTCCCGTGTTCATGCTAACCAGATATATCCAGAAAAAAATAATAAAAAGTATATATCTCTACAGGCAATGAAAGCAATGTTTCCTATAATACATATTTTCGTAAATATCACATGTCTATTGTATGCGCGGTTCAGATATTTGACTCTAACATTCACCCAATACTGACGTATGGGTATAAATTGGAGGATTAAAAACAGAACAACTATTTTACGCAAATTTTGTCAAATGTTGGTGGAAAATAACAGATATCATAAGAAATTGTTACAATGATAGGATCGTGTCTGACGAATACATTAGACTTCTTTTAGTCAGGAGACAGGATTTGCTTTTTTGTATAGATTACGGAACACCAAATTCAGAGACACATTTTGTAAAACTATATTCAACCAATGAATTTGCACCTGAGAAACATATACTCGAGTTTGAACAAGAAATGGGTACATCTCATGATGTATTTAGCTTACCAGAACAAATTGATGACGTACGTGGCAAGCGAATCAACATAAAAGCATTTCATTGACACATATTGTCATAGATGTGATTATCATGTTGACGTTGGATAGCATTGTTAGTTAGCATCACTGCACTAATTGTTTGATCAAAGAACTTGGAAAAGTGACATATCAAACAATGCCATATTTTAGGCCAGTATGTTAACTGAACAAAATCTGCCAAAACAATTATAACTACTATCAACGTTTAACTTGACTCTAAAACCTGAAGACATGTCCATTCCTCTTTTGCACTGGATTCCAAAGTCACATAAAACTCCATACAAAGAGAGATATATTGCTGGATCCACAACATGTACCACCAAATCCCTGACTCCACGATTAACCACAATTCATAATACAATCAATGAATGCCTTTCTATATATTCACAGAAAATAGTTGAGAAAAGTGGAGTTAATATCATGTGGATTCTCAAAAACACATAGGATTTGCTTAAAGTTTTGCAATATCTCAGAGAAGCATCAAGTTCAATTCTGTCAAACCATTTGATTTGACCACCTTGTACACCACTATCCAACATGACTAACTTGAGGAAACACTCCATTCCTTGATCCATGGGGCATTTGTTAAACGTGGTGACCATACATCTATGTGAAGGTTGAGGGTAGGACATCTTCTAGGCAAGAAGTAGGTATCCCCATGGGTACCCCCATGTGCTCCCCTTCTTGTCGATCTGTTTCTTTATGCATATGAATCAGAATTTCTGCTCGGATTGGTCGAAACAAGGTAATTTGGCCAAGAGAACTTAAGCTTCATGTATATCAACTATCTGATATCATTCAATAACGGTCAAATAGCAAATTCCCTTTCACCACTGATGTCCCCACCTGAAAATATAGGAGACCAGTAAAACTGCCTCAGCTGTTTAATATTTAGATCTATGCATAGCAGAGTGACAAGACACTCTCAACAAGACTGCATTACAAGAGGGACGACGTTGCAATACTCAACTTTCCCTTTATGTCGAACACTATTCCTGCAACTGCAAATTACTTTTCACAACTCATGACGTACAATCAAGCGTGCCCTTTCGGCGAAGATTTCCAAGAGCATAACTCGACTCTTGCACAAAAGTTGTTTAATCAAGGTTACAACATTCAAGGCCTCAGTAAAGTTTTATGGTGGATAATGGTTTTTTCTGGTGTGTTGCTTAAGCATATGTTTGTGCCCCCGGTGGGGCACGATACGTTCATATACATTGATACATTTAGTCGGCTTCTTTCAAGTTTTAATTTAATCCTAATGAATTTGTTGCAAATTATCAATCAATACGTTTAATTAAATACGTTTGAGCTTCAATATGTTTTATATGTATCATGCGTAATACGTGTCTATGTATGAACACTTGACTGTACTTTTGACTATGTGGCGTCACATACATTTGAAAGAGAACTACATATTGTGAATATGTTGCAGAACTCCTGAACACCGTAGGTTGATGATAGACCTGATGAAGGCATGTCTACGGATCAACCAGCCGATGACAGCCAAGGCGGCCTATAATTGCGTCAGGGAAGCTGAAAAGTTTCTGAAATGGAAGGTGCCATAATCAGCGACCACGTTAGTGTCGCTATATTATTATCCTACACATCCTACACAGAATTAGAATCAACATCTATAACTAGAATTGATACATTGTATGCAGAATGTATCAAAGGGACTTTTTTAAAGATTTCAAAAATTTAAACTAGACTTATCCTATTTTTCATACAACCTAAACATTGAGAATTAATCCAAAATAAGAAATATATAATGTAAGAATTCAAGAAATTAATGTGTCATGCTATGGAATCTGTGGTACCATGATCTTGATGATTGTTTTCAGGAGCATGTGAACGATGCGCATGAGATTCTGGACATCTTGATGACAGTCCGAGTGTTTGGAGAAGAGAAAGAGATCAAGGAGTTTGCTGAATCCTACAAAAACTTTTGCAGTTACTTCGCCGATCAATTGAAGTAAGGTTACAATTACCCATATGTATAAGTGAAATTGGTTTACAAAACGTGTATGTTCACCTGCAAGGAAAGATTTACATTGAGGAACAGGTTTTCATGTCAATTATGATTTCAAGCTTGAAAATCTCTTGTGACATCCCGTAGAGATTACGGGTTAGAATATGGCGTTTCCGACTCTGGGACGTCCGTGTCATCGTGCCCTGATGGATCGGAACGGTGCTCATGCTTTCAGTCACTGGCTATCCTTGTCCAGACTCCATTATACAGTCCGCCATCACTAGTCCAGAACAACACTCCGAACCAGTAAGCTATGGGGTGATCCAATCTCTGCAGAGATGTATCGTACTAGAGTAAATATCTCATGTTAAGTACGTCTTTGTATATCGTGGGTGCTGTACCTACATTGTGAAACACGTTTGTATTTACTTGCAAAGTGAAAAACGTGTGCTTTTACCTACTTTGTGAAACACGTATATATAATAGTACGCATGCTCTCTTGAATTCCACCCTTCATGATGCCAGATTCGTCTCTGTATGTATTCACAGAGACTGATTGCATAGAGATTCTCTTCAAACGCAGCCGCGTGACAGAGGCATGAAGAAGCCATAGGGTAGACAATACCCGATCATAGTATGAGCAATTATCCATGCTGTTGGGATACAATAACACGCAAAAGTCACATGGAAACTAAGAATTGGCCTTTCCTGATCGCCACATGACCTTAGTACTATCAGTATACAGTGACACGTGCCTTAACCATCCCCACTTTAGCCCCTTCGCGGTGCTTTGAAACTTGGAAACCCAGAGAACACGGATGAAAGATGTACTGGTGCGAGTGATGTCACGCAAGGTAACCTTTGGTTTGATTGGTTCAGCGTAAACTATATACATTTTGTTTCCAGGAGGGATCGTATAATTCCCCAAATGGTTGACAAAATGGTCGAATTTAGTTTGAAAATTCTCGAGAGGAGAGAAGGGCGCCTGTTCGAAGCTGGACGTGAAGTTGCAGATGAAATAGAGTTCATCGGAAAGGTGAGTATACTTGTAAATGGCGACTTCTGGACTGACGACAATCCTGGTAATTGTTCTTCTAAACAGTTTTTATCTTTGGTGACAGTAGCCATCTTGCAGTTGTTCTTGTCTTTTATGGGTTTATAACACAGGATTTTAATATTTGTTCTATTGTATCTTTTCAGAAAAACAAGGACCTGATAATGTCGACGTTTTCCAATCTGCTGCCCTTCCTGAAGGATCCCAACTTTCCCTGGAAAGCCGACTGGTTCGGTTATTCGGGCAGGATTGTTAGCAAGCTTGCCTCGAGCTCGATTGAAGCCTTGTGAGTTGTACATGTACACTGCACGGATATATAGAAACTGACACAGGACGAAATAGGCAAAATGTGATATTTGTACAAAGTGTTAAAACTGACATATACACTATATACTGTAACGTACAACTTGACTGAGATGAAGTGTAATTGACAGACCCAAACAGATTAAAGATACATTGACAGACCCAGACAGATTAAAATAAACCTAATGACAGATTAATGCTAACTGATGGCTAACGCCAATTCTTTATCTTGCAGAGAGCCAAAAAGCATTACTGAAAAGGACCTAAGTGTCATTGCCTACTTTGTGATGACGGTGATGAAGGGAGACTTCATTGATGAGGAAACTAACACACCAAGCACAATCTACTTCCAGCTGTACTGTTCGGTCGCGACACAATTTCTGAGCCTTGTAAGTAGTTTAGTTTCAACATTATTCGCCTATAAATGGACGCGTTGTATGAGAATACTTTCATGAAATAGTTAACCAGAACCATAGTCATGGTTGAACAAGAATTCGAACCTACGATTATAAATTCTCGTATGTATAAGGGATGCATCTCTGCACAATGACTTCTACTGATAGAGTCCTCTGGTTTGATGAGTTCCACACTCTACATGGTATAATCCACGTAGTTTCATCTGCCTGATACTTCACGGGGTTTCGGCTAATATTTGTTGGTTTTAATATAATCTGCTTGGACAGTAATCAACGCCTTTTGAAACCTCTGATTGAGCAATCAAAATCTGTTATGTTCCAACGTCATGGTAGAATTTGATATAACCCATCTATTCACTCATACCTTATATAGAAGGAATAGTAATATCCCAGGTGATATATTTGCTACACATTATCACACAGTCAACCTACATGCGTTACTTGTATCATCATGGAACCTTCTTCTCCCTAAGCTGGACGACCAGGAGAAGATGCAGCGAGCCATCCTGGTGGTGAGAGAAATCGTCAACTTGCTGTCTCACGAATATAGCGAAGTTTCTGACATGGCCATGGCCCAGGTCAGCGTCGTTGTGGGGAATGGGTCAAAGATCATGGCACCGTTCTTTCCCAAGCTGATGGACGTCTACATGGACACAGAGAATTCCACATTGTTATGTATGTTTTACGTTTCGACTTTACGTGAATAATGTCATATTTCCTTCATGCAACAAAAGGTTGCTTTCATACGAGCTGTCCTTCTTTCGTTCATCTTGGAATTTGTTAATGAGGACGATTTCACGGATGTGTCTGTCGTGGAAAAAACCTAATGTTAAACCTATATTAGTACTGAGACTCTCTTGTTTGAAGGGAAATGATAATGTATGTCACTTTGGGTTATGAATTTAGGACGAGGTAAGCAGTTGCTTGTATCTGTGCATACTGTGAAACTCCGTTATCTCGACGTGATTAAAACCAGTTTTTTACCGCTTTCGAGAAAGGAGATATATATGCAGTATTGCAATATGATATATCATCACACGTTTAGTCTAGACCTCTTTCAACATCTACATGTAGAATAAGGTGGACGTTACCGCGGCCACCGTATGGATTCCGGGTTAGAATAGGTTTACGTGTCATCGTACACCGACGGCGTGGCTCGTTGCTCACAATATCTATCTCTTGATTGTCCAGATTGTACAGACTCGATTCTTTACCATCCACCGTCATACAGTTGAAATATAGGTGAGTGTGGCGTTTAAACAACAAACAAACACACACCCAATCATACGATTTCATGATCCTTAAATTTGTTCATAAGGACGATTTCAGGGAGAGACTTCATTATATTACAAATACCTTGACTGGTTTTTTTTTCAGATCCCCTTAGTCAAATCTACCCACACTACCCCAACCTTCAAGATCAACAATTCCAAACTCTCTTCGAGTTAATCGACACCCCAGAACGGTCGTCTGTATTACACTGGTGTACAGAGATAGCCAAGAAACAACCGAATGTAAGTGTAATAGTGAAGTATAATCAAGTGTTAGTGGATACAAACCGTTTTATAGCGGTGGGTAATATATACTTAACGCTATGTGTTGACCAAAATGAAACCATAATTTATCCAGAAATCTGTACGCAAAAGAATTCAGTGTGAAACCAACAAACCACAAAAAATGGTAGACAATTAATACTTGTAGTGTTAAGGTGTACGAATCAATACCAGTTACTGCACAAAAATTACAATAGCAATACCCAACATATATACTTCAACACCACTGCTTACATTATATATTACTATATTCTTGACAACCAATTATTGTCAAAACACAATGCCATAAACTTCTACCGAATCTTAGCAGAATCAATGTCATACAATCACAACACTGTTCATCACATTACACTGCAGCCCTATAACAATATGGAATAAAATACGGGAACGTATGCATTGAATGTCAAATCAAAGGTAAAGACGTGCATGCTTACATCTGTGATTGAACCCGATTAGGACCAAATTGCCCCGGACAACATTTGTTTTGGCATATTCGTGATGAGGCTGCTGATGTTAGCTCCACGCATCGTGAGCACCACCACTCTGCAGAGCTCAAAGATTTTATCCAGATTGTGATGCAATCGGACATAAATTCAAGGTTAATCCCACAGATTTCAATGGTATAAGTCAGGATTTGTGGCTAGCCAAGGCTGACCAGATGTTCTTTTTCATAAAATAAACTCAACCGACACACGAGCTGTGCATGGCTATATGTTATGTTGTAAACTGTCGCTCAATCCTACACTCAAAGGGTTCGACGGCAGGCCTCATAACCACATCAACCCCTGTGAGTCAGTCATCAAGATTGGTAACGTCGGTCACTCTGAACAGCTGTAGGTGATGATAGCCCAAATCATCAGAGAGCCACCACCATATTGATCTTGAGTTAAATCGGTATACTGCTGCTAGCTCTCACACATTTTCTAATTGTTCCTTAACATATTCATGGCAGCATCACTGTGAAAGAAATATTTCATTTAAAATATTAACACATAATAAAAAGATATTGAAATGTAGTTCTTGATTTACTTAGATTAAGTGAAGCAAACGTTGCAATGAAATGTCCGAAAATCCGACAGGCAACAAGTGGCAAGGATATATTTGTTAACATTGAGATACATTTATCTGACCGTTATTCTATCACAACTATGGTAACCGCATCGATACCTTTGTTCGTGGCATCAAATAACAAATCATTTCTCTACCCTTCACGGTTGTGACAATCCGACACAAACTGAAAATTGACAAAATACAAAAGGCTCAATTGAAACAATAGATTAATCTCTAAAATTAAAAAAAACAAAACAACAAATGATTGATTAAACATTATAACAAATTATAATGACAAATATATCACAATTTAAAATGGTAGGAAGGAAACGTTTATGCAAATGACCATGCACTTTGATCAGAATGGTGTACCATACATGTAACTATCCAGAGATATTTGAACTATTTCCAGTTGTTCACTGAGGACCATATTGCAAAGCTGATTGAGGAGATGTTCCAAGGCGATGAAAGGATGCAGGCAATGTATTTGATGGTCATGGAACCACTCTCCAAGAAGATGCCAAGAAAGCTCATCCCCAACCTGAAAACCCTGATGGAAGGCGATGTTAACTCCCAATATGGTGCCAAGTATCAACTCTTCGTTGTTCTGAAGAATGTGGCCATTATGAGTGACGATGAGGTACATTGTTCTTAATATATTCAAATCTCAATACACTGCGGCTTACAAAACACTAAATTGGCACAAACATGATGGCAAATCCTTTCAAACATCAAATTTAGAATGCAAACAATATATTCTGCTCGATCCCATTAACAGAACGAACTAGAGTGCCTTTAAATTCTTCACATGATCATTGTTAAATATGAAACATAAACGCCAAAAAATCATTTAAGAATTGACTTTCACTTTGTGTGAGTTCATTGGAGTATGAACCTTCATAGAGTGAGGGCCTAACTGTATGAACGTAGGATCAATTGGCCTATCATTGAAAGGTGATTAAAGATGTATCAAACAGACACTAAGGTAAAGTCATAGATTACTGTAGACAGTCACTGCCAGCAAAGACACGGATCCAGTCGATACTACCATAGTTTGGATGTGCATTTCTTCGTTTTGTTCACTAGGATGGGTCGTAGCAAGGATATTCGAGAACGATCATGCAGTCAAACTCTCTAGCGTTTCAGAATGTATACTAAAACGCTGAGTTCAAGATAAAAGGGTCTAAATGATCAGAAAGAACGCTTCTGTGCATATTCGTGCTCGGGAATTCCCAGGGGTTCCCCCAGGATGTGGAAGTAGTCCGTCAGTGTCTACGTCATTTCAAGAACACGATCTCTGGAAAAACGTATGAACGTCAAGTTGTGTCTTTCATAAACTTATGAACGTCAATTTCGCGGTCAGGTGACCGATTTCTCGTCTAATTGACTGAGGTACTGAGGAACTATTCAATTACGATTTTAAGAAATTAATTTAGGGTTTCAGTTTAGTGGCACAAACAAAATATATGGCACATGATAGTACTGTGCTAGCAAAGTACGTGTTTGAGTGACAAATCATGTTTGAATATAGATGTGGGATTTCAAGCTGGCCTTGGTGGCAAACGTGGATGAGACTTGTTTTATTTTTGCTGGACTGTTCGTACACGTAGAAACACTTGATCCAGTACTGCACTCTATGGAATACTGAAAGGGACATTCTCGCGTTCTCGCGATTTCAAGATCAGTTTCTCTATCAGTTGATCGACATCAATAACTTATGTTGGTTTGTGTTAAAATATAACACACCTCAAATAAATAAATATCATTATTATAAAACCCATTTATCACACAGATAGAGGACCTAAATCTATAACGTAACTTGGACAAAAAGCGGTAAGGCTGTTACGGTTATAACGGACTCAAAGGGGCCACTAAATTTAGTTCATAATAACCGTAGTTCGTTATAAGCACATTTACAGCATATAAGCAGCAAATGGAGGGGACCAAAAACAGTTCGTTATATCCGTCAGTTCGTTATAAGAGTGTTCGTTATGAACTAGTTTACACTATTACATATATCAATTTAGACAATTGAATAGCCAACAGCTCGGTACAGGCATTAATTACGTACATGTTCGTAACACAGGCTGTGGCAGAGGAAGTGATGGCATATCTAGAGAAGACCCTTCGAGATCCTGAAGACGACATGGTGACTTCCTCCTGTCTCAATGAGATGCGTGCTATAGGTGGTGTATACCGACCACTGTTGGAGCGTCGTAAACCAGCCATAGGGGACTTGAGGAAACGATCTACTGTCCAGACAACAAAGGATCAGTGTACCTTTATCTTGGATGTTCTGGAAGGAAGAAGGTGAGAATACTATGGCACTGTCAAAAACTTCATAAAGGTCTGAAAATTATGCCTGGTAGAACTTGTGGAGTTCTTCGAAACACTTGAAGTAAAATTACATATTTTACTACTTTCCAAACTATAACTTTCATTACAGCAATGCGTCACTGATCCGTTCATTGAAAGTCGCTTCTCTGACAATATACTATGTTAATATACCTACAGCCTGGAGTCCCTGGCTGAAGAGATCAAGGATGTAAAAGAAGATGTGGAGGAACTGGACACACGAGTGACCAGGACTGAGGTTGGCCTGGTGCTGCTCAACCAAGAGGTGGGTGAGCAGCGGGAGGAGCTGGATGGGGTCAAAGTCGATGTTAAGGCTCATGGCGAGAAGATTGGCCAACTGGAGGAGACAGTGGATGACACCAAGGCTAAAGTGGAGGAACTCGATGGAAAGGTAAGCATGGTTTGAAAGGAGTGATCCTCGAATTTTTCAAGAATAACGATGTAAAAACACGAAATTTTGTATGGTAATGAACAATATCTAAACCATCTGTTCCTTTCAATATAATATGGAAAATTGCTAATACTGTTACGTTTACTACTGATGATGCTTGTAAAGTAAACAAAGATCATTGGAGACTAATTTGACAACTCTCTCTTTCATCAATCATCAAGACACTCAGTCATGCTCCCTTCTGGGCAAGAGACGTGGCCAAACTGCTCCACCCTGAAGACCTTCTGGACTGGACACTTCTCTCTAGACGTCTTGGCTACACCAATGATGACATCAGGAGCTGGGCTCAGATGCACGACCCATGTATGGCCATGCTGAATGAATGGTACGCCACTCGGAAGACGAGGGAAGCCACATACGCTGTGCTGACTGCACTGCAAGAGATGGACAGGATGGATGCCGCTGTGATCGTGGAGAATGCAATGAAGATGACAGGTAAATACATGAATTGTATATTTTTTATCATATGTTTACCAACCGTTATGTAAATGTTTAATCATTTTTGAAGATCACAATTCCCACTACTAAATTAATGTAGAAGAATAATATTGTTATTTTTGTATTTTCTCCAACAGCTTTATCCTGGCGTTGCAGCAGTTGTCACCATTAAAGGAAAGTTCAATTGTTACAATGTCTTATAATCACGTATTGATGTCTTGTCAACATAGTTTTAAGATAATAGAATGGCCACATGTTTTATTATTTTCTCAGAAGCTGTAGTCGAGGACGAAGAGTTTGAGTACCCAGAGCCTCCAGAGGTGTTCATCAGCTACCAGTGGGGAATCCAGAACGAGGTGAAGCTTCTGAAGCTGCACCTGGAGAAGGCGGGCTTCACGTGCTGGATGGACATTGGTCAGATGGGAGGCGGAGACAAGCTGTTCGAGAAGATTGACAAGGGAATCAGGGCAGCCAAGATCGTCATCTGTTGTGTCACTGGCAAATATGCCAAGTCTCCAAACTGCAATAGAGAGGTATGTGTCCGGATAATTTCCATTGACATTAAAGTCTATTTTCTAACAACATCAAAGTTTCAAGTGTTCCACAAAAGAATATTTAATAATCCATGACATCATTCATCTGGGGGTTAATAATTTCAATTGCTGAGAAACTGTGACGAAAAGGCGTATTGTGTTCGAAATGTGTTCGATGAAGTGCATTGATTTTTATATGGACATGTTGTGTTTTGGCTTAAGGTGAACCTCTCGGTAAGCCTGGGTAAGCCCATCATCCCTCTGTTGATGGAGAAACTATCATGGCCACCACCAGGCTCAATGGGGCCAATCTTCAGTGAGTATCTGTTCATCCGATTCTTCACCCGGCCTGGGGAGGAGACGGGTGACGTCAGGTACTGGTCAGCAGCCAAGTTCCAGGAACTCCTGATGCAGGTCAACTACAACAACGTCAAGCCGGAGGAACAGAAGGTGGAAAAAGGTGGGCAAATTGGGAAGCATAGATAGCGAGAGGGTGTGTGTGGATATTTATGTAATGCATAATTCAGTGAAGATATTCCAGATATGTTGGATTTCAACTTTCACCCGGTATGCTGAAATGATAGTTACATTCGAATGATGAGAAAGTTATCTTAAACATTTCTGAAATCTACCTAATAATCTATTATTGTTGAAACTCAAATGAATTTGAAAGAACGCCATAACATATATTTTTTTCACACAAAGAATACAAGAACTGGTGGTGTCCTGTGGCTGAAGTAATCAAAATAGAAAAGAAGGATGTGAAGGCGATGACGGCCACCAGTCAGCAGAAACAGGAGGAGGTTGAAGTAGGTGGAACAGACCGAATATTTGATTAACTATAGTTTACTTCTTATACTTTTGCCGTGGTCACATTTGTGGATCACAGGCTTATATGTTCATTCTGAACTGCAGTTATCTGAGTTTTGTTTGCATATAAAAACGAGGAATAAAAGTGTTACCTTCAGATCATGAAATCTTTTCACTTTTTGATAGTGATTCACTAATGCGTGCTATAGTTGGATGATATACAATGGATTCTGCTTTTGGCAAAGATTTCCTTATGACTGTGGAAAGGGTTTTGTTCCGTTTATTACAATATTTAAAGTCGCATCATTGTTGGTAAAATATTTTGTACATGCTTAGAGGTGATTAAATATACTGTTTATGTGTCACATATTCACTGTTTCCGTGTTTATTTGTTACAGTCTGGAGCAGCCTCTCCTGATGTATTCATCTCCTACCAGTGGGGAAAACAGAAGCAGATTCAACTCATGTACAAGCGTCTAACTGAGATGGGCTTCACCGTCTGGATGGACATCTACCAAATGGGAGGTGGGGACTCCCTCTATGACAAAATTGACAAGGGTGTGCGGGGGGCAAAGATCGTGCTCACGTGTGTCACCTCGAAGTATTCTCTGTCAGCCAACTGCAGGAGGGAAGTCAGTCTCGCTGATGCCCTCAAGAAGCCAATAGTGCCTCTGTTGCTGGAGAAGATGACATGGCCACCATCTGGTCCGATGAGCATGGTGTTCACTCAGCTTCTGTACATCAACTTTGCCAAGGATGAATCTGTTCAGGAAAGATGGGATGGAGAAAAGTTTGATGAACTATTGACCAAATTAGATCAGTACGTGCCGAATATTATTGTGTCAGGTGATGAGGAACCAGAAGAACCTGTTCCGTCTACTGAAGTGAATATTGACGATAAGGAGGACACACCACCATCGACCCCAGAGCCCGAACAACCACCACAAAAACAGCAGCCGTCTCAACAACAGCAACAACCACGAACAGAAAGGATTCCACAGCAGTATCAGCAACCTCCTCCACAACAACCCCCGCCACAATCCCAGCCGCAGCAACAGCCCCCGCCTCAGCAGCAACCACAGAGACATCAACCACCGCCCAGTCAACCAGAGCAAAAGAAGTCAAGGTCCTGCTTGATATTGTAGAAACACATTTAGCCTTTCCCGAACACTTGGTTTCATCAGTGATCCATCCACATAGTTTTTACTTCTATTTTGCCCTGTTCGCCCATTGGTGTCGGTTTCAGCGGACTGGATATTCTTGTGTTGATGTTTAATTTAAAAGCAAACCGTGACAAACTGTCAATAAAAGCGATAAAACCCTTTCCACGTTCATAAGAAACCTCCGCCTTAAGCAGTCATTTCAGTTATTTATCTTCTGCTATTTTTTTCCGTCTTTTGATTTAATCGTTGCTAGTATACACTTTTCAACACAGAAGGCCTACCTTTTTCTGATTAGTGTAGATACTTTTGCATTGTTTACTTTAACCAACGAGGCGCCAATAGTGAACTGAACACTTCTACAATTTACCCATAGGAAGAGAGATGCCAAGCTGTATATTATGTATATGTGTAATTGATTTTCGTCATCTTGTCACATAGAAAACCAATGAAATAATATAGTTTAGTGTGTTCATAATATTACAAATACATGGCAGAAACACTTGTAATACAGTACATGTATTTCCATGTATTCTTAATACTACATAGTGTGTTATTAGCGTAATGTGATTGGCACGAAACGGGAATCTGCACTCAAAGAAGTGTTATTTGAGTGAGTGTAATAAATATAATATATAATATGAGATAATAATGTTAATAATCATATTGATAATGTGTGCGTGCGAATCATTGATCGATTTGTTAATGGGTTAAAAGCGTGTTTGTGGACATAAACTGTGATGTTACTGGCTGCCGAATGTAAATACTCCATCCACAAATTACTTCTTGAAACCGTCCATGATGCGTCATATAATTCTGTATGCCTAACTGTGATACCCATGGTTTGTATCTATTTAAAAAAAGATTTTACAAACGTAAACAAAAAATTACTAAACTGAAAACAGTCGCCGAAACACTGCAAACACACATCCAAAACACACATCCGAAACGCGCATCAAAAACATAACCATGCAAAAAACATTTCTTGTTTGTTTCTTTTTAGCCACCATCAAACATGAGTGTATACGTTCTTAGGCCTGGCAGTGAATGTGTTTCTAATCTCGTCTCCACTGTGTACGAAGCTGCTGTTGATTATTGTCAAGTGCTTATTTATGCCAATACTGTGTCTTATACAGAGAACTATACACCGAATAAATGAGACTGAAGTCTGATCACCTTGGTCATGTTGCATAATGATCTCACGTTTGGACGTCGCATCAAAGTGCCGCTCACTAATTAGCAAGAAACAATGAACAATGCCACGCCATCAAGGCACAATGATACGTCATCAGGACACAATGACACGCCATTAGGACACAATGACACGCCATCCTGACACAATGATACGCCATCCTGACACAATGACACGCCATCAGGACACAATGATACGCCATCAGGACACAATGATACGCCATCAGGACACAATGACACGCCATCAGGACACAATGATACGCCATCAGGACACAATGACACGCCATCAGGACACAATGACACGCCATCAGGACACAATGACACGCCATCAGGGCACAATGATACGCCATCAGGACACAATGACACGCCATCAGGGCACAATGATACGCCATCAGGACACAATGACACGCCACCAGGGCATTATGACACGCCATCAGGGAACAATGACCCGCTATCAGGGCACAATGATACGCCATTAAGGCACAATGAGACGCAATCAGGGAGCAATGACACGCCATCAAGGCACAATGATACACCTTCAGGGCAATATGATACGCCTTCAGGGAACAATGCCACGCCATCAAGGCACAATGATACGTCATCAGGGAACAATGACACGCCATCAGGGCACAATGATACGCCATTAAGACACAATGACACGCCATCAGGACACAATGACACGCCATCAGGACACAATGATACGCAATCAGGACACAATGATACGCCATCAGGACACAATGACACGCCATCAGGACACAATGATACGCCACCAGGACACAATGATACGCCATCAGGACACAATGACACGCCATCAGGACACAATGATACGCCATCAGGACACAATGATACGCCATCAGGACACAGTGATACGCCACCGGGACACAATGACACGCCATCAGGACACAATGACACGCCATCAGGACACAATGATACGCCTTCAGGGCAATATGATACGCCATCAGGGTACAATGCCACGCCATCAAGGCACAATGATGCGTCATCAGGGTACAATGCCACGCCATCAGGACACAATTACACGCCATCAAGGCACAATGATACGCCTTCAGGGCAATATGATACGCCATCAGGGTACAATATGATACGCCATCAAGGCACAATGATACGTCATCAGGGAACAATGACACGCCATGAGGGCAAAATGATACGCCATTAAGACACAATGACACGCCATCAGGACACAATGACACGCCATCAGGACACAATGATATGCCATCAGGACACAATGATACGCAATCCTGACACAATGACACGCCATCAGGACACAATGATACGCCACCAGGACACAATGATACGCCATCAGGACACAATGACACGCCATCTGGACACAATGATACGCCATCAGGACACAATGACACGCCATCAGGACACAATGATATGCCATCAGGACACAATGACACGCCATTAAGACACAATGATACGCCATCAGGACACAATGATACGCCATCAGGACACAGTGATACGCCATCAGGACACAATGACACGCCATCAGGACACAATGATACGCCATCACGACACAATGATACGCCATCATGACACAATGACACGCCATCAGGACACAATGATACGCCATCAGGACACAATGATACGCCATCAGGACACAATGACACGCCATCAGGACAAAATGATACGCCATTAGGACACAATGACACGCCATCAGGGCACAATGATACGCCATCAGGTCACAATGATACGCCATCAGGACACAATGACACGCCATCAGGACACAATGACACGCCATCAGGACACAATGACACGCCATCAGGTCACAATGATACGCCATCAGGACACAATGACACGCCATCAGGACACAATGACACGCCATCAGGACACAATGATACGCCGTCAGGACACAATGACACGCCATCAGGACACAATGACACGCCATCAGGACACAATGACACGCCATCAGGACACATTGATACGCCATCAGGACACAATGACACGCCATCAGGACACAATGACACGCCATCAGGACACAATGACACGCCATCAGGTCACAATGATACGCCATCAGGACACAATGACACGCCATCAGGACACAATGACACGCCATCAGGACACAATGATACGCCATCAGGACACAATGACACGTCATCAGGACACAATGACACGCCATCAGGACACAATGACACGCCATCAGGTCACAATGCCACGCCATCAGGACACAATGACACGCCATCAGGACACAATGACACGCCATCAGGACACAATGACACGCCATCAGGACACAATGACACGCCATCAGGTCACAATGACACGCCATCAGGACACAATGACACGCCATCAGGACACAATGACACGCCATCAGGACACAATGATACGCCACCAGGACACAATGACACGCCATCAGGTCACAATGACACGCCATCAGGACACAGTGATACGCCATCAGGACACAGTGATACGCCATCAGGACACAATGACACGCCATCAGGACACAATGACACGCCATCAGGACACAATGACACGCCATCAAGACACAATGATACGCCATCAGGACACAATGACACGCCATCAGGACACAATGATACGCCATCAGGACACAATGACACGCCATCAGGACACAATGACACGCCATCAGGACACAATGATACGCCATCAGGACACAATGACACGCCATCAGGACACAATGATACGCCATCAGGACACAATGACACGCCATGAGGGCACAATGACACGCCATCAGGACACAATGCCACGCCATCAGGACACAATGCCACGCCATCAGGACACAATGATACGCCATCAGGACACAATGACACGCCATCAGGACACAATGACACGCCATCAGGACACAATGACACGCCATCAGGACACAATGACACGCATTCAGGGCACAATGACACGCCATCAGGACACAATGATACGCCATCAGGACACAATGACACGCCATCAGGACACAATGACACGCCATCAGGGCACAATGACACGTCATCAGGACACAATGACACGCCATCAGGACACAATGACACGCCATCAGGACACAATGACACGCCATCAGGGCACAATGACACGCCATCAGGGCACAATGACACGCCATCAGGGCACAATGACACGCCATCAGGGCACAATGACACGTCATCAGGACACAATGACACGCCATCAGGACACAATGACACGCCATCAGGACACAATGACACGCCATCAGGACACAATGACACGCCATCAGGGCACAATGATACGCCATCAGGACACAATGACACGCCATCAGAATTCAATGATAGCTGATAGCTTGTCATTGAGTCCTGATGTGCCCTTAATATTTATTGTATTTGAATTGAATAATTACGAGTTAACTGGAATGCACATACTATAGCAGACCTGAATGTTATTTTATGTTTCAATTGTATATTAAGCTCTCCTGAAGGTGTGATGTGCATGAGGATCATACTCGATGATATTTGATCATAACCTTGAATTCAGCCCAGAGTGAGTGAGGTGACAGATGCTTCTAACATTTATATCATATTGTGTCTGCTTGATGTGGGAGGGCAGACCACGTGATGCAGGTCCCAGACGTTCATACGCTGATAAGACCAAAGAGCGCAGGTATGCAGCTCACAAAGAATAGAACGAGTCTCGGAATGGAACCAGTGATCATAGAATTATGACACAAATAAGGGACGCTACTCTGCATAGCGTATTGCGACCTATGGCCATATACATTCATGTACTGGTTCCAAACACCTTCTTAATTATGTCACAAAGACGTGTTTTGAGGGGGCACGGGCGGCCCAGTTGTCTAAGGCGCCGCGATTCGCTGTGCAGAGTTGCGTCCCTTGGGCACGCCAGAAACCTATGATTGTTGGTTCGAATCCCGGTTCGCCCTGATTATGTTTCTAGGTTTGTCAGCACCATACCCGTGCTCGTGCGTTTCACTGAAGTGGTTAACGTCTGAGACCTGCATCACTTCGGGCTTTCCTCCCACATTAAGCTGACACGCCATGATATAACTGGAATACTGTTAAAAGCGGCGTTAAACCCAACTCACTCACTCACTAATAAAGAAACAAAAGGAGAAATACTTTGAGTTGAATGAACCTCATTTTTAAGTCAATATTTTTTTTAATAATAAGTGAGAAAGATTTATTCATAATCGAGAAAAAAATAATTAAAAAAAATATGGGTACTGTTAGGTACTTTTATTTCATCAGTCGCTTGTGTTGTCTGTATCTATATCTGTGTGATTTGTCGATCCGGAAGCGGAATCAGTTGCAGTCTCTCAGTCTTAACCATTGTACCATATGTTCCCGTTCAGATGAAAAAACGGCTTGCCTTTGCATGTGTTTGTGACGGTCGTCACCGGTGGGGCAGGATACGCTTACCTTTTCGCGAACACCTGGTATCGTCACTATTTGATAGTGGTTCATAAACACATGCTCATGATATAGTAGGAACCGTACATTCGACTCTGCTTTTAGCAGACATTTCTTATGAATTGTGAAACGGCTTTGTCGCTTGTATGTATTCATACTCGCTCAGGTTGCATGCACGTCGTGTGCTTGAGAAACCAGTGTACTTTACTATCATGTGATGCTTCTGATATTGATGTGGAGTATGTTATGTTGTGGTATGGCAACTGGTCATTACATTAACGCAACACATGCGCGACACATACGTCGTAGCCAATAGTAGAGTAAATAGATAAACAGCTATGAGAGGAGCATGTGTATGAGAGGGTCGTGTAGTCTTATCTCGTGATAGTCCTTTCAGGTCATGCTTTTCATGTACACGGTGGACATATGTGCTTTGTTACTGAAGGCGGTGACCAGAGAAAGTTCAGGACAATTTGTCAAAAGTGAAAGCAAATGTAATCTGAGGTGTACTGAGAAAACATATGTGCAATGTTTGACAAATAAATGTGAATTTTGGGGAAAGGACATTCAGGCAAAAAGTAGGGTGGCTAGTGAGTGAGTGGATGGTTGAGTTTTGTGTGAGCGAGTGAGTTTATCTGCATAGACTATGCGTGCAGATTCGGGACGTTAATTCATAACGGAGTGGTTTGTATATTCAATCCAGTGTCGATTACATAATCCGGTCACAAATACAACTTAACACAACTCACCACAACCCAACTCCCACATATGCTTCACCAGCCACTATCCGATACTACCACCAGGCACATCCCCACAAAGATTATTCCTTTGTCACTGGTGAAATTATTCTTCTTCTACATAAGAACGAATCAGGATGTAATGCTATTACTGATTTGAATGATGTATACAGAGATTATTATGAAGTTTAGATAGGAAATATTACTTATTTTATTTATATATATATATATATTATGTAAATTACCTACTGAGGAACCGGAATGATCTATGTTAGTTAGTTTTGATGTTGTTAGTTTGTATAGTAATATTGAACTGAGCTCGGACTGGAAGCCACCAGATACTGGCTGAAAGAATACCGCCATGAAATATCAGATAGATTTTCGGATGAGTATATCATTGATGCATTGAAGTTGGTTATTACCAATAACATGTTTTATTTTGATGGATCTTATTATTCACAAAAGAAAGGAGTAGCCATGGGTACTAAGGTAGCCCCTACTTATCCAACCCTTGTGTTGGGATATTTAGAGAATATGTTTTATGATAAGGTGAGAGATACTCTTGGTGAATCTATGAAAGAACAAATTGAATATTCATGGAAAGGTTTTTAGACGACTGTTTTATCATATTAAAAACCAGTGAAAGTCAACTTACAGCTGTTACTGTCTCGCAAGACGTATTTGTACCATTGTTTCCGGGAATGATGTTAAAACTACTCGCCTTGCTAAACTTAAGAGTTTCCTACTGCATCAAAATTATCCCGCAAAAATAATTGAAGATAGCATACAGAAGGCGCTAAGTATTAAGCAACTAAAACTGAGAGAAAAGTCTGAAAAAAACAATATGGGGAATAATCTAACTCTAGTATCTACCTTCAACCCTAATCATGAAAAAACATTATCCGTGATCCAACGATACCTGCCTATTTTGAATCCAATTATTAAAATGGAGAAGATATTGAGCAAATACAAAATTATCAACAGCCAAAGACAACCCAAAAACCTTAGAAAGATTTTGACAAGTTCTAAATTTGATTCTGTTGTCATTACTCCACAGGTTTCTAAGTGCGGTGACAAACGTTGCCTAACTTGCAGCAATATAATTGAAGGCTGTTCAGTCCACAAAGGACACTAAATTTACTGTAAAACAAAATATGACTTGTGATACTAGAAATGTTATTTACTTGATTGTTTGTAGTGGATGCAATGAAAAGTATATCGGAAAGACAGAACTTAAATTAAAAAGAAGAATGAATCTTCACCGTTAACAAATAAAGCAGCCACACAACCGCACGATTCCACTCAGTGAACATTTAGAAGCATGTGGAAACGGCAACTTTTTAGTTTTCCCCCTATATAACCTAAATTTTGATCATGAACCTACATTGTTAAAAAAAGAGCAACATTTCATTCATAAATACGCGCCTAAGTTAAATGTAAAGGCGTAAGTTATTTGTCCATTGTCACCTTGGTATTGTGACGTCATAGTTTCCTAAATGTTATGACGTCACGTAACTATATGTTACTACTTCATGTCCGTTATTCAATTATGGCCTGATGAGACTCGTACGTGGTACGAGTTGAAAGCGCTAGCCTATAAAACTGTGTTCAATCTTACTCCACTTATTTAAGTATTACTATATATATATATATTACTATATATATATATGACATGAAACCCGATGACTTACTCAATCCCTCTACAGTGACGATGGAGCACCTGATACGAAGGTACAACTTCATGACGGCAGGCCGTGACCAGAGAGTTGACTTCAGCAATGAACAGAGAATAAACTCCCACAAGTACGAGGCGGTGGTGAACGAGGAGGATCTCCTCTGGGCGTTCAGGTTGCTGAGGAAGGGGGTGTGTCGGCCGGATTTCCCCGGGGAGAGTTCTGATCAGTTTTATTTCGCTAAAGATGTGCTGGAAAATTTGATGACTTGGTCAGAGTGAGTATTGAACATTTTCCTGGAATTTCATGTCTTTTATCATATCAAAACATGCATACATCTGTCCTACGTTTCTACACCAACGAGTTTTCTTCAGGGATTTGATGGAAAATGGGAAGATGACATCCTTGTCCCGCATCCATGACTTTTGCTTCGACTTCCTCCACGACCTGATCCAGCAGGGGCCGGGGACGACACACATGAAGTTGTGGAGCTTGATGTTTGGCAACCGTGGCTTTGGGTTTAAGGAGTATTATCATGTAAGTGCACGTTGCATCTGTACAGTGAGAGGTATTATGAGACTTTCCTCACCAATGGGGTGGGTGTTCACTTGACAGTATACTCGACTATTCCCGGTGAAAGTTGTCAGGTGGTTTCTGTTTAGAACCTCACAGGAGACAAGCTGAAGAGTCACGTACGGTTTCTGATGAGGGAGTACAGGAGCCGGGAGCCTGGGCCTGATAGAGAGAGGTTCGAGATCACCTTTAGAACAGCCATCGATTACATCGTTGGAAAAGACTGCTTCAAGTGAGAATGTTATTTCCCCACGGGTTATAAATAACAAATTTTATAAAAATCGTATGTGCACAAGTATGGGGGCCGTTGTACAAAGCGACCTCAGCGCTAAGGTGATCGTAACTCCCATACTTTAACACAGACTTACGACAGTCGTAGTACTAAGGTTGTTTTGTACAACGGCACCCTGGGCGGCAATGTTGACGTTATTCGACCGTGACGTAAGGTCGTAAAGACGTCAGACGTAGGGTCGTAATGACGTCAGACTAGCAACGACGTAAGAGGTGAAGACATCGACAGTTGTTGTTTTTTTAGACGGCGGTCGTTTTCAGTGCATGTTTCTTAATGGGAGTTCAAAATGATTGCGACATAACGGGTAATAAAAAGATTATTACACTCGCTTGCGCGTCATAATGATTTTACGAAATTCGTGTAAGAATCCATGTAGTACCCTCGCTTAAAAAAATCAGTATGACAAAAATGTTTGTATAATGATATATATTAATGTTTCATACAACTTTTACGTGTACAGATTTAAAATACAAGGATTTGTTTTTCCTGACATTTTCAAATGAGCTCACACTACGCATGTTCACATTGTTTTGGTAAGCAATTGAAAAAGAGAAAGGTGCCCACTTGAAAGCTGTATGGGGATATCTCATGACACTGTTAACTCACGGTACCGCATGAACATTGACAGTATTACGGCTACATGCATGTTTATCTGTTGTATCATGTATATCAACTATGTGGTGAGATGAGGTGAAATTGGGTTTAACGTCGCGTCCAAGATTATTGCACTTATATAGCGACGTGCATGTACGTGTGTGTGTTTGTGTGGCTGCTTGTACTTAGTCCGGACTGATGCCGATTTATGGTGCTAGCTCACTGAGATACAATGACGCAGTATAACATGAATACTCCACTCAGACACAGTATACTGACTCCGAGTCGACAAGTCCTTGTTTTAGCCCCTTAATGCCGAGCGCCAGACAGGGTAACAACAAGTACCACCTTTTAACGTCTCTTGGTATTACGCGGTCCGGGATCGAACCCCGAACCCCGCTCTCAGGGCAGAAGCTATACAACTAGACCACGGAGGCGGTTCAACTAGAAGTTGCGATAATAAGATTGGATGTGCAATCCCCACGCCAATTAGAATGTTGTCCTTAATTTCAGAGAGGAAATTTTCAAGGAAGCGCAGACAGAGTTCATAGAATTGTACATTTACCTAGAGTTAACGTTCCTGACTCGTTCAAAGGAAGTCCAGGAAATCCACCACCGCATTCCACATAGTCTGTGGTATATATACGGCAGCAACATCTTCAAGGTGAGAACACGTTGTGCACACGTGAGTGTGAAAGAGAGCGAGCGAGAAAGAGATAGAAGAGAGAGAGAGAGAGAGAGAGAGAGAGAGAGAGAGAGAGAGAGAGAGAGAGAGAGAGAGAGAGAGAATTTAAAGCATGCAATCATCCGTTGTTCAGGACATCGTTGACCCCGAGATGTACAAACGTTTCCTGGAGCGTCTTGCAGACATCATCTGCAACCTCAATCTCACCACCGAGGAATCCGAGAAGGTGCTCAAGAGTGTAACTGATCTTCTTAAGATGTTGCTGTCAGCCGTCGGGTGAGTAAAATCCGTGATACGTGTAGTCAATCCGTGTCCTTAAGACATGGTATGTTAGCGAGTACTCACGACACATGCAGACAATCAGTGTTCCTTTAGCCCTGACATGTAAGCGAGTACCCACAACACATGCAGACAATCAATGTTACTTTAGCAATGGCATGTAAGCGAGTATCCACAACACACTCAGTCTTCCTTTAGCCATGGCATGTAAGCGAGTACCCACAACACATGCAGACAATCAGTATTACTTTAGCCCTGACATGTAAGCGAGTTCCCACGACACATGCAGACAATCAGTGTTCCTTTAGCCCTGACATGTAAGCGAGTATCCACAACACACTCAGTGTTACTTTAGCCCTGACATGTAAGCGAGTATCCACAACACACTCAGTGTTACTTTAGCCCTGACATGTAAGCGAGTACTCACGACACATGCAGACAATCAGTGTTACTTTAGCCCTGACATGTAAGCGAGTACCCACGACACATGCAGACAATCAGTGTTACTTTAGCCCTGACATGTAAGCGAGTACCCACGACACATGCAGACAATCAGGGTTCCTTTAGCCCTGACATGTAAGCGAGTACCCACAACACATGCAGACAATCAGTGTTCCTTTAGCCATGACATGTAAGCGAGTACACACGACACATGCAGACAATCAGTGTTCCTTTAGCCCTGACATGTAAGCGAGTACCCACAACACATGCAGACAATCAGTGTTACTTAAGCCCTGACATGTAAGCGCGTACTCACGACACATGCAGACAATCAGTGTTCCTTTAACCATGACATGTAAGCGAGTACCCACGACACATGCAGACAATCAGTGTTACTTTAGCCCTGACATGTAAGCGAGTACTCACGACACATGCAGACAATCAGTGTTCCTTTAACCATGACATGTAAGCGAGTACTCACGACACATGCAGACAATCAGTGTTACTTTAGCCCTGACATGTAAGCGAGTACTCACGACACATGCAGACAATCAGTGTTACTTTAGCAATGGCATGTAAGCGAGTATCCACAACACACTCAGTGTTCCTTTAGCCATGGTATGTTAGCGAGTACCCACAACACATGCAGACAATCAGTGTTACTTTAGCCCTGACATGTAAGCGAGTACCCACAACACATGCAGAAAATCAGTGTTCCTTTAACCATGACATGTAAGCGAGTACCCACGACACATGCAGACAATCAGTGTTACTTTAGCCATGACATGTAAGGGAGTACACACGACACATGCAGACAATCAGTGTTACTTTAGCCCTGACATGTAAGCGAGTACTCACGACACATGCAGACAATCAGTGTTACTTTAGCCCTGACATGTAAGCGAGTACCCACGACACATGCAGACAATCAGTGTCCCTTTAGCCCTGACATGTAAGCGAGTACCCACGTCACATGCAGACAATCAGTGTTACTTTAGCCCTGACATGTAAGCGAGTACCCACAACACATGCAGACAATCAGTATTACTTTAGCCCTGACATGTAAGCGAGTACCAACGACACATGCAGACAATCAGTGTTACTTTAGCCCTGACATGTAAGCGAGTACTCACGACACATGCAGACAATCAGTGTTACTTTAGCCCTGACATGTAAGCGAGTACTCACGACACATGCAGACAATCAGTGTTACTTTAGCCCTGACATGTAAGTGAGTACCCACGACACATGCAGACAATCAGTGTCCCTTTAGCCCTGACATGTAAGCGAGTACTCACAACACATGCAGACAATCAGTGTTACTTTAGCCCTGACATGTAAGCGAGTACCCACAACACATGCAGACAATCAGTGTTACTTTAGCCCTGACATGTAAGTGAGTACCCACGACACATGCAGACAATCAGTGTCCCTTTAGCCCTGACATGTAAGCGAGTACTCACAACACATGCAGACAATCAGTGTTACTTTAGCCCTGACATGTAAGCGAGTACCCACAACACATGCAGACAATCAGTGTCCCTTTAGCCCTGACATGTAAGCGAGTACCCACGACACATGCAGACAATCAGTGTTCCTTTAGCCATGGCATGTAAGCGAGTACCCACGACACATGCAGACAATCAGTGTTACTTTAGCCATGGCATGTAAGCGAGTACCCACGACACATGCAGACAATCAGTGTCCCTTTAGCCCTGACATGTAAGCGAGTACCCACGACACATGCAGACAATCAGTGTTACTTTAGCCATGGCATGTAAGCGAGTACACACGACACATGCAGACAATCAGTGTTACTTTAGCCCTGACATGTAAGCGAGTACTCACGACACATGCAGACAATCAGTGTTACTTTAGCCATGGCATGTAAGCGAGTACCCACAACCCACTCAGTGTTACTTTAGCCCTGACATGTAAGCGAGTACCCACGACACATGCAGACAATCAGTGTCCCTTTAGCCCTGACATCTAATCAGTGTCAATCAGTGTTATTTTAGCCATGGCATGTAAGCGAGTACCCACAACACACTCAGTGTTCCTTAAGACATGGTATGTTAGCAAGTACCCACGACACATGCAGACAATCGGTGTTTGTAGCGCTAAGATGATTGTTACTCCCATACTTTAAAATAGGCTTACGATAGTCGTAGCGCTAAGATGATTGTTACCCCCATACTTTAACATAGGTTTACGATAGTCGTAGTGCGAAGATGATCGTTACTCCCATACTTTAACATATGCTTTCGATAGTCGTAGTGCTAAGATGCTCCTTACTCCCATACTTTAACATAGGTTTACGATAGTCGTAGCTCTAAGATGATCGTTACTCCTATACTTTAACATAGGTTTACGATAGTTGTAGCGCTAAGATGATCGTTACTCCCATACTGTAACATAGGCTTACGATAGTCTAAGCGCTAAGATGATCGTTACTCCCATACTTTAACATAGGCTTACGATAGTCTAAGCGCTAAGATGATCGTTACTCCCATACTTTAACATAGGCTTACGATAGTCTAAGCGCTAAGATGATCGTTACTCCCATACTTTAACATAGACTTACGATAGTCTTAGCGCTAAGATGATCGTTACTCCCATACTTTAACATAGGCTTACGATAGTCTTAGCGCTAAGATGATCGTTACTCCCATACTTTAACATAGACTTACGATAGTCTTAGCGCTAAGATCGATGTGTGCAAGTGGGCCCAGTTGTTTTGTGACACCCTATTCTCATATTGACCCGCGTACTAATCATACTTAAGTCATATCTCCGATTTCCAGAAGGCTCAAGATCATCTCCTCTTTAGACTGTCTGCCGACCACAGCCTTTACTAATCCTGCGATTATATCATTTCAGCAACACGTTCATGCTGCACAAAGTTCACGCAGACATCATGGACTTTGTGACTGCGATCTGCACCAGGAAAGCAGGGAGCCCCATCCACCCCATTATAAAGGCTGTTGGATATTTCCTGTTCCACACAAAGGAGGAGAAGGACAAGCCTACTATAACGGTGCGAATCACATAGAAAACCACCCGAGTGGACATCACGACAATTGCAGGGCAAAAGAAAGTATACACCCATGTTATTTGGTGGCTAAAATTAAGCAAACAAGAACTTGTTATGCGATGGTGATGTATTTGATACGGGTATCATAGTTGTGTTTTGAACCTTATGTCTGCAGTGTTTCGGCGACTGTTTTCAGCCTAGTTACGTTTTTGATAAAGTATGTAATAATTTTGGTCAACAAGTGTATGCTTTCTTTTGCCCGGCAGTTTATTAACTTTTAGCCTGCTGAATTATTTTCACACTTCTTACCCCTGCCTGCTGGATTAATTTTAGCATAAGGCGCTCTAAAGAAAGTGGGTGATTTCAAACAGTCGGTGCCTCATTGAACAAGGGCCAATTGAAGAAATATTTTGCACATTTATTCCTGAAAGAAAACTACACAATACTATATAAAAATATCCCGATGTTTTCAATCATTCCAAGGTTAAGACCAAAGCGAACACAAAATTTGTAAATTTTCTTGAACTTCAGGCTACCTGAATTGCGGTATTGAAGGTGGTTTGCATTTCATGCTAGGAACCTTTTAATATCGTAACATTTGTGCAAATTGATTTCAATAATCATATCTCCGATATGTTAATTTTAATTGAGTAAAAATTCGGGTTTTTTTTATCGGCATATAACAGCGCGATGGAAAATTATGAACCATTTCAGTAAATTTATTATCTAAACGTTAAAGAGAAAAATAACTTAATTTTCGAGGTCATCATGTCGGTTGCAGAAATACGAATATTCAGGTTAATCTGACGTGTCATGTTATAAAATTTGCAGGAAACAATTGATGACTTATAAATATTCACTAATCCTAATTTCAAGCGTTTTGGTTGAATATTTACGATAAACAAAAATAAACAACCCGTGTCATGATGCTAGCAGACGTCCTAAAATCATACATGGCGCGCTTCGCCCGACCTCCGCATAACTTATTGCTATTTTAATATCAACAAAGTTTACATTGCCTTTATAAATATAACTTGGCGAAAGTTGATGATCTTCTCCATCGAAGAATGTTTTATTCGTCATATTCCGATTAATATGACGAGAGAAAAACGAAAATAAAGATCGTGAATTTTGACAGCACTATTTCAATAAGTGCAAAGGTCACCGGATGTGATGTCACAGACAGGGGTAGTCTGCTGGTAATCTTTCGTAACAAAACAATTACAGTAAATTTTGAAATAGTTCGCCTATCACATACAGCAAAAACATAAGTCCATACACAGTATCAGTAATCGCCACTAACATGAAATAAAAATGTGACTTTGACGATTTAATTCGCGTATTAGTTAATCCGTTTGACCTTGCATGCTCCCGTGACCCGGAAACGGTAGACAATAAATCAAAATGGCACATGCAAGTTTCTCGGTATCTTTTATTTGAACTTCTGTTGATATTTAAGAATCACAATTCAATGTTACGGTGAATATAAATAGGACATGATTCATATTTCTGCGATGTACACGCTGATAAGTTTCACTACAACAAGTGTATCCCACGTAATACGTCTATCGATATCGTCGATCAGCAAGATCACCCTCTACAACAGGTGCGCGAAAATTGGCTTGACAAAACTTGTTTCAAAATAACGAAGGATTTCTAAATTTATTCCAAAAATATGAAGACCACCATGATTGCGTATTGATTATTGATTTGTAATTGTTTAATTATTTACAGCTGTTTACAGGTTTTAAAATTTTAAGTTATATTTAGTAGTTATTTTTTCCCCACAATGATTGTGTGTGTGAACAGTAAATATTGGTCTTTGCATCAGCACAGTGTAACTGATCAAACTTCAATTATTATCTTTAGTTTAAACATATTTTTTCAACAATAAGTATCTTTCACTCTGAAAATCAACTATGTGAATAAGTAACTCTCTGATGTCATCATTTTAATTTTAGTATTCCATGAATAATGAATAAATCAGATCCTTAACATATATACATACATGTACTAAACTCATATGGACATTAATCTTGTTCATTATGTGTTTTGTTTCCAAATAAAACTATTCTGAAATATAATTTAATGGGAATATGCTACATTAATTACAGTAACAGTACCTGTAACAGTAAATGACATTTTTGTTTGTTTAATAACAAGAACCATGGTGGCACATAAGCTGGTAAGCTAGCCATATGTTTCTTAGAAAATGCTATCTCAGTCTTCTGGTTGGAATGAAAAGAAACATGCCTGTGTACATGTTTACCCTTGCCAGATGTATTTTTTCCAGTCAGCCAATCCATTTCTTTTGTTCACCTTATGTGGTCTATTTTATACATACAGGTACTGCTTCAAACCTGTTTTTCCTTTGTATGCAATCACAGTATCACAACTTCCTCAGCTGGTGTGTATAAAAGTTCCCCTGTCATCATGAAAAAAGAATTATAAAGGAAAGTCATGTTTTCATTCAAAAACATATCTGTCTTTCCTTGAATACTCTTTGTCTAAGTGCCAGAAATGTCAGTGTCATAAAAAAAATAAAAAAAGATTTTCATAAGGACTTTTCTTAGATAGACCTAAGTCAAACCATGTGACAAGTTAGGTAGAATTATAACTTTATAAGCCCTCATTTCTGAGGTGTCCATATTTTTCACATTTAAATATATTTTTAGGACAAAACGTGATCCATGTAGATCTGCCTGTTTTGTTATGTGTACCCAAAATTTCTAGTGAATTGGTACCGAAATGGGTATGTGATTTTGTAGATCTACCTAGAATTATTTCAAAGATATACATTAATTTTGGTGTCTTAAACTTAACATAATATCACTTTCCTATCAAAACAATACATTCTAACTTAGGTTTAACCAACTTAACTGGCCTCTTCTTCAGTGACAAGACGTCAATTTTCTCTCAAAACTAAACAATCAATTTCAAGGACCAGTCATGATCATATTATGAACTTGATGAAATATTTTATTATGTGTTCTGTTCATCTACATGAAAACATAAATATAATTATAGATCTATTGTCTTATTTTCTTAGGTACAAGTTCACAAAGTATTTTGGGTACAATTTAATTTGTTTTGGGTACAAAATCACATATATAGGAGCCTAGAATCTATATATATATTCCACTACCTCGTCGTGTACCAAAAGTTTAATCGGTTCAGAGGATGGGAGGTTCTCAGAAAGTTTTCAACAACATCTTTAATATTTTAAATTGTTCTTTTTGTAATGTTAGACCAATAACAATATTATGTTGTTATTATTATGGCATATCAATACGTTATATCACTGTCCGTTGCGGTCGTTTTCAGAAAACATTTTAAAGTTAAAATCATCGAGCGTGAAATCCATTACGGTTTCGCATTTAGACTTACACATTTGATGGCGACAATCACGAAGAAATATGAAACAAATAGGAGTGAAGACTGCTCTCCAGATCAATAAATAGTAAATAGTTGACGAAAAATAGTAAATTATGCATTTTCTTTTGAATTTGAATCTATTTCGGAATTTCTTTATGATAGCTTACCAACTTTTGCATTTTTTCCGTCATGTGTCACATGCGGTACGTGCTTCCGGTTTCAGAAATGATAGTTAAAATTGCAAGTATATTGGTTATTTCTCGTAAACTGCATTATTTTACTATTGAATGGTTTACCTAGAATGTATATCAGATCAGATTTTGCGTGTCATCCAATATTTGTCATTTTTCGCAGTGTTTGTTGACTTTGTTCAACTCAACAAATCGCGAGTTAGGCCATGCCCAAACGTATCACTGACGTTTGTCGGCTTGTCAATGTGTCGGAAAGTTTATCAAACGAAATCATTTGCAAACTCTTTAAAAATGAAATTCTTTTGAAAAGATTTATACATACGTGTCAATAATTCTAGAAAATTAAGTTAGATGTAACAAAATGATTGTAATAGTCTAACGGAATAACTATGCATGTGGAGTTGTTTATTTACCGCCGTTGCCATGATCGTACAAGTTCCATCCAATCGATGATGTTACGATTCAGATTGTTTTTGTTTACAATTAGTTACACCGAAAGTTGCTAATTTTTAGAAATAAAGGAACATGAGTGTTTTCCTTTCGTCAGCAAACAAAAATTTATGATCGAATAGGAAAAATGATGAAATTATAAAGAAAATATCGGACTGCATGCCGCTCAACGTGAAGTGCCAAAAGTCAACAATGGCCGTTTCTGGTAGTTGTGTGCCGAGAAGTTTTTAACTCGCGATATTTTCTTTTTGAGGTAAATAAATGACTGAACGTTTTGATATTGAGCAAGCTGAGCATTTATGCATGTCATACGTAATTTAAATGTTACGCAAAGCCTTCTTGGTAAATAGATATGGCGAGTTTTATTTTGGGGTGTCGTTATTCGCCTGTCGACATTAGATGCACGGGAAGTGACACCTCTCTCGAATGGGTTCGACGTTAGCGTGCAGAGCTTTAATAGTTATTGTGTTTGCAAAGCGAACATATTTCTTTAACGTTTTTCAGTGTTCACCCTACCGAAGTACTATTAGCTATACGCTGTCAAACTTTCGGGTCTCCCATTGTCTGCTCACCGCGACAGATGCTGCGTAACGTTGCATGATTTGCAACTTCTCTACTTATTAAGGGCAACTCTGAGCTGTTCACTGTGATGACGAGGAAGCTGATTGATCTGTTGACCGACCTGGAGGACCACACCCTGATGAGGGTCAAATTTGTTGACGCAGCTGTGTATGATGTTCTTATAAAGGCCATGAACAAGTAGGTCCCGTGTTCATGCTAACCTGATATATCATATCATTTTTAAAATATTTGATACAAAAGTATATATCTCTACAGGCAATGAAAGCAATGTTTCCTATAATACATATTTTCGTAAATATCACATGTCTATTATATGCGCGGTTCAGATATTTGACTCTAACATTCACCCAATACTGACGTATGGGTATAAATGGGAGGATTAAAAACAGAACAACTATTTTACGCAAATTTTGTAAAATGTTGGTGGAAAATAACAGATATCATAAGAAATTGTTACAATGATGGGATCGTGTCTGACGAATAAATTGGGCTTCTTTTACTCAGGAGACAGGTTTTGCTTTTTTGTATACAAAAAAGCAAAACCTGTATCTATAGATTACAGAACACCAAAGCTGTAAAGATTTAGAGACACAAAAGTGGCATAGTAAAATTCAGAGACACATTTTGTAAAACTATATTCAACCAATGAATTTGCACCTGAGAAACATATACTCGAGTTTGAACAAAAAATGTGTACATCTTAAGATGTATTTATTTAGCTTAACAAAACAAACTGATGATGTACGTGGCATTAATGAGTACCATTAAAGCATTTCATTGACACATATTGTCATAGATGTGATTATCATGTTGACGTTGGATAGCATTGTTAGCATCACTGCACTAATTGTTTGATCAAAGAACTTGGAAAAGTGACAAATCAAACAATGCCATATATAAGGCCAGTATGTTAACTGAACAAAATCTGCCAAAACAATTATAACTACTATCAACGTTTAACTTGACTCTAAAACCTGAAGACATGTCCATTCCTCTTTTGCACTGGATTCCAAAGTCACATAAAACTCAATGAATGACTTTCTATATATTCACAGAAATTATTTGAGAAAAGTGGAGTTAATATCATGTGGATTCTCAAAAACACAAAGCATTTGTTTTAAGTTTTGCAATATCTCAGAAAAGCATCAAGTTCAATTCTGTCAAACCATTTGATTTTACCACCTTGTACCCCACTATCCCACATGACTAACTTGATCCATGGGGCATTTGTTGTTAAACGTGGTGACAATGCATCTATGTAAAAGTTGAGGCTAAGACATCTTCTAGGCAAGAAGTAGGTATCCCCATGGGTAGTCCCATGTGCTCCCCTTCTTGCTGATCTGTTTCTTTATGCATATGAATCAGAATTTCCGCTCGGATTGGTTGAACACTATTCCTGCAACTGCAAATTACTTTTCACAACTCATTACGTACAATCAAGCGTGCCCTTTCGGCGAAGATTTCCAAGAGTGTAACTCGACTCTTGCACAAAAGTTGTTTAATCAAGGTTACAACATTCAAGGCCTCAGTAAAGTTTTATGGTGGACATGTTTTTTTCTGGTGTCTTGCTTTTGCATATGTTTGTGCCACCGGTGGGGCACGATACGTTCATATACATTGATACATTTAATCGGCTTGTTTCAAGTTTTAATTCAATCCTAATGAATTTGTTGTAAATTATCAAACATTGTATACGTTTACCTTAATGCGTTGAGCTTCAATATGTTTTATATGTATCATGCGTAATACGTGTCTATGTATGAACACTTGACTGTACTTTTGACTATGTGGCGTCACATACATTTGAAAGAGAACTACATATTGTGAATATGTTGCAGAACTCCTGAACACCGTCGGCTGATGATAGACCTGATAAAGGCATGTCTACGGATCAACCAGCCGATGACAGCCAAGGCGGCCTATAATTGCGTCAGGGGCGCTGAAATGTTTCTGAAATGGAAGGTACCATAATCAGCGACCACGTTAGTGTCGCTATATTATTCTCCTACACAGAATAAGAATCAACAGCATCTATAACTAGAATTGATACAGTGTATGAAGAATGTATCAAAGGGATTATTTTTAAGATTTTAAAAATTTAAACTTGACTGATCCTATTTTTCCTACAACATACAACCTAAACTTTGAGAATTAACCCCAAATAAGAAATATATAACCTAAGATCTCAAGAAATGAGTTTGTCATGCTATGGAATCTGTGGTACCATGATCTTGATGATTGTTTTCAGGAGCATGTGAACGATGCGCGTGAGATTCTGGACATCTTGATGACAGTCCGAGTGTTTGGAGAAGAGAAAGAGATCAAGGAATTTGCTGGATCCTACAAAAACTTTTGCAGTTACTTCGCCGATCAATTGAAGTAAGGTTACAATTACCCATATGTATAAGTGAACTTGGTTTACAAAACGTGTATGTTCACCTGCAAGGAAAGATTTACATTGAGAAACAAGTTTTCATGTCAATTTTGATTTCAAGCTCAAAAATCTCTTGTGACATCCGTAGAGATTCCGGGTTAGAATTTATCCCATGTGACCATGGACAAGTGCCAGTTTATAGAGTTCCGACTCTGGGACTTTCGATGGATTGGATCTATTATATACAGTCTGCAGTGAAAAACATGTGTATTTACCTACATTGTGAAACACATGTGTATTTACTTGCATAGGGAAAAAACATGTGTATTTACCTACATTGTGAAACACGTGTGTATTTACTTGCATAGTGAAAAACATGTGTATTTACCTACATTGTGAAACACGTGTGTATTTACTTGCATAGGGAAAAACATGTGTATTTACATACATTGTGAAACACGTGTATTTACTTGCATAGGGAAAAACATGTGTATTTACATACATTGTGAAACACATGTGTATTTACTTGCATAGGGAAAACGTGTGTATTTACCTACTTTGTGAAACACGTACGTATTTACCTGCATAGGGAAAAACGTGTGTATTTACCTACTTTGTGAAACACGTGTGTATTTACCTACTTTGTGAAATACGTAGTATAAAAGTATGCATGCTCTCTTGAGTTCTTGTCTTCATGATGGCTGATTCGTCTCTGTATGTATTCACAGACTGATTGCATAGAGATTCTCTTCAAACGCAGCCCTGTGACAGAGGCATGAAGAAGCTATAGGGTATACAATAGGCAAAAAGATCACAGTATGAGCAATTATCCATGCCGTTGGGCTACAATTACACGCAAAAGTCACATGGAAACTAAGAGCTGGCCTTTCATGATCGCCACATGACCTAAGTACTATTATTATACAGCGACACGTGCCTTTACCATCCCCACTTTAGCCCCTTCGTGGTGCTTTGAAACTTGGAAACCCAGAGAACACGAATAAAAGATGTACTAGTGCGAGTGATGTTACGCAAATACCTTTGGTTTGTTTGGTACAGTGTAAACTATATACATTTTGTTTCCAGGAGGGATCGTATCATTCCCCAAATGGTTGACAAAATGGTCGAATTTAGTTTGAAAATTCTCGAGAGGAGAGAAGGGCGCCTGTTCAAAGCTGGAAGTGAACTTGCAGATGAAATAGAGTTCATCGGAAAGGTGAGTTTACTTGTGAATGGCGAATTCTGGACTGACGACAATCCTGGTATTTGTTCTTCTAAAACGTGACAGTGACAGTAGCCAACTTGCAGTTGTTGTTTTTGTCTTTTACAGGTTTATAACACAGGATTTGATAATTTGTTCCATTGATTGTATCTTTTCAGAAAAACAAGGACCTGATAATGTCGACATTTTCCAATCTGCTGCCCTTCCTGAAAGATCCAAACTTTCCCTGGAAAGGCAACTGGTTCGGTTATTCGGGCAGGATCGTTAGCAAGCTTGCATCGAGGTCGATTGAAGCCTTGTAAGTAGTACATTTACACTGCACGGATATATAGAAACTGATACTAGACGAAATAGGCGAAATGTGATATTTGTACAAAGTGTTAAAACTGACATATTCACTATATACTGTAACGTACGGCCTGAATAAGATTAAATGCAGTTGACAGACCCAGACAGACAAAGATACAAACTTAAACAGATTAAAATAAACCTAATGACAGATTAATGGTAACTGAAGGCTAACGCCAATTCTTTATCTTGCAGAGAGCCCAAAAGCATAACTGAAAAGGACATAAGTGTCATTGCCTACTTCGTGATGACGGTGATGAAGGGAGACTTAATTGATGAGGAAACTAACACACCAAGCACAATCTTCTTCCAGCTGTACTGTTCGGTCGCGACAAAATTTTTGAGCCTTGTAAGTAGTTTAGTTTCAACATTATTCGCCTATAAAAAGGACGTATTGTATGAAAATACTTTCATGAAATAGTCAACCAGAACCATAGTAATGGTTGAACAAGAATTCGAACCCACGATTATAAATTCTCGTATGTATAAGGGATGCATCTCTGCACAATGACTTCTACTGATAGAGTCCTCTGGTTTGATGTTTTCCACACTCTACATGGTATAATCCACGTAGTTTCATCTGCCTGATACTTCACGGGGTTTCCGCTAATATTTGTTGCTTTTAATATAATCTGCTTGGACAAAAATCAACGCCATTTGAAACCTCTGATTGAGGTTATGTTCCAACGTCATGGTAGAATTTGATATAACCCATCTATTCACTCATACCTTATATAGAAGGAATATTGATATCCCAGGTGATATATTTGCCACACGCTATGACACAGTCAACCTACATCCGTTACTTGTATCATGATGGAACCTCCTTCTCCCTAAGCTGGACGACCAGGAGAAGATGCAGCGAGCCATTCTGGTGGTGAGAGAAATCGTCAACTTGCTGTCTCACGAATATAGCGAAGTTTCTGATATAGCCATGGCCCAGGTCAGCGTCGTTGTGGGGAATGGGTCAAAGGTCATGGCACTGTTCTTTCCCAAGCTGATGGACGTTTACATGGACACAGAGAATTCCACATTGTTATGTATGTTTTACGTTTCGACTTTACGTGAATAATGTCATACTTCCTTCATGCAACAAAGGGTTGCTTTCATACGTTTCCTTCTTTCGTTCATTTTCGAATTTGTGAGGACGATTTCACGGATGTGTCTGTCGTGGAAACAAAACTAATGTTAAACCTATATAAGTACTGAGACTCTCTTGTTTGAAGGAAATTAATAATGTATGTCACTTTGGGTTATGAATTTGGGACGAGGTAAGCAGTTGCTTGTATATGTGCATACTGTGAAACTTTGTTAACTCGACGTGATTAAAACCAGTTTTTTTCGGCTTTGGAGAAAGGAGATATATATGCAGTATTGCAATATGATATATCATCACTCGTTTAGTCTAGACCTCTTTCAACATCTACATATAGTAAAAGGTGGACGTTACCGCGGCCACCGAATGGATTCCGGGTTAGAATAGGTTCCCGCCAATTTATGCTGGCCATGCGAAGCGACTAAATGGGCTGGGTGGTCCGTCTTGGTGACTTTGTTGATTGCGTGTCATCGTACAGCGACGGCGTGGCTCGTTGCTCACAATATCTATCTCTTGATAGAGATTATACAGACTCGATTCTTTACCAGCCACCGTCATACGGTTGAAATATTGCTGAGTGTGGCGTTAAAACAACAAACAAACACACACCCAATCACACGATTTGATAATCCTTAAATTTGTTCATAAAGACGATTCCAGGGAGAGATTTCATTTTATTACAAATACCCTGAATGCGTGCCCGGTTTTTTTTCAGATTACCTAAGTCAAATCTACCCACACTACCCCAAACTTCAAGATCAACAATTCAAAACTCTCTTCGAGTTGATCGACACCCCAGAACGGTCGTCTGTATTACACTTGTGTACAGAGATAGCCAAGAAACAACCGAATGTAAGTTGGTGTAATAGTGAAGTATAATCAAGTGTTAGTGGATACAAACCGTTTTATAGCGGAGGGTAATATATACATAACGCTATGTGTTGACCAAAATGAAACAATAATTTATCCAGAAATCTGTACGCAAAAGAATTCAGTGTGAAACCAACAAACCACAAAAATGGTAGACAATTAATAATTGTCTTGTTAAGGTGTACAAATCAATACCAGTTACTGCACAACAATTACAATGGCAATACCCAACATATGTTCTTCCACACCACTGCTTACATTATATATTACTACATTCTTGACAACCAATTATTGTCAAAACACAATGCCATAAACTTCTACCGAATCTCTGCAGAATCAATGTAATACAATCACAACACTGTTTATCACATTACACTGTAACCATATAACAATATGGAATAAAATACGGGAACGTATGCATTGAATGTCTAATCAAAGGTAAAGACGTGCATTCTTACGTCTTTGTAACAAGGATGTGACATGGGGAGTGGTGTCTGATTGAACCCGATGTGGACCAAATTGGCCCGGACAACTTTTATTTTGGCATATTCGTGATGAGGCTGCTGATGTTAGCTCCGCGCATCATGTGCACCGCCACTCCGCAGAGCTCTGGGACATAAATTCCAGGTTAATCCCACAGATTTTAATGGTATAAGTCAGGATTTGCAGCCAGCCAAGGCTGACCAGATGTTCTTTTTCATAAAATAAACCCCAACCGACACACGAGCTGTGCATGGCTGTGTGTTATGTTGTAAACTGCCGCTCAATCATACACGCAAAGGCCTCATAACCACATCAACCCCTGTGGGTCAGTCATCAACATTGGTAACGTCGGTCGCTCTGAACAGCTGTAGGTGATGATAGCCCAAATCATCAGATCTTGCGTTAAATCGGTATACTGCTGCTAGCTCTCACACATTGTCTAATTGTTCCTTAACATATTCATGGCAGCATCACTGTGAAGGAAATATTTCATTTAAAATATTAACACATAATATTAAGATATTGAAATGTAGTTCTTGATTTACTTAGATTAAGTGAAGCAAACATTGCAATGAAATGTCCGAAAATCCGACGGGCAACAAGTAGCAAAGGTATATTTGTTAACATTGAGGTACATTGACCTGGCCGTTATTCTATCGCAGCTATGGTAACCGCATCAATACCTTTGTTCGTGACGTCAAATAACAAATCATTTCTCTATGCTTCATGGTTGTGACAAACTGACACAGACTGAAAATTGACAAAATTGATATTACAAATACAAAAGGCTCAACTGAAACAATAGATTAATCTCTAAAATTAAAATAAATAAATATTGATTTAACATAATAACAAATTATAAGGACAAATATATCACAATTTATAATGGTAGAAAGGAAACATTTATGCAAAAGACCGTGCTCTTTGATCAGATTGGTGTACTATACATGTAACAATCCAGAGTTAAATGTGAGCTCTTTCCAGTTGTTCACTGAGGACCATATTGGTAAGCTGAATGAGGAGATGTTCCAAGGTGATGAAAGGATGCAGGCAATGTATTTGATGGTCATGGGCCCACTCTCCAAGAAGATGCCAAGAAAGCTCATCCCCCACCTGAAAACCCTGATGGAAGGCGATGTTAACTCCCAATATGGTGCCAAGTATCAACTCTTCGTTGTTCTGAAGAATGTGGCCATTATGAGTGACGATGAGGTACGTTGTTCTTAATATATTCAAATGTCAATAAACTGCGCCTTACAAAACACTAAATTGGCACAAACATGATGGCAAATCCTTTAAAACATCAAATTTAGAATGCAAACAATATATTCTGCTCGATCCCATTAACAGAACGAACTAGAGTGCCTTTAAATTCTTCACATGATCATTGTTAAATATGAAACATAAACGCCAAAAAATCACTTAAGAATTGACTTTCACTTTGTGTGAGTTCATTGGAGTATGAACCTTCACAGAGTGAGGGCCTAACTGTATGAACGTAGGATCAATTGGCCTATCATTGAAAGGTGATTAAAGATGTATCAAACAGACACTAAGGTAAAGTCGTAGATTACTGTAGACAGTCACTGCCAGCAAAGACACGGATCCAGTCGATACTACCAAAGTTTGGATGTGCATTTCTTCGTTTTCTTCACTAGGGTGGGTCGTAGCAAGGATATTCGAGAACGATCATGCAGTCAAACTCTCTAGCGTTTCTCAATGTATACTAAAACGCTGAGTTCAAGATAAAAGGGTCTAAATGATCAGAAAGAACGCTTCTGTGCATATTCGGGGTTCCCCCGGGATGTGGAAGTAGTCCGTCAGTGTTTACGTCATTTCAAGAACACGATCTCTGGAAAAACGTATGAACGTCAAGTTGTGTCTTTCATAAACTTATGAACGTCAATTTCGCGGTCAGGTGACCGATTTCTCGTCTAATTGAAAAACCGTATATCGTGTAAACTTCAAATTAAAAAATTATTCTAGTTTATCCGTCGAAACGGATCCCATTGAAATGATATGAATGGATCACTGAAAGTTTTATCGTTAAAACACAAGTTTGATACATTTTCACTTGTACTATTTAGCAAGAAAAGTACAGTAAGTTAAGGAAGTGAAATTACATGAAACTAAACTGGGCTGTTTTCTGATGCTGCCACAGTACTACAAGGCAACAAGAGGTACCGAGGAACTATTCAATTACGATTTTAAGAAATGAATTTAGGGTTTCAGTTTAGTGGCACAAACAAAATATACCTAAATCTATAACATAACTTGGACAAAAAGCGGTAAGGCTGTCATCATTTGGAAAGCAAATACAGTAAACTACTGTTATAACAGACTCAAAGGGACCACTAAATTTAGTTCGTAATAACCGTAGTTCGTTATAAGCACATTTACAGGATATATACAGCAAATGGATGGGACCAAAAACAGTTCGTTATATCCGTCAGTTCGTTATAAGTGTGTTCGTTATAAACTAGTTTAAACTATTACATATATCAATTTAGACAATTGAATAGCCAACAGCTCAATACAGGCACTAATTACGTACATGTTCGTAACACAGGCTGTGGCAGAGGAAGTGATGGCATATCTAGAGAAGGTCCTTCGAGGTCCTGAAGACGACATGGTGACTTCCTCCTGTCTCAATGAGATGCGTGCTATAGGTGGTGTATACCGACCACTGTTGGAGCGTCGTAAACCAGCCATAGAGGACTTGAGGAAACGATCTACTGTCCAGACAACAAAGGATCAGTGTACCTTTATCTTGGATGTTCTGGAAGGAAGAAGGTGAGAATACTATGGCACTGTCCAAAACTTCATAAAGGTCTAAAAATTATGCCTGGTAGAACTTGTGGAGTTCTTCGACACACTTGAAATAAAATTACATATTTTACTACTTTCCAAAATATAACTTTCATTACAGCAATGCGTCACTGATCCGTTCATTGAAGGTCGCTTCTCTGACAATATACTATGTTAATATACCTACAGCCTGGAGTCCCTGGCTGAAGAGATCAAGGATGTAAAAGAAGATGTGGAGGAACTGGACACACGAGTGACAAGGACTGAGGTTGGCCTTGTGCTGCTCAACCAAGGGGTGGGTGAGCAGCGGGAGGAGCTGGATGGGGTCAAAGTCGATGTTGAGGCTCATGGCGAGAAGATTGGCCATCTTGAGGAGACAGTGGATGACACCAAGGCTAAAGTGGAGGAACTCGACGGAAAGGTAAGCACAGTTTGAAAGGAGTGATCCTCGAATTTTTCAAGAATAACGATGTAAAAACACGAAATTGTGTATGGTAATGAACAACATCTAAGACATCTGTACCTTTCAATATAATATGGAAAATTGCTAATACTGTTACGTTTACTACTGATTATGCTTGTAAAGTAAACAAAGATCATGGGAGTCTAATTTGACAACTCTCTCTTTCATCAATCATCAAGACACTCAGTCATGCTCCCTTCTGGGCAAGAGACGTGGCCAAACTACTCAACCCTGAAGACCTTCTGGACTGGACACTTCTCTCTAGACGTCTTGGCTACACCAATGATGACATCAGGAGCTGGGCGCAGATGCACGACCCATGTATGGCCATGCTGAATGAATGGTACGCCACTCGGAAGACGAGGGAAGCCACATATGCTGTGCTGACAGCACTGCAAGAGATGGACAGAATGAATGCTGCTGTCATAGTGGAGAATGCAATGAAGATGACAGGTATTATTAATTACATGAAATGTTGTTTTTTTTATCTGTTATACAACCTTTTCGTACGTGTTTAACCACTTTTTAGATATCACAACAACCAATGCCAAACTGATGAACTTCTTTGTACTTACCGAAATAGATTTCCATCAAAGGGCACGTTCATATGTCTCAGTGTATTTTTGTCACGTATTGATGTCTTGTCAACATCGTCTTAACATTATAGAATGGTCATATGTTTATAATTTCTTTCTCAGAAGCTGTAGTCGAGGACGAAGAGTTTGAGTACCCGGAGCCTCCAGAGGTGTTCCTCAGCTACCAGTGGGGAATCCAGAACGAGGTGAAGCTTCTGAAGCAGCACCTGGAGAAGGCGGGCTTCACGTGCTGGATGGACATTGGTCAGATGGGAGGTGGAGACAAGCTGTTCGAGAAGATTGACCAGGGAATCAGGGCAGCCAAGATCATCATCTGTTGTGTCACTGGGAAATATGCCAAGTCTTCAAACTGCAACAGAGAGGTATGTGTCCGGATAATTTCCACTGACATTAAAGTCTATTTTCTAACAACATCAAAGTTTCAAGTGTTCCACAAAAGAATATTTAATAATCCATGCCTTCATTCATCTGGGGGTTAATAATTTCAATTGCTAAGAAACTGTGACGAAAAGGCGTATTGAAAGGCAAATGTGTTTGATAAAGTGCATTGATTTTTATGTGGACATGTTGTGTTTTGGCTTAAGGTGAACCTCTCGGTAAGCCTGGGTAAGCCCATCATCCCTCTGTTGATGGAGAAACTATCATGGCCTCCACCAGGCTCAATGGGGCATATCTTCAGTGAGTATCTGTTCATCCGATTCTTCACCCGGCCTGGGGAGGAGACTGGTGACGACAGATACTGGTCAGCAGCCAAGTTCCAGGAACTTCTGATGCAGGTCAACTACAACAACGTCAAGCCGGAGGAACAGAAGGTGGAAAAAGGTGGGCAAATTGGGAGGCATAGATAGCGAGAGGGGAGGCATGTGTGGATAGTTCATTAAAACATAATTCAGTGAAGTTTTAAAATAAGTTGGATTTTTTACTTTCGTAAGATCTGCTGAAATGTTATTTACATTCGAAATGTGGGAAAGCTATCTTAAACATTTCCGGAATAGTGTTTTACCTATTACACCGATTATTATTGTTGCGAAAGAAAGCCATAAGAACTGTGTTTTTTCACACAAAGAATACATGAACTGGTGGTGTCCTGTGGCTGAAGTCATTAAGATAGAAAAGAAGGACGTAAAGGCGATGACGGCCGCCAGTCAGCAGAAACAAGCGGAGGTTGAGGTAGGTTGGGCAGACCGAATGTTTCATTAGCTACATTATTTTCCGATATTATTGCCGTGGTCACATTTGTGCATTGTAGTCTTATATGTTTGCCCTGAACTGCAGTTAAAGGGGAGTTGTGTGAAAGCATCATACAGCTCTTGCCTCAGTGAAGCTTTCAAAAGTCTAACGGCAGACATGTGGAGGACAAAATTTGACGAATTAGTGAGGAAAACCATGTCCGTTGTAATACCCTCCTGTACCTTTGCATGTGTTTGTGGGGCAGGTTACGCTCACCTTAATACATGTATGTGTTGTTATGTTTTGATTTATTTGTAATTCCCTTCTTTCTCAGTCTGGAGCAGCCTCTCCTGATGTGTTCATCTCCTACCAGTGGGGAAAACAGAAGCAGGTTCAGCTCATGTACAAGCGCCTGACTGAGATGGGCTTCACCGTCTGGATGGACATCTACCAAATGGGAGGTGGGGACTCCCTCTATGACAAAATTGACAAGGGCGTGCGGGGGGCAAAGATCGTGCTCACGTGTGTCACCTCAAAGTATTCTCTGTCAGCCAACTGCAGGAGGGAAGTCAGTCTCGCTGATGCCCTCAAGAAACCAATAGTGCCTCTGTTGCTGGAGAAGATGACATGGCCACCATCTGGCCCGATGAGCATGGTGTTCACTCAGCTTATGTACATAACCTTTGCCAAGGATGAATCTGTTCAGGAAAGATGGGATGGAGAAAAGTTTGATGAACTATTGACCAAATTAGATCAATACGTGCCGAATATTATTGTGTCAGGTGATGAGGAACCTGTTCCGTCCACTGAAGTTGATACTGGCGACACACCAGAAAAAAAGAAGTCAAGATGCTGCTTGATATTGTAGAAACACATTTAGCCTTTCCTGAACACCTGATTTCATCATTGTTTTCAGTGAACCATTAATAAAGGTTTTACTGCCAATTTGCCGTGTACGCCCAATAGAATCAGTTTCAGCGGAGAATCGTTATTCTCTGGCTCTGATGTTTATATTTGGTAGCAAACTGTGATAAACTGTAGAACATGATGTCCGATATTCACTTGGAATCTTCAATTAATGTTTCCCTTTTTGTGTCAATTGTTGCAAGTGTAAACTTATCAACACAGAAGGCTTATCTTTTTGTGTGTAGGGGCGGTCGTGGTTAAAACGTTCGCTCGTCACGCCGAAGACACTGGTTCGATTCCTGACATTGGTACAATGTGTGCCCATTTCCGGTGTCCCCGCCGTGATATTGCTGGAATATTGCTAAAAGCGGCGTAAAACCACACTCACTCACTCTGATTACTGTAGTTACGTTAACATTGTTTACCGACACTTCAAGAAGGTGTCAATAGTGAGCTGAACACTACTAAATTGTGATTCATCTATAGCAGGACACATACCAGGCTGTACATAATATGTTAATTGATCTTCATCTTGTTATATTGAAACCTTATAAAATCCCATGGTTTTGTTATGTTCATGAGAGTATTGCACAACCGGGATGAATATTCTACATGTAGAAATACCATTACTTATTTCCTATTGACATGTGCTGCGCTTGTACGGTAACAGAAATGTTATTAATGTTAGAGTGAGTATAACACATATGATATATGATATGAGATAACCATTTTGATCATGTTTGCGAAGTTTTGATGGATATGTTGATAGTCTAAAAGCGTATTTGTGATTATGAATTGTGATATTACTGGGTGCTGAATGTAAATACTTACCTTTACTTCTGCACAGTACGCACACGTGGGACCCGTGAAGATCCGGGATAGAATAGGTCTTCAGCAACCCATGTACCCGTGAAGATCCGGGGTAGAATAGGTCTTCAGCAACCCATGTACCCCTGAAAATACGGGGTAGAATAGGTCTTCAGCAACCCATGTACCCATGATGATCCGGGGTAGAATAGGTCTTCAGCAACCCATGTACCCGTGAAGATCTGGGGTAGAATAGGTCTTCAGCAACCCATGTACCCATGATGATCCGGGGTAGAATAGGTCTTCAGCAACCCATGTACCCGTGAAAATCCGGGGTAGAATAGGTCTTCAGCAACCCATGTACCCGTGAAGATCTGGGGTAGAATAGGTCTTCAGCAACCCATGTACCCGTGAAGATCCGGGGTAGAATAGATCTTCAGCAACCCATGTACCCGTGAAGATCCGGGATAGAATAGGTTTACAGCAACCCATGTACCCGTGAAGATCCGGGGTAGAATAGGTCATCAGGAACCCATGCTTGCCGTAAAAGGCGATTTACGGGATCTGGTGGTCAGGCTCGCTGACTTGATGCATGTCATCGTATCCCAATTGCTTGGATCCATGCGCATGATGTGAATCACTGGATTGTCATGTCCAGACTCGATTATTTACAGAGCGCCGTCATATTGCTAGAATATTGCTGAGTGTGGCGTTAAACAACAAACAAAGAAACATACACGTGGATGTGAAGCGTTTTGAAACCGTCCAAGATGATACCATGTTTCAATCCTAGATATCTGCAAGAGATAAATATTCCAAAGGATCCATGTATAGAATTGTAAAAAGTGACTGTTTAAAGTTTGAAGGCTTTTTGATCATTACAGATGATAACATTTGGAGATCTTTACGGACGTTCAGAACATCTAATTACAATGTACAGTTGAAACAGACAGATGGCGGACAATCTGAAACAAAATGTCCACTCCAATTGTATGACACATGAGATGAATTTCACTATTTGTGTATGTGTCCTTCTCTTGACAAAGAGAGGAAACAACTGATTCGTAAATACTTTTACATTAACCTAACATGTATAAAATATTTTTTTTGATTTTGCTTTTATTGTCCGAAGATTAGGAACACTGAGAAAACTACTAGTATTTAAGTTCTGTATAATAATTATGATAAGTTCAAAACTGGAAAGAATATTTTATAAATATTTGAACAGTTTTTCAGTTGTGTACTGCACCTGATCCGACTGCTGGGGAAAGATGCTTATGACACTGTAATACTGATTTCATGTATATTGTTTATAACCAATACTTGATCTCTACCTCAAATGTCGCTGCTAGCGACCTGAGTGTAATAAAGTTTCAGTTCAGTCATAAAACTATGTATATCTCACTGTGATATCTATGTTTGTAATTTCATTTGAAATGACATGTTTATTCATTTGATTCTTGTATATATATAGTTAGGTATTAATCCTCCAGTATGTATGTCTGTTGAACTACGTCTCTACTGTGAATAAATCTGTCGTTGATTGTTGTTAAGAGTTAATGTATGTCATTTTTTGTGTGTGCAATCTAGAGTCATGCAGAGAACAACTATAGACCGAATAAATGAGCCTAAAGACTGATCATCTTGGTTATGTGTCTTTACGAACAAAGAGTCTCTCACTGATTAGCAAGAGACACTCACCTGTATTTGCCGTGTCACATGGTTGAAAATAATGTTCATTTCTTCAGTTTTTCCCTGTCGACATTCTAGGTTAGTCCTCACGAGAACGCTTGCAATTGTGTGACCAGGACTTGTCATTCTGCCCTGAATGCGTGTTATTGTGCTCCGATGGAGTGTCAGTGTGCCCTAGTTGCTAATCAGTGTATCCTGGTGACCTGCCACTGTGCCTTGCTGGCTTGGATCATATAGGGACATTCGTGATTTAGCTGGAAAAACTGCAGACTGCAAACTGCTAACTGCTAATTGTATATTTGCGATGGGCGCTGTTTGTGCACCACTACGGACCTGACGAGTTTATCCCAAATCTAAACACTATCTTATGTGTTAAGAGTTACTGCACTTTGTACAAAGAATTTGAATATTTACGTCCAGCTGACTACTTGTCTGGAAATCTATACAGACGTCGTGGCGTCACTCGTTTGTCACGTCTCAATTGACTTTATGTACTTTCAGCTACCACAGTGATAATCGTCTGTTATACACAGGATAGTTCTTATTGTTACACAAAAACATTTCACCGAAAATATATATTTGTGACTTTGTACACACCTTGACCTTCCGTGTGTAAAACCGTGTACACCAAGCTTACGACACGTTTCATAATAGTATTTAAAGGCACGCGTGTATAAGATAACATGTTATTTATTTGATTAAGTAGAATATATGCAAGCCAGCACTACATCGCTAATAAAGATAATATATTGATGTTTTGAACACTTTGCCGTGTATGGTTGTAAATGTGATCTTTTTGTGAAAACAAGAGTCAAAGGATCAGACACAGATAAAACAATACATATATCGGGATATGAAGTGAGTGAGTGAGTTGACAGACGCTTCTAACATTTATATCATGTTGTGTCAGCTTGATGTGGAGGACAGATCACGTGATGCTAGTCCTAGACGTTCATACAGTGATAAGACCAACGAGGTATGTTGCTCACAAAGAATAGGGCGAGTCTCGGATTTGAACCAGTGATCATAGAATTGTGACACAACTAAGGGACGCTACGCTGCACAGCGAATTGCGACCCATGGCCACATACTTTCATGACTGGCTCATCGGATTCCCCTTTTCCGCATACACATACATGAATTACGTCACTACGGTCACCAGTGAGACTGCTTCATCTGTCTCATTTACATCTATGCATAAAGATTCAGTGTGACAAAATACTCTCCACAAGACTGAATGAAAGAATTGATGACTTCAACTTCCAAAAGTCAACATTCCCTTTATGTCGAGCAACAATCCTGCAGCTCCAGCCTCTTGTCACAACTTCTGAGGTACAATCGAGCATGCTCATATATCTAGTGACAAGCGTGATGTCCGATGGAATTCCCCATTTTTTTCAGGTGAACAATTGACTTGCCTTTGCATGTGCTTGTGACCGAGAATAGGTCTTCAGCAACCCATGCTTGCCTTACAAGGCGACTATGTTTGTCGTAAGAGGGAACAAACGGGATCAGATGGTCAGGCTCGCTGATTTGGTTGATACATGTCTTCGCATCCCAAATGTGTTGATCGATGCGCCTGATGTCAATCATTGGATTGTCTGGTCACTTTTTAGCAAACACCTGGTATCATCCCTATTTGAAAGTGATTCATAAACACATGTTCATGATATAGTCGGAATCGAACAATCGATTCTGTTATTGGCAGTGATTTCGTATGAAAATGGAAAGGGTTTGTCGCTTTTATTTATTCAGATGAGTTTTGTAGGCAGATGCGAACATTTCGACTTACAGTGAGTGAGTACATGGAAGTCGTTTAACCCCGATGTCAGCAATATTTGGGCTACATCATAGTTGATTCCAGTTTAGACACCAATAACGACCGTCATAGGAGTCCCCACGGACGTTTACACATGCAGAAAGCAATTACTGAAAACAAACTAATGCTAAAACAAAACAAAACAGTCACAAATATAATCAATCTATAACGTAATTTTAATTATGAAACAGAATGTCAACGTTAACATTGGTAACATGAGCAGAATGAATACCACTTGCACTCTAGCATGTCATTGAACAACTTCTCTAAACACCAAGACAAACGTCATCTGACATCAAAGTCAGGCACCTAATTTTATATCACAGTTCGTCATCCGGTTTGTCAACAAAATGTAATCAACATTACTGCATTTTCTCGAGACAAAAGTCAACATCATCTAGCATTAGAACACATGTGGTGCAGTGCTTCTTGTCATTGAATAGGAAATAACTCACTCAAACAAACCGATGAATAAGCAGCCACAAACAACAACAGTTTTGTATCACAGGCATGTTGCAGCAGTAGACGTGAACACAGATGGTTATAACATTGTGCTGATATGGATTGTTGCAGCAGTAGACGTGAACACAGATGGTTATAACATTGTGCTGATGTGGATTGTTGCAGCAGTAGACGTGAACACAGATGGTTATAACATTGTGCTGATGTGGATTGTTGCAGCAGTAGACGTGAACACAGATGGTTATAACATTGTGCTGATGTGGATTGTTGCAGCAGTATGACGTCAACACAGCCAGTTATTATATTGTGCTGATATGGATTGTTGCAGCAGTAGATGTCAACACAGCCAGTTATAACATTGTGCTGATGTGGATTGTTGCAGCAGTAGATGTCAACACAGATGGTTATAACATTGTGCTGATGTGGATTGTTGCAGCAGTAGACGTGAACACAGATGGTTATAACATTGTGCTGATGTGGATTGTTGCAGCAGTAGACGTGAACACAGATGGTTATAACATTGTGCTGATGTGGATTGTTGCAGCAGTAGACGTGAACACAAATGGTTATAACATTGTGCTGATGTGGATTGTTGCAGCAGTATGACGTCAACACAGCCAGTTATTATATTGTGCTGATATGGATTGTTGCAGCAGTAGATGTCAACACAGCCAGTTATAACATTGTGCTGATGTGGATTGTTGCAGCAGTAGACGTCAACACAGATGGTTATAACATTGTGCTGACTTGGAATGTTGCAACAGTATGACGTCAACACAGCCAGTTATAATAGTGTGCTGACTTGGAATGTTGCAGCAGTATGACGTCAACACAGCCAGTTATAATATTGTGCTGATGTGGATTGTTGCAGCAGTATGACGTCAACACAGCCAGTTATAATATTGTGCTGACTTGGATTGATGCAGCAGTAGACGACAACACAGATGGTTATAACATTGTGCATGACCTCGATTGTTTTGTCTCTGATTTTCCTTGAGGTGATACCGGTTGTCTGTGTGGAGGTTTGTCAATTTGTGGCTGTTGCTGGTGCTGTGGTTCTTGTAGAGGTGGTGATGGCTGGTGCAGAGTAGGGGAACGCTGTTGCTGTTGTTGAGGATGTTGTTGCGAGGAAACCTGTTCAGGGGGTTCGATGTTCGGTTCACTTGATGTCATATCTTTTAGGTTAGGTTGTAATTGTTTATCATTTTTTGCTGTAGTGGACGGCTCTGTTTCCGGAGAAGCTTTGACTTCAGCTTGTTTACCCCCATTGCCTAGAATAATAATACCAGGGACATGGTAATCTAGTTTTGTCAACAGTTCCTCAAATGTATCTCCATCCCATCTTTCCTGAACAGCCTCATCCTTGGCAAAGTTGATGTACAGAAGCTGAGTGAACACCATGCTCATCGGACCAGATGGTGGCCATGTCATCTTCTCCAGCAACAGAGGCACTATTGGTTTCTTGAGGGCATCAGCGAGACTGACTTCCCTCCTGCAGTTGGCTGACAGAGAATACTTTGAGGTGACACACGTGAGCACGATCTTTGCCCCCCGCACACCCTTGTCAATTTTGTCATAGAGGGAGTCCCCACCTCCCATTTGGTAGATGTCCATCCAGACGGTGAAGCCCATCTCAGTCAGGCGCTTGTACATGAGTTGAATCTGTTTCTGTTTTCCCCACTGGTAGGAGATGAACACATCAGGAGAGGCTGCTCCAGACTGAGAAAGAAGGGAATTACAAATAAATCAAAACATAACAATCGGTATAATTGATCCCAACACAGAAGGGTTATCTCAACACGGGCCATATTATTATCTCATATATTGAATGATTTGGTTGGTTGTCATTTTACTTCGCAGACAACTATATTCCAGCTATGTCACAGATGCTTGGAAAAATCTTGTCTCAGCAATCAAGCCATGCAGGTATCACTTAGGACAAGGAAAGGTTAATGGGGCCAGTTGTAACGTGGTAAATCCCTAGAATGTGCCAAGGTTGTCATGAGTGTTTAGCAATTATAGGGCAGGTCAGTCATATCCGATGTGTTCATGTTCGTTTGCTCCACCTACCTCCACCTCCTCCTGCTTCTGCTGACTGGCGGCCGTCATCGCCTTCACGTCCTTCTTCTCTATCTTGATGACTTCAGTCACAGGGCACCACCAGTTCTTGTATTCTTGGAAAAAGAAAGGACAACTAGAGCTGGACAACATACAACAAATTGATATCACATGACTCCCGAAATATTTTCAATGAAAAAACAAAAAAAATCAAACTGATCCACATTCTGTTCACACACAGTGTCTTACATTTGATAAACATGTATCTGACTGATGGTTGGTAATGTAACACTACAAGCTAGCGTCAAAGTTCCCCGTTCCTATTCCTACCTTGGCTCCCTTATCGGTTCACACCATGGAAGCTAGTCAATGGAAACTGGAAATGGATGCTTACCTTCGTCCACCTTCTGTTCCTCCGGCTTGACGTTGTTGTAGTTGACCTGCATCAGGAGTTCCTGGAACTTGGCTGAGGACCAGTATCTGACGTCACCCGTTTCCTCCCCAGGCCGGGTGAAGAATCGGATGAACAGATACTCACTGAAGATTGGCCCCATTGAGCCTGGTGGAGGCCATGATAGTTTCTCCATCAACAGAGGAATGATGGGCTTACCAAGGCTTACTGAGAGGTTCACCTAAAGCCAAAACACAACATGTCCATATAAAAATCAATGCACTTTACTGATCACATTTGCCTTCAATACCCCTTTTCGTCACAAATTGTCAGCAATTGATATCTACTGTCGCTTAATAATGGATGCCAAGAATTATGTAATGGGTTTTGGTGGGAACATCTGAAACTTCAGTATGTTTTATGACTATACTGCCTGTGGAAAGTTAACTGGACACATACCTCTCTGTTGCAGTTTGGAGACTTGGCATATTTCTCAGTGACACAACAGATGATGATCTTGGCTGCTCTGATTCCCTTGTCAATCTTCTCGAACAGCTTGTCTCCGCCTCCCATCTGACCAATGTCCATCCAGCACGTGAAGCCCGCCTTCTCCAGGTGCTGCTTCAGAAGCTTCACCTCGTTCTGGATTCCCCACTGGTAGCTGAGGAACACCTCTGGAGGCTCTGGGTACTCAAACTCTTCGTCTTCGGCAACAGTTTCTGTATGAATATAATCTTATAGTATTAGAAGAAAGATTGCTAGGCTATGAAGAACTCCTTATTTCAAATACTCTTTGGATATCACTGAAAACATTAATCATAGTGTTAAGAAATATTAATAATATAAATGGGTTATCATTATCGTTATTGAATATGAATGTATCACATACCCGACATCTTCATTGCATTCTCAACTATGACAGCAGCATCCATTCTGTCCATCTCTTGCAGTGCTGTCAGCACAGCATATGTGGCTTCCCTCGTCTTCCGAGTGGCGTACCATTCATTCAGCATGGCCATACATGGGTCGTGCATCTGAGCCCAGCTCCTGATGTCATCATTGGTGTAGCCAAGTCGACTGGAAAGAAGCCTCCAGTCCAGAGCGTCTTCAGGGTTGAGTAATTTGGCCATGTCTCTTGCCCAGAAGGGAGCATGGCTCAGTGTCTGGAAATAGTTGTATTATATTGTCTATCAATGTATATATCGTAGAGGTCATAGCACTAATGCCAATTTAAAATTATTGTACATCCTCGAGAGTAGCCAACGAGTTACGAGGAACTACGGATTTTCTGTCCTGAGTGTGATTTCGTGAAGACAAAACATCAACGACAGAGAACACCCACTTCGATCATTATCCATTTTCGATGAACCACAAGTTCAGTCACACCATACGCACACTTGCTGATTTTGTTGAAACAAAAAAGCGATATGTTATTTTGAATTACGTCTGTTGTGCAGGGATTCTTCTACTTACAAGTAACGAGCATACGAAATATGTTCAATTTGCAACACAATGGAGAGGCAGATTAAATATATCGGCCCAAACATTCCTTTTGTAGTTCTCTCAGCATACTTGAGCTACAGAGCTTATGTTAAAACTCGGAGACTTCAGTCCACCAGCAGAAACATGGACTGAGTTCGAGTAAATATAAAACGCCAATGCAAGGTGAAAAAACAGTGGTTCCTTGAAAACCTGTACTACTATTTACTTTGCCATCTATTTCTTCCACTTTAGCCTTAGTGTCATCCACTGTCTCTTCCAGTTGGCCAATCTTCTCTACATGATCCTCCATATTGTGTTTGACTTCTTCCAGTTCCTCCTTCTGTTGACCGACCTGCTGGCTGACCAACACCACGCCCACTTCAGTGTGTGTCACTCGAGTGTCAAGTTCCTCAACATCTTCCTTCACATCTTTGATCTCTTCCGCCAAAGACTCCAAACTAGGAATAGATAATTGGAGTATAATATATAAAGGTAACGGAAGAAAAAAACAAGACGAAACAAGAAATGTACATATGAGATCCATATATCTCATTGGAGCAACAGAAGATTGTATGATAAGGTTGTTCAAGGTAATGTACATGGAATTCTGGAAGGACTCCTTCAAGCTAAGGACACCCAGCAGGAATGCATAATGCATTCAAGCAGTTATGAAGCATTTGATAATTAAATACAAAGACATTCTGGAGCCACTTATATTCTCACCTTCTGCCTTCCAGGACATCCAAGATAAAGGTACACTGATCCTTTGTTGTCTGGACAGTAGATCTCTGTCTCAGGTCTTCTAGGGCTGGCTTACGGCTCTCCAGGATATGCCGATACAGTCCACCAATTACACGCATCTCATTAAGACAGCTGGGTGTGGTAAATTGATCTTCAGGCCCTCGAATCTGCTTCTCCAAGAATGCCATCACCATCTCAGCTTGGGTCTTAAAGTTCAAAGTCATGATGTTAGCATGGACAGTCGTTACCTTTATATTTCAGTACATGTTCATAATTCATATACAAGTGCATCCAAATACCTATCTGCGAATATAATTCTAATGCAGGAGTTGTGTACGTTTCAAGGCACATACATTTGGTTCCACAGATATATTGTATATAATATTATATATTACCTCGTCTTCGCCCCTAATTGCCACGTTCTTCAGCACCTGCAACAGGTAGTACATGGCACCACACTGTGTGTTGATGTCGCCGTCCATGAGTGTTTTCAGGTGGGGTATGAATTTGCTTGGCATCTTCTTGGAGAGTGGGTCCATGACCATCAGATATTGAGACTGGAACTTATCGTCTCCTTGGAACATCTCCTCAATCAGTTTTACAATGTTCTCGCCAGTGAACAACTGAAAACAATATATCTTTATCAATCACTGGCCATTCCTGAGGGCTGTATAATGTTTTAGGGACCAAGACCAGCATTTTTCATCTTATTCAATTTATTTTAGCAAGTGTCAATAACTGGCGAATGTACGTCTTTCACCCATCCGCGTATACAGTCACCTCTCTGTCTCAGGTGTAATCTCGATTGATTGTCGCTGTGTTAACATTATTACTCACATATGACTGTTTCTTGGCAATCTCGCTCAGCCAGGATAAAATCGCATTTCGTTGTGACGAGTCTATCAGCTCGAAGATAGTTTGAAAATGTGGCTCCAGAGGTTTCGGATTGTGTGGATAAAGTGTACTCAGAGGATCTAAAACATATGTTTACAAATGGTTATGTTGGCTCCACAAGGCAAACTAGAGACGCAGCAATTGACGACTGCAAACGGAAGATGAAACCTAACATAGTTTCTCTCAAGAAACAGCTACATAAAAATGACGATTTCTGTATGCCCATGTAGACATTAGGTTATACTATCAAACGTCCACAATAATGAGGATTGCTGTATGTCCATGTAGACATTAGGTTATACTATCAAGCCTCCACAATAATTACGATTTCTGTATGTCCATGTAGACATTAGGTTATGCTATCAAACCTACACAATAGCGACGATGTCTGTATGTCCATGTAGACTCTAGGTTATGCTATCAAGCCTCCACAATAATGAGGATTGCTGTATGCCCATGTAGACATTAGGTTATGCTATCAAACCTACACAATAGCGACGATTTCTGTATGTTCATGTAGACATTAGGTTATGCTATCAAACCTACACAATAGCGACGATTTCTGTATGTCCATGTAGACATTAGGTTATGCTATCAGACCTACACAATAATCAGGAGTTCTCTGTGTCCATGTAGACATTAGGTTATGCTATCAAACCTACACAATAGCGACGATTTCTGTATGTCCATGTAGACATTAGGTTATGCTATCAAACCTACACAATAGCGACGATTTCTGTATGTCCATGTAGACATTAGGTTATGCTATCAAACCTACACAATAATGAGGAGTTCTCTGTGTCCAGGTAGACGTCCATAATCTGGGGGAAGAACTCGGCCATAAGTTTCGACCCATTTGAAACCAGGAGTGTGACTTGACCCATGGCGATCCGTGAAACCTCTTCATACTCATGAGTCAACATGTTGATGACTTCTCTCACCACTGGGATAGCTCTCTGTATCTTCTCCTGGTCATCAAGCTGGGGTTAAAGCATGCAGACAGTCAGCATTGTCCCTACGTTATTGAAGGCGTTATTATACAGCCAGGAAGTCTCATTCCACAAAGCAACCTTAACGCTGCTAATGCCATAAGCATATGATAAAGTATGGGAGCTACGATACCATCACCGCCAACGTCACTTTGAAGAACGGGCCCGTGAACAGAGTGATCATTCATGAGGAACTCATGGACAAACAAGATGTAGAAAGACCATTTCGAGATCAGTGGACATGAGGGACGTCTACATATAGGCAGAGTAATTACTATCCTGATGGAAACAGTTACCATGGACCTGATGTACCTGCGTGACATGGATAACACTTCCTTTGAAGGCGTTGTAGTTTTTGTAGGTAGTAACAAACTCGTGTATGGAGGACAACGTCTTCGAAATTGAAAGAAGTTGATACATGTCTTAGCATCTATCCCGAACCATGCTATCGGTGTACCAAAACCCTTGGGTTATAGTGGTGAAGCAATGTTTCATACGGATACGATGTGTTACATCGATCATGTTAATATCACAATGGATGCCAAATAAAGCATGGCATGTCATATAATCAGACTGCAGTGAAATAAACATCAGTCTGAATATGGTAGTATAGTTTATATTTCAAGGCAATAATCAACTGTTTGTTCTATCGATAATATTTTACTTTAAAAGAATATCACTTTAAAAGAAGCTCAGATTGTTAAATATTACTAATAGCTCACAAGCTTGAGAAACGTGGTGACAACGCTGCAGTACAGGATGTAGTAGACTGTGAGTGGACGGTTCAGCTCCTCGTCTATGAAGTCTCCTTTCAGCACTATCTGTGAGAACTCGAGGATAACGTTGAACGTCTTCTCGTCTAAGCTCTTGGAATCTCTGCAATATAATCATTGCTCTGACAACACCACATGCATCATTTAGTGTTATTTTGCATATAATGTTTCATCAATGATAAACATCAACAAAAAAATTCCTATTACAGCTACTGGTATCTTTATTGCTAGTATGCATAAATGCAGACCGTGTGCTGTACATTACTGTCCAATTTCAGCTTCCCCATACACTAGTAATCGTGTTCTTAAACGACGAGGTTTCCAATCCTTTGTCATATAGATCTATGTAATGATACGGGTAAGGGGCACCAACTTTCAAGACCAGACCTGTATATGCCTGCATTGATGTCTGCGTTAGTGTCTGCGTTAATGTATGCATATATGTGCCTTTATTCTTGTTTGCATTCATGTCAATTCCTGTCTGTGTCCTTCCCGCATCTGCCCGTGGCCGTATCTGCATTTTGTCTGTGCCTCAAACTACGTTGCTATATCTGAATCTGCCTGTGTTTGTGCCTGGTGAATGTATCTGTATAAGTTATACAATGTGTCTGTGTCTGAAACAACGTTACTATATCTGAATCCGTCTGTGTCTGAAACTACGTTGCTATATCTGAATCTGCCTGTGTCTGTATCTGAAACTTCGTTGCTATATCTGAATCTGTCTGTGTTTGTGCCTGGTGAATGTGTCTCTATAGGTTATACAATGTGTCTGTGTCTGAAACTACATTGCTATGCCTGAATCTGCCTGCGCCGTGCCTGAAACTACATTGCTATGCCTGAATCTGCCTGCGCCGTGCCTGAAACTACATTGCTATGCCTGAATCTGCCTGCGCCGTGCCTGAAACTACATTGCTATGCCTGAATCTGCCTGCGCCGTGCCTGAAACTACATTGCTATGCCTGAATCTGCCTGTGTCTGTGCCTGTCTGTGTCGGGGGCACGGGTGGCCCAGTCGTCTAAGGCGCTGCGATTCGCTGTGCAGAGTTGCTTCCCTTGGGCACACCAGAAAACTATGATTGTGGGTTCGAATCCCGGTTCGCCCCGATTATGTTTCTAGGTTTGTCAGCACCATACCCGTGCTCGTGGGTTTCACCGAACTGGTAAACGTCTGAAACCTGCATCGCTTCGGGCTTTCCTCCCAAATTAAGCTGACACGCCTTGATATAACTGGAATACTGTTAAAAGCGGCGTTAAACCCAACTCAATCACTCACTGTCTGTGTCTGTATCTGAAACTACATTGCTATATCTGAATCATCCTGTGTCTGTGTCTGGTGAATGTGTCTGTATAGGTTATAAAATGTGTCTGTGTCTGTGTCTTATATCTACGCTGAACCCTCCCTCGTGTCTAGCAACAACTCACAAGGCATCCAGCACACGCTGTGCTAGGCGGGGCACAGCTCTGTCGGCATATCTCTTCCAGGGAAACTTGGCGTCGCCGATGATCAGGATTAAACGTGTAAAAGTCGGCACTATCAGGTCTTTGTGTTTCTGGAAACAAACATATATATGCACATGCACGTAAGTATGACATGACACGACAATACAGGAATGATCAGACAGGAGAAGGCGCAACAAATATCTACATGTATGACCGTTCTAACTGGATGATATCCCCGAAAGGAAGTAGTCAGGGTTTAAAGTTAAAGTTAGAACGTATTGTATACGAGACTTCGGTATCACGTATAATGCTGGACGAATGGTCAACGATACCGTCAACACATAATTACAATTACGAGTAGGACAGTACTTTTACCACGTTTTGATAGACCTGTGTTATAAGAGACCTGCTGTTTAGACGTGAATGAGTAGATGAGTTGGGTTTAACTCTTCAGAACAGTGTTAGAGAAATATCACGGTGTACCAGGTTAATCTGGAAGGAAAGTTGTGAAAACAGCAATGACGTGGCACCTGAGACCATTGAGCCACAGAAGTCTTACGAAGATGTAAACGATGAATAGAAGCATTTTGACCATATGTTCCCATTTTTTTAAGGTAAACAATTGACTTGCTTTTGCATGTGTTTGTCATGGGTGCCACCGGTTATGCAGGATACGCTCACCTCTTCGCGAACACCTAATGATCACTGTTTTGACAGCGATTCATAAACACATGCCCATGATATAGTAGGAATCGTTAATTGACGTCTTGTGAGTATGGGTTTTGGGGTTTGCCGCTTTTATTTGCAGAACATATGCCTCATGATATCAATCACTGGTTTGTCTGGTCCAGACTCGATTATTTACAGACCGCCGTCATATTGAATAGCTGAAATATTGCTGAGTGCGGCGTTAAACAACAAACAAAACAGAACATATACCCTGTGTTCATCTTTCTTAAGTTTGTCATGTCAATGAAAGAGATCTTAAAGAGACACTCAAGAAGCATCACATTTTACCTTTCCACTGAGTTCCACCTCGTCCGCTATTATTTTTGCTGTCTCGAATAAGTTTGGCTCCCGCTTCTCCAAAATTTTCAAGGTAAATTCAACCATTTTTTCAACCATTTTCGGAACAACACGATCCCGCCTAGAAGAGATTGAATATTTATATTTTACTTGTTGTAAGTGTTATCACAATGTACTTTGCGTGTGGGGTACACTCACTGATGAGGAAATCAATGAAACCCATCATATTTCAGTAATATTATTGCGGGTTAGTTCAATAATAAACAAACGTTCACGACTCGGTGCTGACAGATCAAGGAACATGATAAGGGTAACTCTGGTACCGAATTTACGGCAAGCAGATCTAGCAGAGATCCCAGATTTACAAATGGAATTGCAGGGTCTTAGACCTTGATCCTGCTAGTCAGTCGAAAACTCAATGATCACACAAAAGAGCGAGGTTGGCCATTAAAATGAACACTATAGGTTTATCGTGCATTTGTACTTATTGGCTGACTGACTGACTGCAATCGACGGGATGAATTGATTTAGACTTACTGCATCTGACGGGATGAGTGATATAGACTTACGTGATCTGTTTAGAAAGGTAGGCAGTACATTCTTTGTAGTATCCGCCAAATTCTGTTTTCCGTTTATCATCCCCGTACAGTTCGACTTTTGTCAAGAGGTCCAAAATTTCACAAGCATCCTCCACGTGTTCCTGAACAACAGGACATGAGGTCAAACATACAGATTATTGGATGAGTTCCCGTGGCATACAGTCATAAACTGGCTCCTTCCTCCACTCGATGAAGAGGCAAGAGGTAACCCTGACACGTCGCTAAAACAATGGCGAAGTCGGGGTTATCCGTTACAGTTCCATGTCTCCAGGGGATTGTACTGACTCTCCGTCTATAGTCATGGACATACATGTGGATTTCGAATGTATGTGTGTATCGAGTGTCCAGGCAAAGATGTCGTCGCTGGTTCTTCAACATGTTTCATGAGAAATAATTAACATTGCTCGCATCTATACTCACAAATTAATGTTACCCGTGAAGACCCGGGGTAGAATAGGTCTTCAGCAACCCATGCTTGCCGTAAGAGGCGACTATGCTTGTCGTAAGAGGCGACTAACGGGATCGGGTGATCAGGCTCGCTGAGTTTGTTGATGCATGTCATCGATTCCAATTGTGTGGATCGATGCTCATGATGTGAATTACTGGATTGTCTGGTCCAGACTCGATTATTTATAGACCGCCGTCATATAGCTTGAATATTGCTGAGTGCGGCGGTAAACAACAAACAAATAAACAAACTCAAATTACATAATTTCGAAAACATCTACACAGGTCATACACATACTGGAACATATACGTTCATTGAACGGTACACAACAATGCCTTGAGGCGTGGCCACTGTCAAAACTCACCTTCCATTTCAAGTTCTTCTCTGCTTCCCGTATGATCTTGTAGGCTGCATTTGCTGTTGCTGGTTGGTGGATTTTTAGACACGCCTTCACCAGGTCAATCATTAACTGAACATGTTCTGGAGTTCTGGAGTACAATCAGTCAAAATAGTGATCTTGTGTAGTGTAGAATGCTGCACACTATATGAGCACACGTGTTTACTGTGCTTCAATTATGTCTATATCAATAATATCGCAAGGAGCTCATCAAAAATTATACAAAGTAATTTCTCAATAAACTGCTTTTCTGGCTTTGGTTGGCGAGACGGCTTGCCTGTAACATCCTCTCTGTTCTGGAGGCCGCCTGGCTCTGCTGCTTTCTCAGGATTATCATTTTATTTTCTTATATTATAATCTGCCTCGTCTGTGCTTTGTTCTGATATAAATATTATAAATGTGCACCACTGCGTAGATTTCATTGCATCTGATTCACAGTGGCAGTTCAGTTAATAATTAGGAACACTTATTTTTGGTCACAGTGAACTACGTTTCTAACGAACGTGCTCATAACGAACTGACGGATATAACGGACTTATTTTTTGGTGCCGTTCAATTGCTGTATGTATGCTGTTTATATGCTTATAACGAACTACGGTTATAACGAACTGGTGTAATTCCTTAAGATGACTGTCTTGGGGTTCCAGCAATTCAACTCTTGATTGAGTGGGGGATATAACGGACTTATTTTTTGGTGCCGTTCAATTGCTGTATGTATGCTGTTTATATGCTTATAACGAACTACGGTTATAACGAACTGGTGTAATTCCTTAAGATGACTGTCTTGGGGTTCCAGCGATTCAACTATTGATTGAGTGGGGGGATGTTCTTCAGACCAGACATACCAATGCTATATGGGCAAAGTACCACGCCACCAGGGTACAGTGACACCTCAACCAAGACGCCGAGCCTCACCACCCGATCACCCCTGAACATATAGATTACTTGGGACCAATATTACCCGAAATAACCACGGGTTTCAAATTTGAAATCACCACGTTGCAAAAGTATTTTCGGTTTAATGTCTATGCCCATCCTTTGCTGGCCTGACCTTCTGAGCCTAGACTAACACAGCGAGTCATATCGAAATACAAATCATTGTTTCCTAGACCTACTTATCCATGGACTTGACCAACACTTCCGTCACAGCGGCATCCACGAACTTGACCCTCATCAGGGTGTGGTCCTCCAGGTTGGTCAGAAAGTCAATCATCTTCCTCGTCATCACAGTGAACAGCTCAGAGTTGCCCTAGAAATATGCATGTATGAATGGTAAGTTGCCCTAAAAATATGCATGAATGAATGATAAGTTGCCCTAGAAATATGCATGTACGAATGATGCGTTGCCCTGGACATATTCGTGTGAATGATCAGTTGGACTAGAAATATGCTTCGATGAAAGATCAGTTGCCCTAGAAATATGCGTATATGAATGACCAGGTGCCCTAGAAATGCATGTATGAATGATCAATTGCCCTAGACATACTAGTATTCATGTGTGAATGAACAGTTGAACTAGAAATATGCATGTATGAATGATCATTCTTATTATTGTCCATATGATCACACAGATCATAGAAAGATGACTAACAGGTGTTGTATTTCTAAATTGAAGTTGTAATTAATGAACTAGGTGCCCGGAAGTAAATACTTAAAGACAGTATATTTACGCAATGGCCTGCATATTTACTAATGAAGGTATGTTTCAAACAGGGCCAACTACACTGCCCAGTACACATCCAACTACACTGTCTCAGATTGAAGAAATTTATCTGGACCGTGAAACTTATGAAGGCGGGTGTAGACAAAGAATAACATTCGCGGCGAATTCAATCCAACGATCAGCAGATCCCGGTACACAATGGGACGCAACTCTGCACAACGGTTGACGGTTTATTTAATCACTGGTCCAAGAGTGACCATTTTCAATTGAAGGATACAACCACTGTTGATTACCTTGATGTTGTCTTCTTTGTCCTTGATATGGTAGTAGAAGTACCCGACGACCTCCACAATGGAGTGGATAGGTGTCTCTGCCAACATTGTACAGATAGTAGCCACGAAGTCTAAGATCTCCACGTACACCTTGTGGAACAGGACAGCCTTGCTGGAAGAGGGAGCAGATGCCATAGACTCAGTCAAGATCTTAATACATTGTGGGAAGTATGTTAGTCAAAAGTGAACGGTATAGGAGATCTGTTCGAGTGGGTTCAGCGCGGCATAGAACATTATTTTCCGTAAACCCACGGCATATGCGTCAGCTTGAGGAATGTCTCAAATACCGTTGACTGGTTTGGTGCTGTCAGACCAAAGTCCATAATCGGGATTTGAACATTTTAACCCACGTTCATCGGATCCTTTAAAGCTTTTGTCCACCGTGCAACCATTAATAATATTCATAATAAATAGATACATCCGAAATAATGACTAATACGACCGTCGTGTGAGTAGTGATCAACCCTCCAACCCAGTCTGTGGTGAATCCAGAATAATTACCAGCTTGTGTCATCAGCAATTTCATTTAGTTTAATTAAATCAATTTAATTTTAATTCCAAATTAGTTTATATTATTGCAGTCGGAACTTACTCGACAGCTGTGAGCAGCATCCTCACATCTTCACTCAGCTTCTTCACGACGGCCTCCCAGTCATCGGCCCCCAGATGCGTTTGACAGATGATGTCTCCAAGACGCTTCAGGAAGTGCTTAAACATCTCGGGGTCCTCCAAACCCTTTAGTAACAGATACAGACAAATTGAGCCCGATTATGATCCTTGGTTCGTCAACATCAAAGCCAGGCTCATCACATTTGTAAACTTGTCCCTGTGGTCGCATTCCATAGTTTTTAGGGCACACGCTGTGATTAACGTACAAATCTGTTTAGAGTGACGTTAAACCAAACTCACACACACCTTAAGAACATGTTACATAGTTCCGACTGAAAGTGTGAGTGAGTGAGTGAGCGGAGGACACCAGAAATGGGCTTCACGCATTGTACCCATGTCAGGATTCAAAACCCGGGTCTTCGGCGTGACGAGCGAACGCTTTAACCTCTAGGCTACCCGACCGCCCCTCGACTGAAAGGATTAATATGAACATGCAGTCGGGGCCGAGGGTAACGTAAGGATTACCAATCATTCAAGATGAACAAAAATTGACTAGATTAAATGTGTCCTTTTCTTTTCCGCGAAGATCATTATTTAGAACTCTGATACATGTTACAGGGCTGTTGTTGCATGTCTTTAATTGTAACGTGGCTCCACAGAGTGAACTGTAAAGACTGTTTGTACGTCATGGCATTCTGAGATATTCACCAGAAATACGTTCCTCTTGTAATGGCGATAGATCAGCAATGCAATTCGATAGTGTACATCCTTCACTTCAGTCGGCCGATTGAGAAACATCAGATCAGTGTAAAGATAGAGTTCTATAAACTCCGATCGGGCCTCAGTGAACGCCTCCGGTCTGAAAAAGACACAATGTAATCATTCATCATGGAATATCTCCAAACCATGCCCTCTTAAAGATGATCGTATGTCAAGGAAATATATGTTTCAAACTGTATTTATACATTCTACCGTCAAAGCCAAAGCGAAAGTAAGAATACCTCTTGTTCCCGGTACATGATGATACATATCCTCATGGTAACATTGTCTCCCTGTTAGTGATGTATTGCCTTATGTATTATACCATATTTGGCGCCATTTAATCGTTTAGTGGTCTATGTATGATTCTGTCATAACAGTCTTGACTAGCGTCTGAGTAAGCCTTCCTGCTGATACAACTACCCTGAATCTGTCTGTCACAGTGTCTGTGGCGTGAGACTATATATCACTTTACCTCAAAGCATCCCCATCAAGAAGGACCCTCATCCCAGGGTCGAGTGTTGTCTTGAACCTGCTTCTGTCCGGCTCCGGCTCCTCACTCCTGTATTCCCTCTTCAGGAAGCTGATGTGATTCTTCAGTTTGTCCCCAGTAAGGTTCTGAAGCAGATAGATTGAGAGTTTCAAAGAGAGGCCCGAGCAGCTGTGACTTTAACTCATATTTATGTTTCAGTTGTGGTCATTCGCTTACTTTTATATCTCAGCCCTGCACTATAATAACTTTTCGCTGCACTGAATGTTGTATCCGAAAATTGAATTAAGAAGGAAAGGCAGTGTGTACAATACAACATACGCCTACAGTGCACAGTCTGGCATTTACATTTAAGGTCGTACGCTCATCACAAGTGTGGTCGCATTCAGGTCTTCATAGAGGATAGATTAAACAGAAACGAATTTATTTCACTGCCCAGTTTTTCATTTACCTCAAATGGAAAACAAACGAAAATTGGGATACTAAGAACTGCTTTGTTGCCATATTGCCAACAATGTTTCGGCTCTGTGCATCACGGGGATCTAATGTCAATGTTGATATACCCTCCGCGACACCGGTTCCCTATGAGGAGCTTGAGTTGCAGAATGTCTGTTGTCACGACGGCGGAGTATGTTTCTCCCTGTTGTTGGTTGGTTGGTTGGTTTGTTGTTTAACGCCGCACTCAGTAATATTCCAACTATATGACGGCGGTCTGTAAATAATCGAGTCTGAACCAGACAATTCAGTGATTAATATCATGAACATCGATCCACGCAATTGGGATTGATGACATGCATCAACCAAGTCAGCGAGCCTGACCACCCGATCCCGTTAGTCGCCTCTTACAAGTATAGTCGCCTTTTACAGCAAGAATTGGTTGCTGAAGATATATTCTACCCCGGAATCTTCACGGGTCTTCTCCTTGTTGTACGTGGTTATACTGGGATGCATCAAAACATCACTACGATTCACGTTTTTCACCTGTAAGGTGCGTTGATGTGAAATGGGGATTAACGTCGTGTCCAAGAATTTTACATATAACGTAAAATAAAGTAGAAAATGTAAATGTGTTAATAGGTAGTGAAAATACGATGACATTACATACGCATATAATAATGGGCCCACAACTAAACAAAACAGACATTAGGCAAATAGACACCGTACTTGGTAGTACTCCTTGAAACCGAAGTATTTGTCGCGAAGCATCTTCATCCACAGCTGCATGTGTGTCGTCCCCGGCCCCTGCTGGATCAGGTCGTGGAGGAAGTCGAAGCAGAAGTCGTGGATGCGGGACAAGGATGACATCTTTCCTTTTTCCATTAAATCCCTGAGGAAAGATACTTTCGTGTGGAAACGTAGGACATATATATGCATGTGTTGATATGATAAAATACATAGAATTCTAGGAAAACATTCACGTTCAGATAGTGACACATCGATTACGTGAATCATGAATAAATAAATGGAGAATCCGACATGGGTGGATGTGGAATGACTTTTAGGTTAACCTATCTTATGGCATTGGTGTGCTGCGCCTTCAAAAGTCAGCACCACAATTTCTCTTGAGGACCATCTCTGCCGTAGGTCACATGTCACAAAGACAAACAACCAGTGTTTGTAAGAATCCGTCTGACTCTAACTCACGCTAATCGGGTAAGATAGTCCACGTGGACAACGTTAAGTGCAATTGTACCTAGCAATGCCTGAAGTGAACGGAAATGGACAAAGTGGTTACGGACACTTACGAATGTTACGCGTAGCCATGGTGTCTCGTAACGTCTGTCTACGGATGCCGTTTTGGTAGACTTAACATTTTGTCTATGAAATCTTATATTACATAAGTGCATGTAGTTGCAGTCATCGAGGCTTCGGCAAGCATGCTTGGGAATTGCATGAGAAGTAGGTGTACCCCTTAAACTCCCCACACAGCTAGTATCCACACTTGTCATAATAAACATGATTGATTGTAAAGGAGTGAGTGAGTGAGTACGGTTTTACGCCGCTTTCAGCAATATTCCAGCAATATCACGGCGGGGGACACCAGAAATGAGCTTCACACATTGTACCCATGTCGGGAATCGAACCCGGGTCTTCGGCGTGACGAGCGAAGATTGTAAAGGATGTAGATTGCGTTCGGCCCGACGATGCTTGGATGTGAGCCTAAGCTGCATTCTCTTTCAAAATAATGAAAACTACAGGAAAGAAAAAAAATAATATGTAAACTAGTGTCCAAAAGAAACGATACCAACTTATTTTCAAAATTGTTGTTTACTAAGTGAATATTCAAGTATGAAAACATGCCAATTCGTATTGCACATCCCAAACACAGCATAGTCGATACAAAATACCGGGAACACGTGATCACTTCCGGGAAAAAACGTAAAATTCGTGAAAGTGACATTTCCCTCTCTAGCGTGTTCTGCACGTGCAGAAAAACTGTATAAAACGGCTGATCAGACACGTTGATATCACAGCAACAAAAAGAACACAAGATATGCCACGTTTGACAGCCATCGAGAGAGAGAGAGCCGTTGGAATGGTCCAACAAGGAGCGTCACACGTCGACGTCGCCAGAAGGTTGGGCTGCGCACGCATCACTATCACCAGGTTGATGCAGCGGTTACGTCAGACAGGTCAGACGTCAGACAGGCCCAGGAGTGGAAGACCACGAGTAACCACGCCCCGTGAAGATCGTTACATCCGGGTATTACACCTGAGGAACCGCACCGTAACAGCGACGTCCACGGCGGCTACAGCACTGGGACACAGGATCAGTCGACAGACCGTCTACAGGAGACAACGGCAGTATGGTATCCGGCCACGTCATCCCTACCGCGGACCGCTCCTGACGCCTCGACACCGGAACAACAGACTGATCTGGGCCAGGCGAGTTCGACGTTGGCAACTGCGGGACTGGGTACGTGTTATGTTCTCTGAGGAGAGCAGATTCCTCATCTTCAGAAACGATGGACGGCAGCTTGTATACCGACGATTTGGTGAACGTTTGGCGCCTAACTGTATTCAACAGGTCCGGCCGTTTGGAGGTGGAGGGTTAATGGTTTGGGGTGGCATATGTGGTGACGTCAAAACGATGCTTGTCGTAATTCGTGGAAACCTGAATGCACAGCGTTATCTTGATGACATCCTACGGCCTGTTGTGGTGGCATTTATTCTGCAACAGCCTCGTGGACTCCTTTTCCAACATGACAATGCAAGGCCACACACAGCAAGATTGACACAGAACTTCCTTGCCAACGCCAACGTACAGGTTTTGCCATGGCCCGCATGTTCACCGGACATTTTTCGACCCCACCCATCTTTCAAGGCTTGTCATATTGGTTGTACAGATTTTATTGAAATGAAATTTTTGTACAGATGTTGTGAAAGGATTTCTCAAAAGCATAACACCAATCCTAAACTTCTGCATTGTTTAGTTTTTCTTTTATGTCGTTGCAAACAGGTGGTATCGTTTCTTTTGGACACTTTTGGCAGGTGCTATAAAATGCGTCGCCGCGGGCTATATTTAATAAATAAAAATTGAAACTTCTCAACATCTCTGGCCGTATTCTCCAGTGTATCTCGCAACATTTCACAAATTACGTCATGGGGTAACGCCTTTGTAAACTTTGTGGTGAAAAATTCTAAAGGTAGACCGTGTGTTTTACATCATAATACTTACTTGGACATGTTCATGAGTTTCTCCAGGATGTCTTTTGCGACGGAGCACTGGTCTGTGCTCTCCCCGGGGAAGTCCGGACGACACACCCCCTTCCTCAGCAACCTGAACGCCGCGAGCACATCCTCCTCGTTCACCACCGCCTCGAACTTGTCGGAGTTTTGTTTCAGCTCGTTGGCAAATTCCTTTCGTGCATCTTGACCGACTGTCATCAGGTCGTATCTTCCTACTAAGACCTCCATGGCTTCTGCAGATGAAGATGTTGCAATGCCAAGGTGCATTATGTACTATTTATAAATTAAAACATTAAACGTGCATGTTTGGGCTTGCATTTTCTGTTGTCTACGGCCTCTTCCACGTTTGCATATTCTGATCACGACATATTTCAACTTATTTTCGAGTATGTTGCTTTATGTACATATAGTGGAATTTTGGGGAAGATAGTACACTGAATTTGTTTGTAAGACTATCGTTTCATACTGAGGATTCTTGCTTTCCAATGCGTTGTACACTAGTTTCATACTCTCGAGTTACTTCTACGTAGCATGACTTTTGCTCCTACATCCAAGACGTTTTTTCAGGAAGAAGCAAAACGTATTTGCATTGCAGTTTACATTAACATCAGATCGGAGGTAAAAACCCAGTTCTCTCCTAATAGTGATTCGTACAAATTGCAATTATCTTTTTATCTACTATAGTGTCAATTATTGATAGATATTAAGTGGACATGGCCCGTTTTTAAACGGCGTTCTGCTTCAAATGTGTGCATGGTTTCACTCCACACGACGCTATGCAGAGTTGTGCCCCCAACCAGTGCCAGGATCCGCGACTCTTCTTGTACGTATCCTACATTGAACATAGCTATATTCTTTGGACTGTCAAACATTAACCTGACACAGTGTATAGCTAATATATTATTAAAGCAGCTTTAACCTCTACACACTCACTCATTTAACAATACTAGAATATGGTTAGAATTTAAGTAATGTACCTCGATCTTTAAGGTATATTCAAGAGAACGAAATGCCCGTATTAAATGCATATGGTCAGTATATCATTCATTGTTCCCGTTAATCTCAGTTACCTGACTTACATGAAAAGCAATATGCATTTCTAAGACTGACATCTAACTGCAATAAAATAATTAAGTATTGTATTTGTATTTTGTAATTTGTATTTATGATTATATTTAATGCGTATCCTACTACACCGTGCAAAATTCCATTATATTGTTATTGTCCGTAATAGATTAAATCGATTGAGGAAATAGTTTCTCTATGTATAACGCCGGCTTGTGTATAAGTGCCGCACGAACAGTGACATACCAACCATACACGTGGAGTTACCATGTGTGCTTCACACCACGAAGCCAGATACGTGTGGCACGCCCCGTCCAAGAGTAGCCAAGCCTATCTGGGGTGAAGTGTGATCCAGTGTTGACACTGAAGAGATTAAGCAGGCACAATCCAATTTTTCATAGCCAATACAAATTTTGTCAAACATTTTGGTATTATTATATTTTATACAACTGAAAAAAGATTAAGGACCACTCGATTCTTTCATATTACTATGATTGATATATCATGCCATGACAGATTAACTATAGTACTATGATTGATATATCATGCCATGACAGATTAACTATAGTACTATGATTGATATATCATGCCATGACAGATTAACTATAGTACTATGATTGATATATCATGCCATGACAGATTAACTATAGTACTATGATTGATATATCATGCCATGACAGATTAACTATAGTACTATGATTGATATATCATGCCATGACAGATTAACTATAGTACTATGATTGACATATCATGCCATGACAGATTAACTATAGTACTATGATTGATATATCATGCCATGACAGATTAACTATAGTACTATGAAAGAATCGGGTGGTGGTATATGTTTACGTCATGATCATGTAATGATTATTGTATTCCTATAGCGACGTGCATGCACGTGTGTGTGGCTGGACTGATGCCGTTTTATACTGCTAGCCCACTGAGATACCATTACCAGTTTAACATAAATGCCTCACTCAGACCCAATAAAGTGACTCCGAGCCGTTAAGTCCTTGTTTTAGCCCCTTAATGCCGAACGCCTGGCAGGGTAACAATAGGTACCATCATTTAACATCTTTTGGGGGCCGGGGATCGAACCCCGGACCTTACGCTCTCCGGGAGGACGCTCTACTATTAGTCCACGGAGGCGGTCCTTTTTACCAAAAGAGAAATGGAAGTTCAGAGTATATGAAAATGACGAGGGGATGACGCTTATCCTTCAACGACGTGTGAACACCAGATTACTGCCAGATAAGAACATTGTAGTCATCATTTAATCGTTCAATGATCTGTGAATGGTTCATTCATAACAGTCATGACTTGCATAATGTTCATCAGAGAACTGACGTTTTGCTCTGATTAGTATCAGAAACCTACCATGTCACCAGCTGAACTAGTCATATTTACCTTTATTTGCCTTTACCGTCGTTTCGCAGCAGTGGCCAGTGGGAGACCACTCATGTCAATTCCACAATCAGTATATCCGATATTCAGAAACCACAGGCATGTCGACCTTGACAGTAGACTGTGTAGCTTAAATCGATCACGTTCCCACTAAACGTCTTTGAGCGACAGTTGTGTATACCTCTACCCGCGTGCCACCAACTTCGCGCTTTGGGCGGCCATACTGGCTATGGCACACGACATACACACGCGGTAACTGTCAACGCTATTGACCCACTTTCAAAGGTCCATTCAACAATGTTTACTCCCATGGCAACGCATAAACATCTCCCCGTATTCTGTCTCATTAATGCCGTGCTTCGTTACTGGAGCATACCTTTGCTGAGTGTACACACAAACCCCGCGTACAGTGAAACCTCCTTAAACCGGACGTAGTGAGTCCGGATAAACAAGCTGGTTGAAGAAGCATTCTCATTTGTAAATGCTTAGACGTTCCTGACAAATCGTTCGACAAACTGGGCTCCACTGTATGCATTTAGTGTATTGTTTCGCCTCTAAACACGTTCACGACAAGTCCTTTTCAATAACTGATTTGTATACAAGGATCGAACTCAGTTATTCTCCATGTAACATCGCATGTCTGGTCCGTGTTGGAGAACTTTCCTTTACTTATTATGTATGCTCTCACTGCGGAAGGCAATAAACGGCGCCAGGCACAGGTTCTTACATTGGACCCCGTCTTGATATGATGCCAAAATCAAACAATACTTCTCTAAAACAGATAATGATATGTCTTTAGTGACGCAACCATTTTGTTAGTTAATAAAACATTCACTTACATGCACATTCGTTTACCTGTCTGTAGCACTTAACATGTTACAATTTATTCCCGTCTATATTGGCATTAATATTGTTCATTACCGTGTTGTGCTTTTCTTAATTGCTATATTCTTAAAGCTTACATTCCGCCTTGTAACTACGTATTCTCAAACAATACATTAAATTACATAACATATCAGGATCCGTTTTTCGCAGGTTCGCCTCCAAGAATCGTCCCGATTATGAACCTTCGTCTATTAGGACCATACTCCTGAGCATTAGTTTCACACAAAGTGAGACGCGACTTCTTGGGGTTCAGTGTTTTGGTGCGTTTCACCAAAGTGTCATTACGGGAAGCTGCCGTTGTGTAGCTGTGATAAACTGTAACAATGTTCAAAGTGGCGTCTCACTCACACAAGATTTGTAAGACACCAATGTTTCATTTCATACGCTCGACTTAAGACTGACTCCATGAGCCTCAAGGAAGTGTAAATCAGCTTTTGACACGAAATGATTCCCAAAGTGATTCAACCGTTGGAAGCTCCGCCTTGTGTTCCAAGCTACACTATTGCTTCATATGCAATAAACACTGGCCAAGTTTCAATGACAAAATGTGATAACACACAAAATCGCCAAAGGCGTATAACCAGCTGTAGCAGTTACAGGGGAACATATCCTTGTAATAGTTCAACTAAGTTTTGTTCAATTGGCAGGTTCCTATTTCTCATTAAATGTGATTTGTAAGTGACGATATTATTTTCAATGTTGAAAGTCCATGCATGTCAACCATCAAGTGGGGATGACTGAATAAAGCTCAAAGGTCCCATCACCTTGTTAATACGCCGTTTTTTATATGTGGGACTGAGAAGAAAATGGTACAATCAATAACGGCACGCATGGAAAGTATCAATTAACCCGAATAAATGCACAGCACACGATATTCAATCGCTTTGCGAATACTATATGTTCGAAATGTTGAACTGAGAAATAATGGTTTTCCCTATTCTTGCTGTACTAAAATTAAGTAATCACACCAAAATAAACATATCTCACCAGACTGGAATATTGCATTTTATATTAAACATCATGTTTCTGAATATTTTCAATTTGAGATTGCAAATAAATACCGTATTTCCGTCCCAAGTGGAAACTGGACCTTATAAGTCAGTTAACTCCCTTGCCCTGGAAAGATGATCTCGAAGACAAATTGTAAAAACATCAGACACGTTGTCCAAAATATATTTAATCTTTAACCACAAGAAAAAAACCTCATAATTTTATTTGTTGCCGGTGTCTTATAAAAGTAGTTCTCAGCAGTAACAGGGGTATAGTCATTTCCATTTCATAAACAAAAACTAAAAAAACGTTATTGCCTCATTCATATAGCCTATCAACATGAATCATTGATATTAGGCAACACGCGAGGATTTCTCATTCTTGCAGTAAGTGAGTGAGTGGAAAAATGCATTTTTCTTGTTTACCGCCGGACTCCGCAAAATTAAACCGTAATGACGGTCAGACAAAACAGTGATTGATGTCATGAGCATCGATTAACGCAAATGGGATACGATGACAGGCATCAATCAAATCAGTCAACCTGACAGCCCGACATCGTTAGTCGCCTCTTACGACAAGTAAAACAGTAATATCTTAGATTTAAGTTGTCGTATAGTGTACATATGCAATGAAACGCAGTCATTGCAATGATTCTACTTTATTTTATTTGTCCCAGTGGTGGATCCATGTTTCATCACCTGTCACTAGACGAGAAAAATCCGGCTTCATCAGCAGTATAGAGATCCAGGAGATCTCGACAACTTTCAGTTCTCTGATGGCGATCTTGAGCTCTGAGGTTTCTAGGTACCCATCTTGCAGATACCTTGGACATACCAAGATGCTCATGGATAATAGTTACAACAGTTCCAACTGATATTTGGAATTCCCTAGAAAGTTCAGATACTTTCACTCGTCGGTCAGACAAAATTCTTCTTTTTATAGCAGCAATAATTTCCGGTTGGGTGGCATCTGAAGGACTGCCTGACCTTGGGTCATCGTCTATGGACTCCCAACCCCTTTTAAACTGTAGAGACCAACGGCAAACAGTGGAATATTCAGGAGCATCCTTCCTTACCCATCACTTTACACATGCGATCATGGATTTCTTTTGCTTTGCATCCCTCCTTAGTAAGGAACTGTATTATAGCGCGTTGTTCGTGTTTGAGAGAATCCATGATTGTGACCACTCTTAGGTGAATGAACCATCAAATCAAAGTTATTGTTGTGTCTGGAACTTGTTATGACACGTGTCAACCTGATGTTTTGACTAGTGTCACACCTGTCACAAGTTGACATTGTTTGTGTAAACACAAATGCCCAAGTTGCAAAACTTATTGAACGTCACTCGTATCACAAGAGAGACTGACTTCCTGGTCACAACTTGAATGAGGGCTAACGGGAGCCGATGGGGGATGTAGGACATCGTCGGTCATGTCTGACTTCACTCGCCACTGAATGAGGACAACAAACAATGGATAGACATATCACAAGAATAAAAACATCACAGGTCTGGTATGAACAACTTCAAAATAAACTACAAAATTATACATGAAAACAACTGGTGGGGCTCTTGTCTCCCTTGAGCAATTGTTTAATGTCCTTGAGAAGGTCGAGTAAGTTTGGGGTTCTGCAGAGGTTTATGCTGTTATGGCGGTGGTTGTCAAGGAGGTTCAATCAGAGACATCTGGCATCTGTTCAGCCACGGCCGTGGTGTTGTCTTGTGACTGAGGTGTTGTGTCCAGTGTGTCGCCGACTGCTGGAGTTTCTTCTGGATTTGGAGAAGCATTCACTTCTGTCTCTTCGTCCTCCTTACCGAAAAGTATAATATCAGGCACGTATTGATTCAATTTAATTAATAATTCATCGAACTTCTTTCCACTCCAACGATCCTGAACGGATTTATCCTTTGTAAAGTTTATGTACAAAAGTTGAGTGAAGACCATGCTCATCGGACCAGATGGCGGCCATGTCATCTTCTCCAGCAACAGAGGCACTATTGGTTTCTTGAGGGCATCAGCGAGACTGACTTCCCTCCTGCAGTTGGCAGACAGAGAATACTTCGAAGTGACACATGAGAGAACGACCTTTGCCCCTCGCATGCCCTTGTCAATTTTGTCATAGAGGGAGTCCCCACCTCCCATTTGGTAAATGTCCATCCAGACAGTGAAGCCCATCTCAGTCAGGCGCTTGTACATGAGTTGAATCTGCTTCTGTTTTCGCCACTGGTAGGAGATGAATATATCAGGAGAGGCTGCTTCCCGCTGTGAGAAAAATATATTTGTTTACAAATGTTCACACATCGGAGGTAAATGTGCTACATTAATTGTCACTTTAATTATGAGTACTTTTTTTATGTCAACATGTTTCTGGTGCAGTTAACCTACCTCCACCTCCCGCTGCTTCTTCTGACTGGAGGTCGTCATCGCCTTCACGTCCTTCTTTTCTATCTTGATGACTTCAGCCACAGGACACCACCAGTGCTTGTATTCTATGTACAGGAAGGTAAACTTGGACTCAATAAACATTCACTTCCCATGTAATATCTTTCCAGTTGCATACCTGTAAAACTCTTAAGTCATGACCACTGTTTTCATTTTAATCCATTCATGTGATCCGGATACTACTCCAAACAGGTTAAAGAACAGCCACAGTTGGAAGGCTGTGTGTTGGGATCCCCACAAGCCATGAACTTTAGTTCTTTTGAGCGATATATATCAATTTCATTCCTTTATGTTATTCTTCCACATTTCTGAACCAAACGTCCCAAAACAAAAACCCAATAATATTAACATGTTAACCTATTGTTTTGGCGGGAAGGATTACTTTTACTCAACAGATGGCCGGTTCATATCATTCACCCTGCAGCAGCATTAAACGTTCAACACACACAGTTCACCCTGTCACCTTGCACCATACCACAATCGACACCAAAGCAGAACACACTTACCTTTTCCCACCTTCTTTTCATCCCGCTTGACGTTGATGCAGTTGACCTGCATCAGGAGTTCCTGGAACTTGGCTGCTGACCAGTACCTGACGTCACCAGTCTCCTCCCCAGGCCGGGTGAAGAATCGGATGAACAGATACTCACTGAAGATTGGCCCCATTGAGCCTGGTGGTGGCCATGACAGTTTCTCCATCAACAGAGGGATGATGGGCTTACCCAGGCTTACCGAGAGGTTCACCTGAATCCATATTGATAACATATATTCACAAATGTATTGAAATTGAGACAGTCAAACAAAAGTGCAATCATGGTTCACAATGTTGATAATCAATAACAATTCATTGGTTTCGAACTACAACAGGGCATGTCGATATCAAGAAGCTGTGCCACTGCATATAGTGAGGAAATATCACGATACAGAACGTGTTTATCATTTCTGATTGGTAGGAACTTGTACTTATATAAGTAGTTTTTGTGTTATCGTTGACATTATACTTTAAATAGAAATATTTGAAACACGTTGGGAGGTGTCTTTCTATGACGAGAAACATAAGAAGTCAAAACTGACACCACTTTCCATGCCCATATACTTAAATCTGCCACTGCGATTATACAAAGATGAATGATGTCACAGAAAATGATTATGTGTTATCTTATTTTCGACTTGTGCAACCACATCCTTGCCTCTCTAATGCCATTGGGAGACTTTGTGTATTTCTCAGTGACACAACAGATGATGATCTTGGCTGCCCTGATTCCCTTGTCAATCTTCTCGAACAGCTTGTCTCCGCCTCCCATCTGACCAATGTCCATCCAGCACATGAAGCCCGCCTTCTCCAGGTGCAGCTTCAGAAGCTTCACCTCGTTCTGGATTCCCCACTGGTAGCTGATAAACACCTCTGGAGGTTCCTGGTACTCAAACTCTTCGTCTTTAACTACAGCTTCTGGAGAGAGAAGTTTTTATCAGGTAATAATTATCATCATAAAAGACAAATCTTAATAGGGGAGGGGGGAGGTCAGTGTTAACTGCTTTTTTAACAGATACTTGTTCCTCTAGGGCTACATGTGCCACTATTTGCTGTGCAGAGTTGCATCCCAAAGACGTACATATATCCTGTTATCGTGGGTTCGTAATTGTAGTGCTTATGAATCTTGGAAGTCAGCACCATACCATCATAAGGGCGGTAAGTATCTAACAACTACATCACTTTCATCTTATAAAAGATAAAGTAGATTAGCCTTAATCAACTTCAACAGACCACATACCTGTCATTTTCATTGCATTCTCCACGATCACAGCAGCATCCATTCTGTCTATCTCTTGCAGTGCTGTCAGGACAGCATATGTGGCTTCCCTCGTCTTCCGAGTGGCGTACCATTCATTAAGCATGGCCATACATGGGTCGTGCATCTGAGCCCAGCTCCTGATGTCATCATTGGTGTAGCCAAGGCGACTTGAAAGATGTGTCCAATCCAGAAAGCTTTCAGGATTGAGTAGTCTGGTCACGTCTCTTGACCAGAAAGGAGCATGACTCAATGTCTAGGTATGGTTGGAGAAGGGGTATGTGTTAAAAGTTACAAATAAAGAGCTTCGTGAATCTGTTACATCAGGGGTCATGTCTTCATTTAGATAATAATAATAATAATAATAATAATAATAATAATAATAATGAACCAATTTCTATTAGAAGAGGAATATTTCAGGGCAATTCTTTTAGTCCTTTGCTTTTCTGTTTGTCATTAAACCCTTTAAGCTTTTTGCTTAGTAAAGAGGAAGGTTACCACCTTTGATCTCTTTTGCCCAGATCCCATACACCCCTTTCTTACCTCCCTTGCATGGATGACCTTGAACCTGTTGCTTTTCTAATGAAATCGACCTTTGGACTAGACAAAAAGCAAAATCACACATGACAGTTTCAAGTGGGAAGTAAGTGGGAAGCGTTCTGTTCCACTCTCTGGGTCAGGTGATGTCAGGCCAGGTCTGCCGGGTTGCTGCACTTCTCAACATACTGCACGTAAACTCGATGCAATGGTCGTTCAAATAGCCTCTCCGGATCTGATGTGGCACTTAGTTTGGTTGACACTCATTTCTGTACAGAACCATCAACATTGACATTGAGATTATGTCACACATCCAGGGCTCGTTTCAGAAAACTGTGGAATGCCTCGTTTCCATTAGGAGTCTTTACATGCTTACCAAGAGCAACATCAGATAAATATATGTGTGCAAAAGTGCACAATACAATTCTGTCATGAAGACCCTCCACGTTATTCAAACCACGCCCTCCCATTATAATTGGTAAATACAGAGTGGTCGGGTAGCCTAGTTGTTAAAGCGTTAAAGACCCGGGTTCGATTCCCGACATGGGTACAATGTGTGAAGCCCATTTCTGGTGTCCCCTGCTGGAATATTGCTAAAAGCGGCGTAAAACCATACTCACTCACTCACTGGCAAATAAAAGCGATTGAGGGAAAAGCGAAGTCGGTGGGATCTATGTTCTGACATGATTCTTTGTGTGAGGGTGTCAGTACCCTGAATTTCTTGTTTCGTCCAATCAACAACACCAAAGGACTGGTGCAGCATAAGTTTTTGTGGTTTTAACTTTATTGTGAACGTTCAGCTCTAAACTCCAGAAGTTTGGCTTTGACATGGACATTTTTTTATTTCCTGCATTTCTTCCTCCCTAAACACGCTTTGGCCTGACCTTACAAGAGATGGTAAATAACTCCTCCCCCAAGTAAATGACTGATCCTCGCTCTTATATCTTGCCACGTTTCAGTTCAAGAATGTTGGATTTGTCGAGCCCAAAGGACATGCCAATATCATCAGAAAAGGACTCAACAATGAGAATCTGTGTGGATTCTACTTTGGCAATAAGTTCAAGGTCATCCATGTTAAGGAGTGGCGGGTCTGTGCTGAGGATTTCCAGGATGATAACCTTCAATACATTCCAGTGATATCAGAATCCATTTGTGAGGTACAGAATTATAAGCTTTTCTGTAGTCAATCTAACACACCGAGAGGTTACACTGGTACGTCTTAAGCTCTTCAAGGATAATTTTTTGAACCAACAGTTGATCCTTGCAACCCTAAATATTATTATTCGTTTCCCCCGCATGGGGAAAAATGATGGCTTGACATGGTACAACCAACATGACAGACCTTTTCATCGAGTTCCTCCACTTTAGCCTTGGTGTCATCCACCGTCTCCTCCAGTTGACCCATCTTCTCCACCTGTTCTTTTACATTATGATTGACCTCGTCCAGTGTCGCCTTCTGTTGCCCCAGTTCCTGGTTGACCTGCACCAGACCCTCCTCAGTCTTCGTCACTCGTACGTCCAGTTTTTCCACATCTTCCTTCACCTCCATGATCTCAAGTGCCAGGTTTTGACTGAGGGAATTTGATAATCCGTCACAGTACTAAGATCTCAGTCTGAATTTTCTACGACAGTAATTATATCATCTACCATAATTCAAAGTGCAATAGATAACGACTGGATATTCTCAGGGATAATATTTGGAAAAGACAATTTGGATATACTGTTATAGTTTTCAATAAATAACAGTGGCAAAACCTATCCAATAATTATAAGAAATCTCTGCTAAAGGCGGAGTCCATGGTAAAATTCCGTCTCTATCATAATCATTTGCTATGCTTTCCAAAACAGAACGTGCACATCCTGGATCAGTGCTAGAGCATGATAAAATGGGGATATTTCTACCCTGGAACTTTCAGGGCCAGGTCAGCACATAAGAGAAGGTATATATAAGGAAGATCAGCTTGAAGATATAGAATGTCATGCAAATGAATCGCAAAAAGATAATTGTTTGAACCGTTCCAGGGTAATTTTGCCGTTGTATGGGGTTCTTGACATTAGAAAGTTGGCATGGCACTCACACTTTTCCCTCCAAAACATTAATAATATGGGTGCAGTGACCCTTTGTTGTCGCAACAGTAGATCTCTCCCTCAAGTCCTCTAGGGCAGGCTTACGGCTCTCAAGGACATGTCGATGTATATCGCCAACATCACTCATCTTTATAAGATAACTAACTGTCATGCATTCTTCTTCGGGGCCTCGAATCTTCTTCTCTAGAAATGCCATCACTCTCTCACACTCGGCCTGATATTACGAAGAAAGGTTTGTACACTACAGTGTATGAATAGAGATTATTAGCTTAAAAATTGTACCCGCCAGGTGACCCCATTTGCATATCTATCAGATCTTGCTATAAATTTTATAGGATTAGTTTATCGCATTGAGAACACTATCTATCATATAATAAATATTGTTATCGCGCACCACTCCAGTAATAATGTAAGTCACTAGGTGCGGTATAACGGATGTACACGTGTGGCATATAGAGATGTTTCTGATGTATTCAGCTGAAGGTTTAGATGTTATGACTTCAACCAATGCGTTTTGATCCCACAAGGCCCTGATGGCCTGTCGTCTAAGGCGCAGCGGTTGGCTGTTCAGAATAGCATCCTTTGGTCACTTTAATTTTAACACCCTGGGTACAGGAAGTATGTATGCAGATGCTTCAAATGGGTCTGTGCAAAATAACAGTCTGCCTGAAATGAATAAGAAAGTACCTCATCTTTGCTGCTGACGGCCACATTCGTTAAGACCTGGAGTCGTGTGTAGTTGCCTGCAAACTCGCTGCTTGGTTCCATGTCAATCAGTCTTTTCATGTGGGGAATGAATTTGCCTGGCACCGCGGAAGACAGACCATCCATGATGTCCAAATACAAAACCTGCTGTCTGTCATCGTCTTGCAACATCTCATCAATCAGTCTTGCTAAGTGCTTCTCCGTGAACAGCTGTAAAGGGCAAATCCCCATGGAGTAAAAGGTACACCAGTTTCTCGTTCTTTTTTACATGTTGTTGTCAGTTAGCTATAGGCTACGTTGACTCAATATATAAATGAAAGCGACACAACCCCTTCCATAACCATAAGAAATCTCTAGGTAGAAATAGTCCATTGTACGATTCCGACTTTGTCACAAGCATGTGTTAATGAATCACTATCAGTCATGACACCAGGTGTTTGGGCATATCCTGCTCCACCGATGGAAAACAAACACACGCATTGCCAACATCAAGTGTTCACCTACAGGTATAGCCACGGACATAAATGTTTTCACTGATGTGTCAAACTTGGAAATGTCCTTCACGTGTCTACCATTGAACCTTTCCAAAGTTTTGCATGACATAAAGGGAAAGTTGATCAGACTGGAGGTCCAAAGCTGTGCTTTCATTTTCATTAAAAAGCAATATTTAATTGTTACATTAGATCAATTTGGGTAATTTAATAATCATCCAAATGCTTTGCTTGGATGGTGTATAATACTTACAAATGGCTGTTTCTTGGCTATTTTGACCAACCACTGTAATATGTTGTGTCGACAGTTGAAGTCAATCAACGTGAACACGGCTTCAAACTGTGACTCAAGAAGGTCTGGATTATGGCAATAGAGTGTGCAGAGGGGAACTAGAAAAAGAAAGCACCCTTTGAAAGACTTCTTTGAGAAACATTTGGAAGTAGGAGTACTAAGTAAGGATAAGACATATGAATCAACAAAGAACTTGTTCATCCATATAACCTATCCTTACTCTCTTTGAAAAGTCCATCAGTATCTATTAAAGAAGAAAACGTTTTAACCAGATGATGTCTGAAAGTCACATTTAAAGACAAATTAAAGGTGCAGAAAAAGCTACACATGTATGAATTTCTTCTAAAAAAACTCACATACTGCCACGAAAAGCTTAAATGTATGACCTAACTTGGACCTGGCCTTGTGTATTGACATGTCAATCCTGAATCACCAAAACTGTATCTGTAGCATATGTGTTTAACCATGTGGCTTCCCACATGCAAATTATAACAATCTTTAACATAGTTTCACCTACCAATTAAGAAATAATGTTCTGTGTTAATGAAGGCTGTTAAGATTTGTTGGAAGAATTGTGCCATGACCTTGGCCCCTGCGCCCACTAGAGTGTGGACCTGCCACGTTGCCTTTTCTGCGATCTTGGGGTTCTGGTGAGAGGTCAAACTGATCACACATCTCACCACAGACAAACCTCTCTGTATTTTCCCAGGGTTGTCCAACTAGCGAAATGACAGAACATGTAAGACTTGTCCTCAGGAATGAGTAAACAACATTTTTCAGGCTTTCAGCATTATTGATTGTCATTATAAAAGTTGATGTAGGTTATTACAACTTTGCACTCAATGGTACGTCATCACAATGTAATTGTTTGGGTTCTTTTACACAGAAACAAACTGAAGAATAGGTAATAGAATAACAAAAACATCGAATGACTACTTGGTGGTATGTAATTGCGCTGAAACGTTTCAATAAGCTACAGAAAGAAGATGACACTCTTCATAATGATCTGCTCTAGGAAGAACAATATCTAAGGGAACCCCTGCCATTTCAGTTGTAAGAATGAAAGGTCCCACTTTGCTGCACAAGACACATTTACTGAACGCGGATATCAAACTCGCTCAAACTTGGCAGTTTACACATACATGTATATGGCATGCCATACACGATGACACATCCTGGTTATATGCATGTGCCAATAAACGTCACAACCGCATGGTTCTTCGATTTGGTACGTATGTCGACTGTTTAAAGCAACAAGGTTGCACTGGTCAGCTCAATCTCCAGACGTGTCGATGATTGAACACCATTGAGATGTTCTGGGCCGAAGGGTTTGCAATGGAACTCAACGTTCCCAGAATTTGCACCAGCTTGAGCAGGCCTTTCAAGAAGAATGAGGAAGGATACCATGGGAAACAATCCACAGATTGATTTCCAGTGTGCCCAGATGATGCCGTGCCTTCATCATTGCCTATGGGGTATGGACCAGATATTGACTTTACTACGAAGACTTAATGCCAAAATGTCATATCTTTACATGTCATTTCTGAATAAATTTTGGAGCTCCCTTAAATATTCTTTCTAGTATATTATGAGCCAGATTTAATAAGACTTTGAGTCCTATCATATTAGATGAACCATTTAAATGAAAAGCCTACATGTATACATGTACATGAATTACGGCAGTTGAGCTTCACACTCATATCTCGACCAACAGCTAATCTATACATCTTCACCATTTCGCACAGCAGCATTAATTATTGGATAAAGAGCAACATCTTAACTAGTTACTGTTATGTGGAACGTACAAGTTGGATGAACGTTGATCCCTGCTCATGGAAAAGACGATAGCGCATTGAAACTTTCTTTTTAGGATCTTCGCCAACCAAACCATCTTTCAACACTGCTCGGAAGAACTTGGTCAGGATATTGAACTCTTTCTCATCCGGCGTCTTGGATGTTCTAAAATAAAAGCTTTACTCAGTAATGAAGACAACCACACTGGTTTTATTCCATCTATTGTATTATTTTATTTGTGTGTTGCTTTTCGCTGCACTTAGCAACGTTACAGCTGTGTCATGGGTATCTGGACCAGCCAAACCAGTAAATGATATCATAGGCAACGTCCCATGCGTCGGGGTACGATGACATGCAATCAACCAAGTCACAGAGTTTGCCTACCCTATCCATATAGGTTGCTGGGGACCTGTTCTTACCCTGATCTCACACAGGGCTCCACTATAAGAAGTGAAAAATATCTGACCATGGTTGAAGATTAATTACACATAAATGGAGATTAATGCGTGTTTCGTTCCACGTGATAATGCCATTGTCTGTACAGTGGAACTCCATTTCTTCGGAAAACCCCACTGTACATGCTACTGTGTGGAATACCTAAAGTACACGCCAGACATTACTCTCTGTGCCTGACAATGTATACTCGATTTATGGATAACAACTTCTTTATTTTACTGTAATTGCTGTTGTTATCAATAAATTGTGTCTACTTTGGCATCTGTCTTCTAAGAAATGCCTATCAAACATTTCTCTGTGCCTGATTCCTGACTGGGGGTGACATATCAGAAACGAAGTACCACTTCTGTATCTGTGTCTTTGTGTCATACTTGGAGAGTGAACTTATTTCTAAATTGATCGTAATCCAATGATAAATCATAGGCGTAACGATCATCTTGGCACTACGATCATCTTGGCACTACGATCACTTTGTGCAACTGTCCACAGGTTAAACACAACTAACAAAGTGCGCATCCCGACACCAGCAAGGACTTCCACGGTTTTGCAGGCATCTTCATCAGTCCAGTCGAACCTGGGGTCTTCAAGCAGTGGGAGTACGCGTGCCAGGGTCGATATGATTACGCCTTTGTGATACTGGAAACAAACGCAACCCAAATATAGGTAACATGGCAAGACATGGATCAACACACGTTTGACATACACAGTGCAACCCGTTAATTCGTAGCTCTGGGGACCATGAACATGTAGTAGGGTTATTCTTAATTCGAAACAGGCGGAGAATCAATGTAAGACAACAGTGATTCTGGTGGGAAAAGGAAGGCATCTTCAAAAAGACATCCCATACAGAAAACGAAGCATATATAAAAGTCTACTGGCATATCATCTTGATAGTCTAGGCAGACAGGGTGTATCGATGCTGGTGTGTCTGCGTTACATGATAGTTAACTTATCAGAGAGTTTTACGCCACTTTTAGCAATATTCCAGCAACATCACAAGGGATTTGGCGTTTTGCAACGGGTCACATTATAACCACGTGGAGAACCTTGTGGAGAATCGAACCGGGGAATTCGGTGTGGCGAGCGAACGCTCTTACCACTAGGCTATCCCGCCACCACTTAGTTTAAAGGGTTGAGCCTGAACTGTGTCCTATGGTTTACAATGTGTGTACTTGAGCTGCTTTATTAGACATCATCAGATGAAGATAGCGTGTACCATTCTAAAGCTCTACCTTCATTCAATGCACGTATCAAAGAAGTTTCATCACACCTAGCCAAAGGAAACCCGTTTTAACATTCCTGTACGACGGCTTGTCAAAAAGTTATGGGCCTGACTAACTTTCAACTATGACTATAAGTGTACTGTGTTTGAGTTGTGCATTGCAAGTGTATTTGGTCCGTTTGTATATAAGTGACAGCCAGTTGAACATAATAGGGACACAGTAATGGAATAGAACGAGTACCGAGCAGTCATCAAGTTGTTTAACTTTAGAGAAAAGTTCTCCCCAAGAAATTCATGACCGTATGTCACGAGTGTATGAGAAAAATTGCCCTAGCTATTCCACTGTTAAACATTAGGCAGATATATGTAAGGCTGGGAGAACAAGCCTGGATGATGACCCGAGGTCTGGACGTTGCTCATCTTCCATCAATGAAGATTCAATCAATGAGATAGAAAAACTTATACTTTCAGATAGATTTATTACTGTTGCTGAACTTGAGGATTACTAAGAAAGCCAACAGAGCGAGGAGGAATGCTGAAAGCTGGAGTTCTACTTTTTCATGACAATGCCTTTTCTCACACATCTCGAGTTGCAAAGGCTGCTATGCGTCAATGTGGGTTCAAAGAGCTTCTTCATCCTCGATACTTGCCAGACCTTGTACCAAGTGATTTCTACCCGTTTCCTAAACTGAGAGAACACCTTCGTGGAAAGCACTATTACGACAACGATGACCCCACAGCTGCCGTGAATGGGTTTTCAGGGTGGCTTCAGAAAACATTTTCTTCACTATCGTTATGAGAAGTGTATTGAAAAGCAGGGAGATTATGTTGATACTTTCAGAATTGTTGGTTTGTTTGTTAGGCTTAGAAGGTTTGACCTGGCCCCGTAATGTCTTCTATTAAAGACGAACACAACGTGTAGAGAGAGCACGCAAGGGCTCACCTTCCCAGCTGCCTGAGACCACAGGACGCCCCAGCCTCAGCTATTGCATAGGAGATATGTTTATAAATGCGAATTCCAGTTATATTGATATAATACCTGTATTTTATTTACCTACCCTCCCTTTAAATCCGATTCGGTGTGCTGCCTCCCGTGCTGCTTTGAATAATTTCGGCTCCCTCTTCTCAAGTAGTGTCAATGAAAAATCCACAATTTTTTCAATCATTTTAGGCAGAACCTCCTCCCGTCTGAAACAGATCCGATGTCATCTATTTCATAGTGTATTGGACAACTAACTAATGCAACAAAACAATTCTTCGGCACCTCAGCCCACAGAGATGGCCATGATGGTCGCTGGAAAGTTAGCCAGGGCACCAATGCAAACAGGGTGAGTGAGTTAGTTTCACGCCGCAGTCATCAATATGTCAGCTACAACACAACGGCCTGTAAACATTTGAGTCTTGGCCATGTACACACGTGATTTGAAAGCATGAGTGACGGGCTAGGTTGTCATTGTTTGGCACATGCATACACAATAACGGCGTCACTGGTCTTACAGATGGCGGTGACTTCTCACAAAAATGTTACACATATTCCCCTATCAAACACACTGAATCCATAATGTCTATGCCACTGGACAAAAGGATTTAAAGCCATATTTCACATGACAAACATACCAGTGACACTTAGCGACAGAGTGAGTGAGAGGTTTTCCGATTATGTGACAGCATGTCAGCTCAAAGTAGGAGGACTGACTGAGTATGGTTTTTTACGCCGCTTTTAGCAATATTCCAGCAATATCACGGCGGGGGACACCAGAAATGGGCTTCACACATTGTACCCATGTCGGGAATCGAACCCGGGTCTTCGGCGTGACGAGCGAACGCTTTAACCACTGGGCTACCCGACCGCCCCAAAGTAGGAGGAGAAAACCTGACGCAATATAGATCTTTTGTCACTTTTGTGAAACCCACGGGCACAGATAAAGAGCTCATAAACCAAAACTAATAATCAGGGTGAATCTGGGATACGAACCATCGATCATAGAATTCTGACATGCCAAAGAGATGCAACACTACACATCAGCTTACAAAAGGGAACCTTTATGTAGTCCAAGGTGTCCTGTACATTTAACACAAACAACTAACCCACCATTAGACAAGTTGGGTACCCGTGACCACTCACAGACGAAATATATTATATATTAATTCTTTCAATAATGAAATCTAAATGCAGACACACAGTATACACAAAGTGGGAACGATATAGCGTCTCAGAGGTTTACACGATTTCATATGTTCAGTGGCCTGATGTTCGTATATTATTTTGCACTGCTGATTATGTACTCACTCCAACAAATACCCGAAATGGGCCGTGAGATTGCTGAAGTTACTGCAATACTCCGTTGTCTGCTTATCATCCCCATTCACTTGGACTTGTGTCAGGAGGTCAAACAGGTCACACGCATCCTTCAAGTGATCCTAAAATACACGGAAGTAGCTAAGTTGGTAAAACACAAACTACTTTAAGAATTACTTTATGCAATACGTTATGTCTTCGTCGGGAAGGGAATTTGCATGAAGGATACCTCTTTTCTCCCATCCGGGATCGGACAAGTCGGCTGTCTGAAGGACAGTGAGGAATCGGTTCAAGGCTGGATATCTGGATAATGACTGTCCTGTACAGAATATCAACAGCAAGGCCGACATGGCGTATGGCACGTAATAATCATTCGACCTGGAGAAAAACCTCCAACATGATTTTTCTGTAAAAGTTTGTACAATTGAAATCAATCACTGAAAGATGATGACTTCTAAAACATCTTACCTTCCATTGCATCTTGTCTTGCGATTCATACATCATCATCTTAGCTGCTTCGATTGTTCTTGGTTGATATATTCGTATACACGCCTTGATCAGGTCTATAGTTAACCGGCAATGTGCAGGAGGCCTGAAAGATTTTTTATGCCAACAGCCATTAGGTTTCATCGATTCAAACCTTAATCATCCGAACATTGCAAATGCGGATGATATTCATGGACGGACCTACGTCCAACAAGGGGATAGTACCCTGTTCACAATAGTTGATTCATGCATCTATTTGAAAATACAACAGTTGATGAGGGCATCTCGGTGTATATCCCGGGTTGATATGAACGACAAATTCCATATGAAAACAGAAAATAATTGTTTGAATTTCAACTAGACTGTGTATGTAAAACCTATCTTGTTTGTTTGTTGTTTAACGCCACACTAAACACTACTCCAGCTATATGGCGGCGGTCTGAAAATATTCGAGTCTGGACATGACAATCCAGTAACTGACATCATGAGCATCGATCCACGCAATTGGGATACGATGACATGCATCAACCAAGTCAGCGAGCCTGACCCCCCGATCCCGTTAGTCGCCTCTTACGGCAAGCATGGGTTGCTGCAGACCTATTCTACCCCGGATCTTCACGGGTCGTAAAACCTATCTACGGATTCGTAAATAAAGCGAAAACATTGGGAAAATAAGGATTTCATTTTATGACCTCGACTGCATCATATGCATATTTTTGTGAATTGCCATCAAATAGTGATGATACCAGGTATTTATGAAATGATCTCATAGAAGTTATTGATTTTTCATATCTATATACACTTAATCTTTGTGAATATCCAGTTTAGCAGGGTTGGTGGTGGTGGGGAGGGTTGGCGATTAGGGATGGTTCTTATGGAAACAGCAAATAACCACACTTTGGCCAAGATTTATCAGTATATGTTCAGGCCCCAAATCAGCAAGGGTGGTATGATTGATCGAAGATAGTTCAGTGTTTCGCCCATGCCATGGATAGCGGCGGTATGACTGATCGAGGTTTTCAGTATCACGTCCATAGGAGGGATAAGTCGTATGATTGATCGAGGTTTTCAGTATCACGCCCATAGGGGGGATCAGTGGTATGATTGATCGAGGTTTTCAGTATCACGCCCATAGGAGGGATAAGTGGTATGATTGATCGAGGTTTTCAGTATCACGCCCATAGGAGGGATAAGTGGTATGATTGATCGAGGTTTTCAGTATCACGCCCATAGGAGGGATAAGTGGTCTGATTGATCGAGGTTTTCAGTATCACGCCCATAGGAGGGATAAGTGGTATGAATGATTGAGTATAGGTTACAGTGTCTTGATTGTGTCACGGCTTACAGTGTTTCACCCATGGCATGGATTGGTAGGAGAAAGTGTCACGGCTTACAGTGTTTCATCCATAGCATTAATTGGTCGAAGAAAGTGTCATGGCTTACAATGTATTGCCCATGGCATGGCTTGGTCGAAAAAAGTGTCATGGCTTACAATGTATTGCCCATGGCATGGATTGGTCGACGATAGTGTCATGGCTTACAGTGTCTTGTCCATGGCTTTGCTAAGGACTGGATAGATGGCATAATCCACATAATGGACTCTCATCAGGGTGTGGTCATCCAGGTTGGTCAGAAAGTCGATCAGCTTCGTCGTCATCACAGTGAACATCTCAGAGTTGCCCTAGAAAAGGCAGATCACAAAACATGTGACTTGCAAACACATTTTGTCAAAATCCAGTAATCTGGTGCTACATATTTGGTAATTATATGACGTCATCAGTCATGGGTTACGTTTGTGCCGTGTCCTGCATATTGGATGCGTGTTATAGGAATGGCTTTGTTACCTCCCACAACACGCTGACAATGACCATGTCTAGGGTGTATGCTGCAACTTATCAGTGAAACAAAGTGGAAGTGTGCTATTCCACATCTATATGCATAACATTATCATAATAGGCAAACCACAGTTCATAGCATTTTGGAGGTTTAGTTATTGATTTTACGCCAAATCCTTCTGATTACCTGTAAGGAATTGATGTTGTTGTAGAAACTCCCCACTGCTTCTACAATGGAGTGGATTGGACTTCCTGCCTTGGTGTCACAGATCACAGCCACGAAATCCAGGATGTCCCCGTACACCTTGTGGTAAATGTGGCCATCCCTACAGTGGAATCATATCAAACTGTTTGATGTGGTGGGTTAGGCTAGTGGTTAAAGCGTTCGCTCGTCGCGGGTTCGATTCCTAACTGTGTAAATTGTGTGAAGCCTATTTCTGGTATCCCCACCGTGAAATATTGCTATACACACTCACTCACTCACTGACTTCAATCGTTTAAATCAAGATGACACTTGAAAGCACAACCGTTGACCAGTCATCGAATATGCCATCTCCCTTTGGAGGCTTAACAGGTTTTACAAAATGCTAAACGAATTTATTTCTCCAACAAACTTTATTAATTAACATTCTACTGAATAATTAAAATGTGAATCTTCTTAGTTTGCAATTACCCTGAGTAAATAATACAAATTCCAAAAACATGCCTTTCCAATCCAATCTGGTATGTAGCAGAACTTGACCTACATCGTGGTCACTCTTCCCTATTGTCAATATGGCTGCAATGTTGATGTTGACAGTTTCCATGCCTCTGACAATTTAAGTTACACAAACCCGACAACACCGATCTATGATGTGCTTCTACATTGACCTGTTGACTTACTGGTACAACGTGATTACCAATGAAACTGGAGTATGACTGAACAGCCGCTATTTAGGCTGCAGACGAGGCGGCTATTTTGACACGAGGAATCTGATTTGACCTGTTAATTTCAATTTCACGGACTCAACGCCAGCGTTTGAAAGAAATGTGACAGTTGTGGCCCTGAAACAGTGGTTGGTGTTGGATTTGCTTCACAGTGCTTGTTCCGAAATAAATTTCATCAAGTTTGATAAGTTGTTATGTTCAAGTGCGTGTGCTGTGACTTCAGTGATTTTAGGACATTGTTTTCGTTTCCTTTCGAGGGAGGAATGTTTTCTGATGTACTTTCAAATCCTTACGGTGGTGGTTGACGTAGATGGCAACGAATATTGATCACCAAAAACTGTCCTCGTAAACAACATGCTGTTATGAATAAAACAATCTTCAAATCCTTTTTTATAATGTGATATTTTACTTTTATTGTCGGTTGTTTCAATGAGGAAATGTCCTGTTCAGAGTCTGTTCGCCATCGAACATGTCCCCAACGGTTTCATAAACATTTCATTTGCATGCAAAAGATATGCCTTCGTAGAGTCTTGTAATCTCATCACCGAAGCAGTCAGGGTTACAGACTAGAACATCATATCGTCGCTATATATCCGATAACAAACTAGCGTATTTCCTCTATTAGACGCTTGGCGATCAATTAATTTCATGGGAACAGTTAACCCAGCGTGTAGTAGAGACCTGGTTTGTATTAGAGACCTAATGTATAGAGGAAATATCGAATCATTTTATAGTTCACATGGGTGATCGATCGGCAGCCATTTTTACATGAATCAATATGTAGGCTATCGATATCTTCATATGCACGTTTTGTTGCGCGAAAAGGCTTAAAAGGATTTCAAAAGGGGTTTCCGTAGGAAAAAGGAAACCTCTTTTTAACCAATCAGAAACAAGCACTCTTCAATGTGATGGAAGACTGACAAGCAATCAGAGCACAGATTCACGCCATTAAGGTGCAATGACAAGCAATCAGAGCGCTAATCCACGTCATCAGATGCAATGACACGCAATCAAACCATTGTTCCACGCCATCAGCTACAATAGCAAGCAATCAGACCACAGATCCATGTCATCAAAGTACAATGACAAGCAATCAGAGCACTGATTTACAGCTTTAAGTTACAATGACAAGCAATCAAGGCACTGTTCCATGCCATCAAGGTTCAATGACACAGACAGGGTTAAATACAGATTCGTGTCAGTGATCTAAGTTCTACAGTTGTCACTTACTTTATAACTGTCAGCAACATCTTCACAACATCGTGCAGCCTCTTAACGACGGCTTCACAGTCTTCAGTTGTCAGATTCGTTTGACAAATGATGTCCTCAATCTGTTTCAAGAGGTGTGTAAGGTGTCCGGGGTCCTTTAAACCCTTCAGTAAAATACATGCACACTAATACGACCTGCAGTCACATTCATCTACATACTGTGTACATTGTGTACATTTATTTTACATTTGAAGACCAAACATTAATATCAACATGTTGGGGCCACGGGTGTATCAACTAGGTCTTAATCACATCGCTCCATATCAACAGATTCAACTACAAGACGTTATATTTCGACTTTACCTTCATGTCCTCTTTTTAATGAATAATGAGGGGTTGTGTTCTTGGTTTGGCCTGCCACGGTTCAGCCACAGATTTAGATTCGGGCTAAAAGTCTGTACTGCTTGAATGTTGAATAGTTTCAGCCTCAGTAACTAGACTGCTTGATGTGTCGGAATAGATTTGGCCTTAGAAATGTCCATACTGCCATATTGTGTTTTGGAAGACGATAATCACCACATATACGTTCTTGTAGTCGTAGTTGTTAAAGATGAGCATTGCCAGATGATCATGGACCTCCCTGACTTCCTTCTCCCGGGAGGTAAACCCGAGATGGGCGTGGAGGTACAGCTCTATGAACTCAGCCTGGGCCTCCGCGAACGCTCTCCCGCTGAAGTGACACATAGGTAGGCCATCATGTGTGTGAACATTTATACTTAAAAAGACACGCCGACTGTTCAAAGAGGCGTTTGATCTAACCTAGGATGTTTGCACAACCTCAACATACAAATAAATAACAGAGCTGCAAGATTCAAACACAAAACATAAATCCCGACTGTCCATAAGAAACCAGGACATACCATACTGGATTAACACGTCCTCATATATGTGGGGTGAGGTGACTTTCGTGGCGTCCCAGGTGAGGTGAGGTGAGGTGATGTGACGTGTGTGTGTGCTTCTCGTCGGTTATACAGTGCTAGCCCACTGAGATATCATGTCGCAGTTTAACATGGATACCCCACTCAAACACAAAGCATGCTCATTCTAAGTCGATTCCTCCTGGGATCGAACCACCGACCTTCGCACCTTCGACAGACGCTCTATCTGCTAGACAACAGAGGCGGCCAGGAGATGCAATCACCTACCTTTCAATCTCTGGGCAGACACGTTACCCACTAGACCGTGGAAGCGGCCTGGGGATCGAACAACCTACAATCTACTATCCGGGCAAACGCTCTATCCACTAGCCCGAGGAGACACTCCCCATAAATATATTCAATGACCGAAACGACCATCAGTGAGGACGTATTCTTATCTCAGAGGACAGTACGACATCATGTCTCAATTATATACTGAACCGCAAAAGAAACGTCACCCCAAGTAGCATTGCATAAAAAGTTTTCATTTAAATATCTGGGTAAATTTTGTCAGGGTTTCTCAATTTAACATTACCTTGTCCGGAATAAATGGAATTTGATGATAAACAACAAAAAAACAAAGCAGATGACAATAAAACTGATCGCCCAAACGCATCACGGCAACGGCCATGGTAACCCGATGCACGTGAATTCCGTGCAAATTGAAATGCACATGCGTTCCCCAATTTCATGCCATAAAAAATCCACCAATATCGGATAACATTCATTCGTTATTGTATTGCTACCACATGTCAAGATTGAAAAGAAATCAGCGACACCAAGCCCTTGGACGATTGCAAGCTGGACAAACTGCCCGGCAACTAACCAATGCATTTCAAGTCCATGTAAGGACCATATACAGGCTCCAGCAACGGTACCAGACCACCAGCACTACAGATGACCGACCACGTAGTGAATGACCAAGTGTCACAACCCGACGTCAGGATCATCAGATTGTGCGACAGCATCTTCAAGATCGCTTTGTTACTGCTGAGGAAACTGCTCGACAGACCATGGGGACACACCAGGGAGACACCGTGCGTCGACGATTGATGAGCAGACACCTCCACTGTCACAGGCAACACCGAGGACCCATTCTGACACCACGTCATCGCCGGGACCGTCTTCAGTGGGCAACACAGCACCAGCATTGGCGCCACTAGCAGTGGGGAAAAGTCCTCTTTTCAGACAGCAGACGACAGAAAGAGAGTCTGGCGACGCCGTGGGGAACGCTATTCGGATGCTTGTGTTGTTGAGAGAGACTCGTGGGGTGGTCCGAGCATCATGGTGTGGGGTGGAATTGGTCTTTCACAGAGGGTCGGCCTTGTGGTCTTCCAGAACATCAGTCAAGGGAGAGGCAATGGTGTCACAGCAGTTCGGTACATTGATCAAGTCTTGAGACCACACGCCATACTTCATTTGGTCCGAGCATCATGGTGTGGGGTGGAATTGGTCTTGCACAGAGGGTCGGCCTTGTGGTCTTCCAGAACATCAGTCAAGGGAGAGGCAATGGTGTCACAGCAGTTCGGTACATTGATCAAGTCTTGAGACCACACGCCATACTTCATTTGGCACGTCGCCGCAAACACGAGTTTCAGCATGATTACGCCCGCGCCCACACTGCGAGAGCAGAATGGCATCAGAACCATGCAGTGTCCTGCCCTCAGTCCCGATTTAAATCCCATTAAGCACCTGTGGGACGAGATTCAAAGACGGCTGAATGACGTCCGACCAAGGCCGACAACTGCAGCTGAACTGCGTCAGGCGTTCCTCAGAGTGTGGGCTCGAGTGCCTATGGGCTTCATCAACTGCCTCATCCATTCCACGTATCGACGTTGCACGGCAGTCATCAATGAACATGGCGGACACACGAGATACTGACTTGTGATGCCATTTTCTCAGAGACTGGTGTTATGTTTCACTTTCAGAACATTTGACACTTTAATTTCAACCTTGATGATCAGTTTTGCCAAGTTTCATCTTTTTAATATGTCTCAAAGTATGTCTACAGTGTTTGTTTATATCTATCCATGGGGACGTTTCATTTGCGGTTCAGTATATTATCATCTCACGGCCCACATGGGACGCTTCTCCGAACCAAAGGCGTGTAAGAGTGTCTCCTCCTGCATAAAGAGTAGTCGATGTTACCATGGTTTAACGTATTAGTAACTGAAAAGATGGTTTACCCCAGATTCGTTTTGTCAATGAGTTGCTTCATACAAGCATCGAAAGTGGATTTAAAGCCGTCCCAGCCTGTCCATTGTTCCTGACTTCTGTATTCCCTCTTCAGGAACAGGATGTGTTTCTTCAGCTTGGATCCCGTGAGGCTCTGAAGTATCATAAATCTATTGCGGATGTTTGCCATAGTAAACACAGGAAACCCTGCTATGAAGTTAAACATGTTATGAGGTTTTACTTCGAAAGTAATACCTCAAATAAAAAGCTCGCAAATGCTGGAAAATCTATGGAACATAAATACGAAAGGAGGTTGCTTTAAATCATTAATGTAAGCAGTATTTCTTTCGTGTGGCGCTTTAAACATTTTGGTTCATACTTGCTGAATTGTCGAGATGTATTTTGTTGAAGACACTAAAATGCTTGCTTACGATGGTACATCCAGTAGTTCAGTTGTATCACCGCGTGTCAGCCGTGGGAGAGTGAGTGGGTGATTTTGGTTTAACTTTAAGTTTAACTTAAACTTCAGGATCTGATATCGTTCAATAACCATTAAATTCCCTTCCTTCTGTTTCCTATTTAGATCTATGCATAAAGATTCAGAGTGACGAAACACTTTTCACAAGACTGTATGACAAGAGTGAGTGAGTGAGTATGGATTTACGCCGTTTTTAGCAATATTCCAGCAATATCAAAGCGGGGGATAATCTCGAGCAATATACCTGCAGCTCAAGTCTTTGTCTACATCTGACAACTTTTGAGGTACATTCGCGCATGCGTTTTCTACCAAGATTTCAAAGGGTGTATACGACCCTTGCTCAGAAGTTGTTTGATGAAGGTTACAACATTCAAGGCCAAAAGTATTATGATGGACATGTGGAGGACAGTTTCCTAATGTGACGCACAAGTAACAAGAATGATGTCGGATGTAGTTCCCTGTTTCGACTTGTACTACATGATCCTGTGGGGTGAATAATTCACTTGCACGTGTTAGTGACGGGTGCCATAAGAGGGGCAGTATACGCTCACCTTTTCCCGAACACCTGGTATCATCACTATGGTATGCATGCTCATGAAATGGTCGGAATCGTAAAATTGACTACTTTTTGCAGAGATTTCTTTTGAATATGGAAAGGTTTTGTTGCTTTTAGTTAACAGTTCAGTTCTATAACGACGTGTCAGCTGTGGGTGAGCGAGTGAGTGAGTGAATGATATGTTTTTTAACAATAGTTCAGTTATATTACAGTGGGTCAGCTTCATGTGGGAGGAAAGCCCCATGTGATACAGATCTTAGACGTCTACACTTTTTCGGAACCCTCGCGCGCCGGTATGGTTCTGAAAAAAATCCTTCAATCGTACATTTCAGGTAGGTAAACAAAATGAAGACTTACATGGTAGTAGACTTTGAAACCGAAGTCACTGTCGCTAAGCATTTTCTTCCACAGCTGCATGTGTGTCGTTCCCGGACCCTGCTGGATCAGGTCGTGGAGGAAGTCGAAGCAGAAGTCGTGGATGCGGGACAAAGAAGTTATTTTCCCGGAATCCTTCAAAATTCTGAAAACATAGGCCTGACTTAGGACCATGGTATCCCAGGTGAGCGAGAACATCCACGTCCCACGGTAATACTGCAGGGAAGCGGTGGTTGTACTTGCTGTCCGCAGTCGTGCCTGACTAGGGTAAGTATTGATCAGACAGTTAGTTAGTGAGTGAGTGAATGGTATTTTACGCCACACTTGACCAACCGACCCTGACCACGAGATCCAACTAGTCGCCTTTAACGACAAGCCTATTACAACATGACTGTCTTCTCATATCATTACAGGGAAGATATTGCAGAGTGCGGCGTTAATCAACAAACAACAACAAATTACAGGGAAGTGTATCCTGTGCGTTATTGAGAGGGATTTAAGTACTTTATGGAAGCTGTATACTTACTTGGACAAGGTCATCAGGTTGTCCAGAACGTCCATGACGGTGTAGTATTGTGTCGTGTACTGTCCAGGGAAGTCTGGTCGACACACACCCTTCCTCAGCAGCCTGAACGCCGCGAGAACATCCTCCTCGCCTGCCTCAACCTCATACTTGCTTGAGTGTCGTTCCAACTCGCTTCTTAACTCTTGCCGCTCAGTATGGCCAATTGTCAACATGTCGTATTTTTCTAATAGGAACTCCAGTGAAACTGTTCAACGATCAAAAGTTTTAGGTATACACACCAAGCTGCATTTTAGTTTTAACTAACTACAAATATGATTCTTGCTAAAACAAAACTGTTTGATCAGGGTTACGACATTCAAGGCCTCAGTGAAGCTCTCAAAACGTTTTACGGCAGACATGTGGTGGACATGATGTCATGATGCAGTTCCCTGTTTTCACTTGTACCAAATGTTCCCGTGTTTTTAGTTGACTTCTCTTTGCATGTGTTTGTGACGGCTGCCACCACCGGGGCAGGATGTGCTCACCTCTTCGCGTGCACCTGGTATCATCACTATTTGATTATTATTCTACGTGAGTGAGTTTTGTCTTTCTGATTTATTTGTCTCACACACTCCAGCGAGAAAATCATTTATCCTAAACCTAACATAACCTATACAGACTTGTACTAAATATAGAGCTTGGAAATCATACCATCGACACATTAGTGATTGAGTCGTGTCAAAGGCCCCTTTATAAATTTCAGTTATGTCATTTTAATCGTACCCCTGCTTATATCTCAGGTACTGTGTTGAATGGGCTGGTAGCGTATAGTTGTATCTCAGGTACTGTGTTGAGTGGGCTGGTAGTGTATAGTTATATCTCAGGTACTGTGTTGAGGGGGCTGGTAGTGTATAGTTGTGTCTCAGGTACTGTGTTGAGTGGGCTGGTAGTGTATAGTTATATCTCAGGTACTGTGTTGAGGGGGCTGGTAGTGTATAGTTGTATCTCAGGTACTGTGTTGAGTGGGCTGGTAGTGTATAGTTATATCTCAGGTACTGTGTTGAATGGGCTGGTAGTGTATAGTTGTATCTCAGGTACTGTGTTGAGTGGGCTGGTAGTGTATAGTTATATCTCAGGTACTGTGTTGAGGGGGCTGGTAGTGTATAGTTGTGTCTCAGGTACTGTGTTGTGTGGGCTGGTAGTGTATAGTTGTATCTCAGGTACTGTGTTGAGTGGGCTGGTAGTGTATAGTTGTATCTCAGGTACTGTGTTGAGGGGGCTGGTAGTGTATAGTTATATCTCAGGTACTGTGTTGAGTGGGCTGGTAGTGTATAGTTGTGTCTCAGGTACTGTGTTGAGTGGGCTGGTAGTGTATAGTTGTATCTCAGGTACTGTGTTGAGGGGGCTGGTAGTGTATAGTTATATCTCAGGTACTGTGTTGAGTGGGCTGGTAGTGTATAGTTGTATCTCAGGTACTGTGTTGAGGGGGCTGGTAGTGTATAGTTCTATCTCAGGTACTGTGTTGAATGGGCTGGTAGTGTATAGTTGTATCTCAGGTACTGTGTTGAGGGGGCTGGTAGTGTATAGTTGTATCTCAGGTACTGTGTTGAGTGGGCTGGTAGTATATAGTTGTATCTCAGGTACTGTGTTGAGTGGGCTGGTAGTGTATAGTTGTATCTCAGGTACTGTGTTGAGTGGGCTGGTAGTGTATAGTTGTATCTCAGGTACTGTGTTGAGTGGGCTGGTAGTGTATAGTTATATCTCAGGTACTGTGTTGAGTGGGCTGGTAGTCTATAGTTATATCTCAGGTACTGTGTTGAGTGGGCTGGTAGTGTATAGTTGTATCTCAGGTACTGTGTTGAGTGGGCTGGTAGTGTATAGTTGTATCTCAGGTACTGTGCTGAGTGGGCTGGTAGTGTATAGTTGTATCTCAGGTACTGTGCTGAGTGGGCTGGTAGTGTATAGTTATATCTCAGGTACTGTGCTGAGTGGGCTGGTAGTGTATAGTTGTATCTCAGGTACTGTGTTGAGTGGGCTGGTAGTGTATAGTTGTATCTCAGGTACTGTGTTGAGTGGGCTGGTAGTGTATAGTTGTATCTCAGGTACTGTGTTGAGTGGGCTGGTAGTGTATAGTTATATCTCAGGTACTGTGTTGAGTGGGCTGGTAGTGTATAGTTGTATCTCAGGTACTGTGTTGAGTGGGCTGGTAGTGTATAGTTGTATCTCAGGTACTGTGTTGAGTGGGCTGGTAGTGTATAGTTGTATCTCAGGTACTGTGTTGAGTGGGCTGGTAGTGTATAGTTGTATCTCAGGTACTGTGTTGAGTGGGCTGGTAGTGTATAGTTGTATCTCAGGTACTGTGTTGAGTGGGCTGGTAGTGTATAGTTGTATCTCAGGTACTGTGTTGAGTGGGCTGGTAGTGTATAGTTGTATCTCAGGGACTGTGTTGAGTGGGCTGGTAGTGTATAGTTATATCCCAGGTACTGTGTTGAGTGGGTTGGTAGTGTATAGTTGTATCTCAGGTACTGTGCTGAGTGGGCTGGTAGTGTATAGTTGTATCTCAGGTACTGTGTTGAGTGGGCTGGTAGTGTATAGTTGTATCTCAGGTACTGTGTTGAGAGGGCTGGTAGTGTATAGTTGTATCTCAGGTACTGTGTTGAGTGGGCTGGTAGTGTATAGTTGTATCTCAGGTACTGTGTTGAGTGGGCTGGTAGTGTATAGTTGTATCTCAGGTACTGTGTTGAGTGGGCTGGTAGTGTATAGTTGTATCTCAGGTACTGTGTTGAGTGGGCTGGTAGTGTATAGTTGTATCTCAGGTACTGTGTTGAGTGGGCTGGTAGTGTATAGTTGTATCTCAGGTACTGTGTTGAGTGGGCTGGTAGTGTATAGTTGTATCTCAGGTACTGTGTTGAGTGGGCTGGTAGTGTATAGTTATATCTCAGGTACTGTGTTGAGGGGGCTGGTAGTGTATAGTTGTATCTCAGGTACTGTGTTGAGTGGGCTGGTAGTGTATAGTTGTATCTCAGGTACTGTGTTGAGTGGGCTGGTAGTGTATAGTTGTATCTCCACAACAAATTGTTCTAATGTGTTGTGTTGAGGCAAAGCAACAAAAACTGGGCATTTGACTTCAAATTATTTTGGATATATATTGCGCACACTTGCTGCTCTATTCAATGACATATTTTCTTCCTCAATGTACGATATTGTAATTATTTACCTATTACGACATTGTGGGGACTAAGCAGTAGAATCTTAGCATATTCTCGCTGGTCTCTCCGTGGCCATTTTTCTTCCTTCAACTCCGTGGCCATTTTTCTTCTTTCAAGCTCTGTACAATCTTTTAACACTTGCCTAAATCTCAGCAAACAATTTCGATCCTTGCTGATAAAATATTCAATATCCAAGAAAGCATTTTCATCCCCATCTAACTGATATAAAACCTATTATAAAACGAAATCTCAGGTTGTCGTAGAGGCAAAGAAATGAATGTTAGTGACATGATGTGATGTGTCAGATTGTGTTTCATAATACCCCAGACTAGACTGTCCCCGAGTACTATTGCTGACTGTGGAGTAGACCAACATACTCACTCACTCACTCACTCACTCACTCAATGGTGAAGTAGAAACGGGTTTGTAGAAATCAAAGGCGTGTCGACTCTTTGAAGTGGCTGTGAGAGCGTGAGTTGTGTTTCACGCCGCTTTGAACACTACCCCAGTTATATTACGGTGTTTCAGGTACACTGTTGGAGGAGGTCGGACGTGATCCAGGTCACAAATGTTACGACTTTGGTGAAACCCGCCAGCACTGGTGGGGTAAATAATCAGGGAGAACCTGTGATCCGAACCCATTACCACAAGCGCGGATACAGCTCTTTAACAAAAGGAGGTGCAGGATTTGAAGCAATGTGTGTTTGTTAGTCGTGATTAGATTTGTTAAACTAGTAAGTTATAGTGCTGTAATACTTTTGCATCTAGTATACCAGATCATTAATATGCTTCAACAGATGGTCGGATGCACACAGTGTCGAGGTCACAGACTACACGCTTCTCCCTCGGCCTGCGTAGTAAACGACTTGCGGTACACTGACAGCTGCCGTCACTATTGACCGATTTGCAATGGTTCATTCAATAATGTTTACGTCCATGGCAACGGACAAACAACCTCCTGCTCTCTCGCTTGTTCCCAGGTATAATACTGGTATTCAAAAGTATGTCGCAATACGTCATGTGACAAGGGCCTCATCGATGGGTCCGTATATGACAGTATGTGTACGGTATGTCAAACTGACTGTTTAGGGCATTCCATCCGCCCCGTCTGCTGTCTCCGTCTTTGGCTGATTCCAGTTCCTATTACAGGGTCAAAGACATATATTATCTACTGCTAGAATTATTTACACCAACATTCTTGTGAAGCGTGACAATCCTTCAGTTCAGTCACGTGTGCTTGGGATAACCCGGGATGTTAGTCACTGACCCGTGAAAGGACATGTGACCCTATATTACTTACACAGTATTGATATGCATGTCACCTCTTATATGAGGCTTAAAAAATGAACTGTTTGACATCGGAAGAATGAATACAGATATCTCTGTTTTAAGTAGAGTGAGTGAGTATTGTTATACGCCGCTTTTAGCAATATTCCAGCAATATCACGGCGGGGGACACCAGAAATGGGCTTCACACATTGTACCCATGTCGGGAATCGAGCCCGGGTCTTCGGCGTGACGAGCGAACGCTTTAACCACTAGGCTACCCGACCGCCCTGTTTTAAGTAGAAGTATGCAAGCCATTTCGTCATGTTTTGATTGACATGTAGGGTATTTCACACAGTACACCACATTCGGATTGGATGACACACAAATACCAAAATAAATAGTAATATATTCATTCATTAAGCTTAACCATTTTGTTGTTATTGTTATTATTATTGTTAATATTATTGTTGTTATTATTTTATATTATTATTATTATTATAAACAATATTTAATGTATTTGCCACTAATATTAGTATCACTGTTGCTATGCAGGTTTACAAAATGACAGAAATGTATTACCGTATTTTTGATCGTCAAATCGGACTCGATCGCCACAACAACACATAGCACACGCCATCTTGAAACTCTTCATAGTATTCTCCGTACAACCATTTACTAGAGGCTAGATATGGAACGCTATTGCCTTCTGTTGAGCGACAAGCCAGTCAAAGCACTGATTAAATACAGACGTTTTTCGTGGGTAAACGACCATGCCACTGTTTGAGTGTACATAAGACACAACGTAGCATGTTCTTAATGCGCCTGTTAACATCTGATGATGTAATGGCCTTACATGTCCAGGTGAGATGCATTGTTCGGCATGAATCCCTGGAATTAGTTGTCAGGCAAATACCATTAGTCAAACAACAACAACTTTAACTGGGGGCTCTGTCCCAACGCGTGACATCTACAAATGCGCTGTCTGTCGATGCGAGGAGCTCAAGGTGATTGCCAAGTGAACATATTACCGTCACAGCGGGCGTTCTGCTCGAGGCGCTTTTCATGTATCTATTTGTTAAGAGGTCAGGTTTCCAATAGTAAGACCACGTTTCCTGGAAAAACAGAAGTTTTTCAGCTGAACAGAATAGACAGAATATTGGTTTCACTCTGATGAATTAATTGTTGTTATTTTTTAGTGGCAATTCATATATTTATAAATAGGACTTGTTGATTAAAAAGAATTCCACCGTTATAACTCATTTTGTTTTACTGACAATTATTCATATACAACTTTTTCATAGAATACTTTTTCTACTTATGTAGATAAAATATTATTTTCACCGTAACGAATTAAATTTCCTTTTTTATGATTTTTTTTTAGTTATGCCTGTAATGTTGATTAAGGCCAATACAGATATAAATTGTATGAGTTCGCGATTGAAATGTTAATCACGTGAAGATCATTTTCACCAGGCTCCACCAAAGCCCGTAATACCTAATCTACTTATCCATTTTTAAAATGTTACACGACAGTGTTAAATAAACGAAGCGAAAACACGTGTCTCATTACATCAAGTTTTGTAGTATTTAGAAGGCAGTTCATATTCAGCTAAAAGTTCAAGTATCATGAAAAATATAAATAGATATATTTTTTACTTCATTCTGCAGCCATTATCATTTACAATACGATGGCCGATAAAAATAGTGTGAAAATGTAAACTTAGCGGCGGGGGGACGGGTTGTCCACTCGCGAGGGTACCGCAATTCGCTGTGCTGAGTTGCGGTACCTGGGCACGCGAGAAAGCTATGGTTGTGGGTTCGAATCCCGCTTCGGCCACTTTTCCTCCGGTTTGTCAGCACCATACCCGTATTCGTTTTATACCTGCGTCACTTCGAGCCTTCAATCTGACACGCCGTGATATAACTTTAATAGCGTTCAAAGTTAAAAAAACCCCGATGTAATAAAAACAAGAAATAATCCACAGAAGAACAAGAAATAATTTAACAGTTGACATGGTCATTTTCACTGACTTGATAAAACAGCTACGAACTAAGACAAAATTCAAGCAATGAGACTTGCAATGAACACAAAACGCCTCAGGATACCGACGTCTTATAACAGCTTGAACACAATTCACGTGGCCACTCATATTTGAGGCACCCTCATATAGGCATTGTTGACACTTGTCTCATTCGAATAGAAAAGACTCTGAAAGACTAGCTGCCTTTGCTTCAGCGAAACCTAGAAAAGACAGTATTGGTTCGGTTTTGGTTGTCCTTGTTCAGTGGTTGCTTCAATAGATGAGTCAGTTGCTTCATCAGCAGTAACCAAAAAGCATCTCTGTGAGTTACATTCATCAACTAACTTCTTTCTGATTTGCGATGTGCAAAGATTGAAGGGGAATACCGAAGCCAATCATTCTCATCGAGATGGGTTGGATTAAACTTTCGTTTCACACCTCTAATTCTGTTAAGTCGTATTTTATTGAGATCTCATACCCAGCATCTGTTGATTCGTCTTTTTAGACGCGTAGGCCGAACATGATCAGCGCTAAGGTCACCTAATGTATGTGAGCCTTCGTCAATGCCAGAGAAGTGCAAGGCGTGTGGGAAGCAGTAGGTGTTAGAGTACCAGTAGACGTAGACGTAGAGAGTACCAGTAGACGTAGATGAAGACGGGGACCGAGATAGAGAAGACGGGGTGACTAATTTAGTCTCTGATATGGATTCTTTAACAAAATAGGAATACATTCTCTTGAAATGATGATTAACCATTAATGCAAATTCACGTTTGTAAGCACTGCTTTCTGAAAGAACTTTAATTATAAAACCTAACTGTTTCTAGATGTAATATGGGAATTATTAAATATTTAAACTTCGGATATAGTTACTTCATAATGGCTGTAAGCAGAAACCTGTTAATCAACCTTGCACTATGACAGACGTTTTATGTTTAAGGTGGTCTCCAAAAGGCGAACACCTGGCACAATTTTATGACACTTTTGTAAACACACAGTGACTGTGCAAAATCATTGAATCAGCAAAGCAATTTGCGTTTGGCTATGAACGGAAACATTATAACATCAGAACGAGAACTGTGAGGGTAAATACCAGAGGCCATTTATGCCAGAAGATTTGCAGAACTTGCGGCATTTGTTGAAGACGCGCTTTCTGACAGAGAATTCAAACTCTCCAATTTAGTTCACACTCATCAAGGCTGAAACACAGCTTATTTGCTGATTTTTCCCGAGTTTCAGGCGTTCAAAGAGGGAAGAGACATTCTCTTTGTGTCCAACAGTAATGTTGGTACAGCCTTGCAGAAGACCACTGAGATTGATGTTGCTGGTGATGCATTTGTGTTTTCTAAGGCAGCAAGAATCGTGCGTGAAGAAATGATCAATGCATCAACATCGTTTGAGGGTACATTTTTTTCAGGCTGTCAAGTTGAAGCTGTTCCGTCTGCTTTGCTCATTCTTGTGGTCACGGACCATCACTACACACCACGTGTCAGCTACTACTTTTTAACACTACAAGACACAATCCAAAACAAAAGCAACCAATACGCCACAACAGGTCTCGGGAGTCTCCTTTGCCTGTGTATCTTGGGATCCTCCTTCACAAGACACGCAATTGGAACTGGTTGAAAACCCTTTGACCTTCGTCTGTCTGTGTCCTATGACCGAGTTCTAGAGATTCCAACTGATATTGGCACCAAGATTTGTAACCACACCACACCACACCACACCACACCACACCACACCACACCACACAACCAAAAGCGACACACAGCCCATTAGCACACTGCACAGGGATGTTCTGCCTAGAACAACATCACTACATAGTGGCTGGCCTTTGGCACAGGAAAGAACTTCCGACTTATTCCTGATTCACATTAACAAGTTGATCAGACAAGAGTCCCAACTTTCCCACCCCCCATGCTTTGATAGAATGCGATACTTTTCCCTTCATCGCTGGCCTGGGATACCTGGATTATATGTACCCTGGGGCCACTGCACTAATGAACAAGCCACAACTGACAGATGTCACTAAGCCTCTGGACACACTGGTGAGATCACAGGAAAGAGTTGCAGAACGTTGATTTGTTACCTCATGATGAAAATTCCAATAATTGTATATTCATTGAAACAGCCATCTGTAAAATGCTACCCCTGCGTCACAGGTCCATATGACACAGTTGAACCAATCAACTCAACTCGAAAGGTGCACGGGAATCACGCACGTTGAGACGCCCAACGCTAACACAGTATTCGTGCGTGCTTGATTCCCGTGCACCCTTTCGAGTTTAGTTGATTGGTTCAACTGTGTCATATGGCCCTGTGACGCAGGGGTAGCATTATGCAGATGGCCGTTTCAATGAATGCTCGTTCCACCCGTGACAGACAGGTCTGGTTGTTGATGAAATATAGTGATAGCTAAATAGACAGATTTTTTATTCATGCACCGATTGTCTTTAAATGTAATATCCAGTTATGTATGACTGTTTAAGAATCTCATACCAACTTTGACTGGAGTAGGTCCGATAGTTTTTTCAGATATTGTAGTAAACGTCGGTACTTTAAATTACCTTCCAGACTACAGCCAAGACCCATCATACTGCTACCAACCTGTAGGTCATATATTCACGGATGAATTGACAATAACAACCTTCGTCAGTTATTCAAAGATTGACCAAAATAACGTGAGCAACTCCCTACCAATTGCAATCACAACTTTAAAATCAGTATGGATGCTGTCGAAGCATATGCCAAACAAATGGGCCAAAAGAGAAGAAGAACCAGCTGAATGTCTTTCAGGGTGGGTAGGGTCAGTGGTGATGTTGTCGTTGGTAGGATGCACAAACTGAAAAAGAGGAAACAGAAAAGGAACAAACCCATTTTGTCCCAGCCAGCAGTCATCCAAAGTCTTGCTTCCCTACATGAATAGTTAGTAGTTGTTCCCATTGACAATGCCTCAAATAGGATAACCACTATATGTAAGCATCACTACATTAAGTGTTTGATCAAAGAACGTGGTATAAGTGACATATCAAATACTGCCACATGTAAGGCCAGTATGTTAACTGGGGAAGAATTCTGCCCAAACCATGCATCAGTGCTGCTCACTTGACTCTAAAACCTGAAGACATGGTCATTCCTCTTTTGCATAGGATTCCAAAAGCGCCATAAAAATCCGTGCAAAGAGAGATATTAACAATAATTCTTCATAGAATCAAGGAAATACTTTCTTTATATTCACAAAAAGAATTTTGAGACAAGTGAAATAAATAGTTATACCATGTGAATTCTCAAAAACCAAAAGGATTTGCTTGATTTTTCACAATCTCAGAAAAGAAACAGGTTCCATTCTGTCAAAATATTTAATTTCTCAACTTTGTACACCACATTCCCACATGGCAAACTTGAGGAAAAACTTCATTCCTTGATCCATGGGGCTTTTGTTAGGACAATGTGTCACAAATGAAAGCAAATGCCATCTGAAGTTAACTGAAAAATCAATATGTGAAATAGTAGACTTCCTTATTGATAACATCTATGTGAAAGTTTCGGGTAAGACATTTAGACAAGAAGTAGGCATCCCCATGGGCACCTATTGTTCCCCCCTTCTTCGTGATCTGTTTCTGTATGCACATGAATCAGAATTTCTGCTTGGATTGCCAAAGTCAAAACAAAGTAATTTGATTCCTTATGAACATGGAAAAGGCTTTGTCGCTTTTATTAAGTAAAACCTTCAAAATGTT